CCAAGCTTACCACTGGTTCTTTCTCTATCTCTTTCTCTAGGAGATCACAATGTGAGATTATGTCTTTCTGCTGGAAAAGCTGGCAACTGACACCTAAACAAATAAATCTGTTACTACCTCCAGTGGCCATGAAAGCCCTATCGGTTACTGGGTTCACCAATTCCCCCTCCACCGCCAATTCCCAGAAGGAATGGTAAAGAACCCCAAAAGTTGTGAAGGACCATCTGTGCTTCAGGCTCCTGCTGCAAAAGTGAATAAGGAACCAAATGCTGAGTTGTCTTAGGCTTGGAACCTACATTTCAATGCCGTTCACATAAGGAACAACCACCAGTTCCCTCCTCCATCAGCAGCTCCTGCACAATCTATTCCAACCCCTCTCAAGCAGGGAGAGTTGCAAAAGGAAAGGAGGTGGGAAAGTCCAATTTCATGAATGTGAGCTCTGATCCATTCACAAAAAGTATAGTTCGGATCCAGTCCATAATCTTAAGTGTATTTGTAAATGCACCATCTGTTAAATGTGCGTTGTCATGGATACATTTGTGGGTGGCACTTCAGGGTGAATGATGGAAGCTATGTAATACCACCATTTGCTTGTGACTGTCACTGTGTGGAGAAAGTAGGGAAGGGCTGCAGGAGAAAGGAGGTCGGAACCCTTTTTCTGTGATCTGAAACCACTCACCCACCAGTGCTGCCATTAGCTCCACCACAGGAAAACACAGGCACATGCATCATACGTCTGCCTTTTTTTTTAACCCTTGCAGAGCAAACTGCAACCCTACAATGTAGATTAGTGAACTGATGGAGAACAGGGTTAAGACCTAGTATTCAAAGCACCTGTGAGGGGCTGCTGATCAGCATTGCAAATGCAAGTAACCCTGCTCCCTGCAGCACATTTAGTTTGACCTTCAATTGATTTTAGACATTTTCTCAGCCCAACAGTAAGGCCTATAGTTGTACTTAACAAATGTAGAATTCTTTAATGTTGTGGTGAGATAAATTCAGGGTGTTCTCCCCCAAATAGGAAGATGGATGCCTGGTCCAAGACTCTCCTGATCTTGATAAGGATCTTGTATAAAGCAAGTAGTCTCGTAGTAGTTACGATATCAAGGAAAGCTTCAAGAGAGCAATTTAAACCGTCTAAGCTGACTTTATGCTTTCAGGTTACCCCGTCCCAGGCTCATCCCCTTCCTTAAAGAATGGAAGATCTTCAAGGGACTTGCCCACTCATGAGGCAAGGCAAGATGACTGCCTTGGGCAGCAGGATCCACAGAATCCAGCCTCCAAGGAATGCACCACCACCCCCTGCTGCTGCTGCTGTCGCAGTGTCAGCAACAGCTGTTGCATGCTTCTTGGAGGGACGATCTTCTGCCTCCTCGGCAGTTGCCTCCACAACGGCCTCTCAGGGAATAGGAGGCACTGCTGGTCTCCTCTTCCACCTAGAGCTGCTCTTTGGGGTCTCCTGGGCTCTGCAGCTGCCCAGCATGATTCAGAACAGGCCCCCTTTCCCCCTGTAATGTCCTTTGATTCCCACTTCAGCCATTGGGGAAGGCTGATTTTATTCCCCACCCTTTGTTCCTGATGTAGATATTTATTCCCCCTTTGCTCCTGGGTGTAGGTCTTCACAGCCCTTCTTTCATAGCTGGGAGGGAGGTGCCATATTGTGGTTTGCCTCAGGTGCCAAATTGTATTGGGCTGGCCCTGGCCAGCTTACAGTCTACTCCTCCTTCCCCTTTCTGACTCCAGTTGAGTCATCTCCATAAATGGGGCAGCATGGAGATGCAGGTGCCTGACATAGAGGGAGACAGTTCTGGTGTGGGGCAAGGCTTGAAGGGTATGGTGTGTGGCTCTTGTCTGGGCATGATGTTGCTTCCTGGGTAGCCTTCTAGCACCTCTGGCTCCCGCACTACTGGCCTGAAGGGCCTGCTCTTCTGAGTCAGCAGCTGGAGTGAGGACTGCTCCTCAAGACTGGGGTTCTGACAAAAACTGCTATCTAATCTAGCACCACAAAGCTGATCCACAAATAGGCTGAGGGAGGCTCAAAGCAGTTCAAGGTCAGTTTAAACCTGCATGGGTTTTCCACTCCCTGTCTCCATTGACATACCTTTCCCTGTTGTTGTTGTTTATGAATCTTGGCTACACCCACCATTTTTCCCCAGGGGAAAGGCTGATTCCTGATAAAAGCAAGACCCTTGCTGTTTTGCTTCAGCACAGCTTAAACGGTTAAGTTGTCTTGTGGATTCTATATGTATTCTCCTTGCTGAATGTGCACACGCACACTGAGCATCAGAATTTGTAAAAGGGTGGTCTGATGAAAGCCAGCATATTGTCTCATTTCAGAACAATCCACAATATGCTTAAAAACATAGTGGAACCTTGGGTTGTGGATGTAATCCGTGATGGAGGCACGTCTGCAACCCGCAGCGTTTGTAACCTGCAGTGCCACATCTGCGCACGCGCGACGCGATTTGGCGCTTCTGCACATGCACAAGTGACGAAACCCGGAAGTAACCCTTTCCAGTACTTCCGAGTTTCCCACGGTCCACAACCCGAAAACACGTAACCCGAAGCGTTTGTAACCCAAGGTACCACTGTACAGTACACGACTTGCATTTCTGGATCAGAGCAAGGTCCATTTCCCAAGAACTTTATATTAAATGAATTTCCACAGTAGTGACCAGCCAGATTGCACAGAGCACTCATGGCGGATCTGGGCATAAATGTGGCAGCATCCACAGTTGTTTGCCTAGTTATGGCTAATTAGAGGAATTCTGCTTTTTCATTTAGGCCGTGGGTCTAAGAGCCCTGCTGGAACTATCCTATGTACCAGTTATCCCAGATGGGAGAAAGCAGTTCTTCTGTGATAGGGCATGTCATATGCATGCTCAGTTTGGGAGGTGAAGGAGTAAATCCACAGCCAGAGTTAAACACACCCTCTGGGTGGATCTACACACGGGGGGAAAACGCTATGGAAGATCACAAAGACTTTTTTTGCTCTCCAGCGCCATCTGGTGCTGCATGTTTATAACACATTCAAAACACAGTTTTTTGACTAATGTATCCGAGTCCTCTGTGTCCCTTGAAATACTACCAGGTCTCACTAGTCAGGGATTGTGCTAGCAACAACACTCCCATACTTCCCACACATGGAGGGAGCTAGTGAACCCATGACAATGAGGAGTCTCCCCATCACAAACCCCTATATCAAATCCATGCCCATCACATGCAAAGTAACACCACAAGAACCCTCCTTCCTGATCAGCTCCAATGGCACAACCTTGGTCCTTCCAAGTCCCCAGGCATCCTTCAGGCAAGGATCTCAAGTCTACTTACACTGCTCATGTGTTGTGTTTTAGAGCACGATAACCACACAATGGGGAGGAAGGACACAGAGCCTAGCACCCACACAGCTTCCTGGACAAGAGTTCTGGGGAAAAGTTAAAGACTCACCCACAGAGAGAAAAAGAAAGCCAGGGGAGAGCCAAGACACTCAACAGGGGGAACCACAGGCACACCCTGATGACAGCAAACACAGCCACCCCTTCCAGTGACTCACTCAGCGTAGGAAAGAGGAACGGGGAAGCAGGAGAAGCGTGTCTGAGCCCCACCAGGCAGACTCTGAAAGAAAAGGCGCTCCCACTCACCTTTTGAAAGGCCTGGCGCAGGGGAACCAGTCAAGTCAAGGCAAATGGGAGCTTCTGGAACTGAAACCCCTTCTGCAAGCTCTGCAGAGAAGTTCCCTACCCTTTTACCCACAGTAACAGACAGGAATCAGACAAATAATGGGGAACTAGTCTCTCCCACATCCCATAGGTTGTGCACACACTCCTGTTTTCTCTGCATCCAGTGTACTCCCACTACTGGTTCTGTAAGGAGTGTTCACAAGATGTTAGCCACAATCCATATCTATCTGTTGTTTCTTGGAAAATGCAGTACTTATGAAATACGTTTCTTATGAAATGATGCATTTCCTCTCAGCTTGAATTGAAGTAAAGAATAACCTGGCTACAAGGGAAGCTGTTTCCTGGGCTGCCGTTCCTCCCACTTCTGAGGGCGGTGGAACTACCAAGAGGACCCCCTCTGCCAATATGAGAGGGTCTGAACAGAAGGAGGCAGTCCTTCATATATTGACAACAGTAGAGGAGAACAACCCATTATCTAGCTCAGTCTCTCAACACCTTGGATTTGCTAAACTTGAGTGAATCATTGTCTTCTTGCCACTCCCAAACTGTGTTTTTCTGATTTTGATGCCCGATTAAGGAGAAGTGAGTGGTAAAGATCAAAGGCTTTCCCCCTACACCTCTGTCCAAACTCATATTGACAGCCTCTTGCATGCTTTGTGTGTTTTACTCACTCCAAGTTAGTCCAGTGGCCTGTTTTTCTGAACTTGTGGTATTAATTTCTTCTGGGCTTTTCTGAGTCTGGTATCTAGCTAGGTGTTTGAAGGCTAGGTATTTGACCCGATCCTGCAGAGCAGTTTATGTGTTTATATTGCACAAGCTTGAAAAATAATTTCGTTTGAAAAGATATGGCACAGATACAGAAATATTTATTAAATATAGGGTGTGCCTGATTTGTTTTTCACGTTAATAAAGCAAATGTCCCTTACTCTTTTGGAACCTACCACACAAGGATTTTCCACTTTCAGGGCCACCATTTCAGATTTCAGCTGTGGTGAAGGCAAACAGATGTTAGTGGGAAAGGATTAAGGGTCTCTGTCTAGTTTAAATATATTTCAAGATTAAATTATGGCAAGAAGACTGTATTTTAAATTGTAGCGACGTTTTTATACCTCATAGTAACTTTAACAGTGTCTTCAACATGAGTCAAAAGATTCATTCCTTTGACGTGTGAGTCAAGAAAATAGGCCCACTTATGGTTTATCACAGTAGTCAACCAGTATGTAGTGAGTAATCCAGAAAGATAGGTGTTGCTGAGAAATCATTGTTTTTGACCTTATTCTGAAACAGAGGTGGGTGGATGATGTTCCCTGACTTCCCTAAATGGAGTCCCTGCCCGTTATCCCGCTTCCTGAGATCAACCCACAGCATCCTCAGCTTTCAAGGGGAGAACAGCCTTTCATCTTTGAAAATGCAATTATGCAGGGAAAACTGATGAGCTCAGAAAAGACTTCTGTCTTTGGCCAGATGGACAGAGATTGTTGATGCCACACTGGACTCTAGGGGCTATATATTGTTAAAGGGAGGAAACCTTAAGGGAATTGGAAGGGGTGGGGAAAGGGCACTTTGGGCCTGAGGGTTAGAAAACCCAGCTTCTGTTGAAGCTGTGAGCCACGGTCTATACTAGGCCTCTGCTTCAACAGGACCTGGCCAGCTGCATTCACTGGGAGAAATGAAGAAAAACCAAGGAACCAGGAAGCAAAGGGACGTCTGGAAGTGAGGTTGGGTTGTCCCTCATGTTCTTACAATAAAAGGATATTACTGAGATGGGTAACTCTGGGAGCCATATTTCGGTGTTGGGAGTCTATAACATCCCTCAACTTGCAGAAAATCCTCAATTAATCAAAGGTGTTGTGCCATTGCACATTTAGGAGGCACACCCTCAAACAAAGGCTCTTCCTGAAACATTTGTGAAGAATTTGGGTTGGGTTGTTTTTAATTTTCCCACGTAAAGTACCCAAGCTTAATAAAATTTAGATGATCTAGCTATTAAATGTACCCTTGCTTGGGGGGAAAAAATCCCTACTGGGATTTGTTAGAAACGTTGACAAATTAATTAAATGTTGCACATGTAGGCTACTGGGTATGCCCAAGCCATTCAGCTGACAATAAAACCCTGCACTGGCAGGGGAGAGGGAACTGGGAAAATTCAGCTGGACCTCTTCAGAGCAGCCACAAGGGAAATTAGGGAAATGTCAAAACACACTCTCTCACTCTTTTTAAGCTCTTGGTTTGGAAGAATATCACAGTTCAAAAGCCTACCAATTTACAGAGAGAAAAGTCAGGCATGCATTAAAATTTTAGTCTGAACAAGGGAGGAATTAAGGAAGACACTCCCCCACACTTCCCTTTTCCTTATCTTGCATTCCTTATGGTCTTGGATTAATAGACTTAAAGGATTATGTGTGGAAATCTCAGGTAAAATGTTACTAACTGGAGTATTTGTGACAGAAGGGACTCTCCCTAAAGTATGTCACACCTCATCAAGGAAAAGCAGGAGGAGCAAAATTGTGACAAATGGGGGGGGGGGTTGGGTTTTGTTTAAAATTGGAGGAGGGAGTACAAGACTGGTGGTGACTAAAAAGGCCTTAAAAGGGTGACAGAATTTATGAAAGCTTGCTATTCAGAAGTCAGTCCTGGATATGTTTTGCCCATATGTTGAATTTGATTACAGCTTATGCAGAAATACATATATACCTCATTGGACGGTTATGACTCTCCATCCTTGGAGGTTTTTAAGCAGTGGTTGGATGACCATATGCCATGGGTGCTTTAGCTGAGATTCCTGCATTGCAGGGGGTTGGACTAGATGACCCTTGGGTCCCTTCCAACTCTAAAACTCTATGATTCTATGATAATAACTGTGTTATTACTATTAACACTGTTTACTTTGTCACACAAAATGTAAAGGCATTTTCATATGTGTTGGCACGCATGAAAAATTCCAAAATCCACACTCGGGCAATATTTCTGTTATTATGCCAACCAAAATGTTACAGTAGCTTAGATACTATTTTGCGATATTTTGGTTGGCCTAATAAGGTTGTTGCCCTAATATGGATTTTGGAACTGTTTCATCTTCTAAATCTATCCTTCTCTGGGTCATCAGGACCAGCATTTGTGCTTCTTTGCCATATAGAAAAAGCACCACTAAGGTTTCGATACAAGAATGCATTTGTATTGGAGGTCATTTGGTACATCACTCCATCTGATGTGAAAATCTTAAGCCTGCTTCATTCAGCAGCCAACCAATTAAACTTTGTCTTGACTTTGGCACAAGGGAAAAAATATTTCCCAGTTCCTCCTTCTGAGCAGCAGGGATTATCTGTGCGCCGCTGAAATGAGCCAGCCCTCCCTTTCCCTCCTGCAACAATAAATGCCACATTGATTTAGAATGAGCGGCTTGTTTTACAGTGCTGCATCTCTGCACCAGCTTTCTCCACCGAGGCTGGGGCATTTCCCTTTTAAGAGCTTGCAAAACTGGAAGGGAACGAGGCAAAGAAGGAAAATCTAGGCCATTGCCCCTTTTAAGCTGCAATTCTGCCTGCCTGTCTCCCTTTAATCTGCACCCAAAGCCCCAGGATCAGAGGCTGACGTCATCCTGCCCCTGAGCCTCCCTCTCTGATTGGCTGAGGGTGACGTCAGGTGCTTTTTTTCAAGGCATGACCTCATCCTCAGTTCATTTTTAGTTCTAAAGTGCAACCTTCTGTCTTCCTGGATCCCTTCAGCCCTGTTAATGCTTATCTGTGCTACCTCCCCCCCTCACACTACCCTCGCCCCTTCTGCAGATACATGCCTGCCCCTTAGTTACAGGGCTGGCATTATGAGCGCATTTCAGTGTGGCTGCGCGCGTGTATTTGCAGAGGGTTAGATCTTGCATCATCAGCACTTGCCCCAGCGTTTCCAGAGCGTTTCCCACCCGACCTTCTCGTAATTGTGGTTAAATCATCCTGACGAATGTGCAGAAATCTGCAATCAGCTGGAGGGTTTAAAGGGCTTTGATCCTAGGCTGCAGAGGAAGTGCCAGGAAGGTAAGTGTTTTTAAATATTATTAAGGATCCGCGCGAGAGTCGGGGGTGGCGGCGGGGACTGGACTTCCACATATCGCTTAATGACCCTGCAGAATACTGCAGTACGGGAGATCCCATGCGGGTTTGTATGGGGGGCGGGTGGGCAGCGGGGTGGGTACTACAACCTGCACAGGCTTTTAATACGCTTGTTGGACCTTCCGCATCAAGACGCGAATGCTGCATGTTGCTGCATTCAGCATGCGTTCCTATGGAATCCTATGTGTAATGCCGGCTTCTACTAGATCTGTGACTGTGCATAAATTTAGTGCATGCATCGTAATCTTATCTGGGAGGGGATGGGGGAGTGGGGTGGTGCTAATTTTGGAAGGTAGAGTAGGTGCCGAAGGTTTTTGCAAAAAAATAAATAAAGGCAGAAGGAACACCTCTCCAATGCTGCATACAGAAAAATGCGCAGTAGAGTCAGCCGCGCTGCAGGGAAGGGAGAGCTGCGTTCAGCGAATCGCATATTTATGACGTGTGTTTAAGTAACAGGAGGGTTTTAAGAATCGGATTATACTAGGCTGAAATAAAACCGCAGGCTCCTGCGAAGTGAAGGGAAAGTCTCTGTGTGCGCGCAGTTGTGACCGGGGCGGGGTGGGGGGACGTGTTTGTGTGCGTTTCTGCTAAGAGGTGGTTGTTATGCCTCGAGACTTTTCCAGGAAGGATCAGACGAGGAGAAATGTTCAAGGCTCGCTTTGGATGCGGAGCGTGGAGTGTCCTCATTCTTTTTAGGATTGCGGGGGGAGAGAGAGACAGAGACGGTCCATAAAGCTTTCCCCCTGTGGTTTGTGAGGTTGGTGTTAACAGCCCTGTGGTTTCCTAATGCCGAAAGAGTTTGGTTTGCCGCCCGGTTCCTTGGCGCTTCGGAAGCACCCGAGGAAACAAGAGTCTGCTGCGTTTCACCTTGGCTAGCGCCTTGACTAGGAGCAGCAGTGCGTGTGTGTGTGCTGTGATTCAGCATTTGACGGTTTGAAAACAACAACCACCTCATCCAATAGTATGGTCAGGAAGGTTTGCCCACATTTCATGTCTTCAGTTCAATCAGGAACAGAGCAGGAAGGGCCTTTTCCCCCCTTGGTGGTGGAGATGGGGGACCTTTTTATTTTATTTTTTGCACGATACAGAATTAAGATTTGATACAGCTGTGGCCAAGAAATACTGCATGCAGACGTTCTTCTGGGGCCTTTCTGTAGGAGAGGGATTGCCGACTTGTCATAATGCATGGATTTTTTGGGTGGGTGGGTGTGAAATCACTATGCTGTCAGTTGCAAAGGTTCTAATCCAAGCTTCATCGCTTTAGGCATCACACACACACACACACACACACACACACTTAACAACCTGCATCTCAGTATGATTAAAAATATAAGACTTCTCTATACATCTCTCATAATGAATGTAAAGAGTTGTTTCAGCCCTAGCTCCTGCAAGCATCAGCTTAATAGTACGGCCATCTATAGAAATGCTTGTACTCCCTTGTTTTGAAGCCTTGCAACAAATGACTCCCAAGATCTTGCTGCAGTTTGGCTTAATTCTGGCACAACACAGTTGAATTACGCTAGTCAAAATGCAAAAACTGCAGGGTGGAGGGACAGAAGCCCCCATGTAAATTAACCAATGCAAGCCAGAACTTACCTTTTCGTACCTTTTTTTGGTAAGGCCAGTGCAACTTATATTTAAGGCTTGCATGACTACCTAGAAGCTTGGCATCACAACAACCCTGTGAGATAAATTAGGCTGAGAATACGTAAAGCTGAGCAGACATTGATTTGCTTTATCCAGACATTCTAGCCATTGCATCAGGCTTACCCTCTGGGTACTATTTTATAAAAGTATGGCTATTTTCACTGATGACACAAAGCAGTCAGTCTAGTCTTTCGTGCCACTTGTATACAGGTGTGAACAATGGGAAAGTAAGGGAAACGAAGCTGTTTTTAAACCGAATGTGCATTCTACTTTGTGTGGGTTTTGCAATCGTATTTTGCATGCAGGGAATGCAAAAAAGAAAAAGGAAATACTTTCAGTGTCATGGATGAAAATGCCCTTTGTCTGTAATGAAGTCTAAGGAGGCTATGTGTGAATGGTCATTGCATCCAAGCCAGGGAAGTGTGCTGAGCAGACAGCATTACACATTTTGATAGGTCAGCTGATTTGTTTTGCACGTGAACAATAGCTGAGCTCAAGTCTGAATGAAACTGGTGTGAGCAATAAAGAGAGAAGGGTTGCTAGCTTCACTGCACTGGGTGCTAGATGTCTTCTGTTCACCTCAAACCTTGCATGGGATGATCTCTCTCTTTCTCAGTCTCTCTCTCTCTCTCGCACACAAACACCCACACCCACAGTTTGATTCCCTCTCCAGTTCTTTTCTTGTCACAGAAAGGGCCCAGATACCTCATCATAGGGACAATGGACCAGGCATCCTCCAGTCCCCCAGACAAGGCTACCAGATTTCAACTTGGATATGTTTAACCATTCTAGAGCTGCAAAGGGATTCATCCACAGCATCCTGATCCTCTCTTTCTTCTTTGGCCCCTTTGTCCATCTTCTCTTTCCAACTGCTGAGTGGTTAAAAAAAAAAAATCCCTGGTGGAAATGGTTGGTCAAGAAGCTGTGGATTCGGAAAATTCAAAACCGCCCCTTCCTTCATGGCTGTGTGGTTGTTCAGAAACAGCATGATCTCTGGGCAGCAATTTAGCAGCTTGACTAGCAGGCCGGTGTAGACTGCGGTGTGTCACATGAAGAGAGCCTGCGCTTCAAAGGGGAATCCCACAAAGAAAAATGAAAAGCATCCCCAAAGCCCAGGGTCATTGGCCAAATAAGATTGTGTACGAGGAAACACTCTCCCACTCTCAATTAGATGGAACGACCAGTCAGATTCAGAGTACGGCCATCTGCACCTGTGCACTGATTCAGTTCTTATGAGCTGTGCTGAGCGCCACTCATTAAAATGTCGAACAGCAGTCAGTGCAGGTGAGAGCAGTGACTGGTGGGAGTTAGGAAGAGGCTTGCAAAGCAAGCCTCCCGGTTGCTGGCCTGGCACTGCAGTGAAAAGCACTGTCCAGAAGCACCTTAAATAGCATATGTTTAACTCCAGTACTGAGCTGTAGGCTTTGCAGAAAACAGAAGGGTCACAGCACCTTCCCCGTCCTGAGCACATGTGTCTCTTGTGGCTTGACAGAAATGAAGGTGAGAAGCATAGCTTGGTACTGGAAGTATCAAATATGGACAGAAAATGAATGAACCTTACAACATTTCATTTCCTCATGCTGGAAAGGGGTTGTTTGTAGATGGGCTATTTCTCCACAGGGGCTTGGGGAAAACACTTCTTTGTTTGTTCACAGGTCCAGCTAGTGTGTTTCTGTAATGAGCAGGATTTTTAAAACCCACACAATTGGCTGTGCAGGATGAAAACGCCTACTCTAAAGATCAAGCTATCCAGGCAAGAATTCTCCAACTGTTTAACCCTGAATATTCTCCAGTATGGCACAGTGAAGTTGTTAAGTGTGTGGATATGTTTGTACCACAGATACAGGAGAAGGTGATCTTCAGGTAATGTGGTCACAAGTCATAAAGGTTTAAGACCAGCACATTAAATTGGGCCTGGAAATAGACTAGCAGCCGGTGCAGCTGACAAACCACGGGCAGAATTCAGTCAGAACCATGGGCTAGGAGTATGTGTGTGTGTGCACACGTGCACATTCATATAATATTGTATGGTATATGAAGTTAAACATGGTAGTAAGATGGTCTTCAGTGAAACGTGGAAAAAGGCAACTACAGATTCACTCTTTATTCATTATTCCATAGGAATAGCTAAAGGGGGAAAGTGGGGTGATGGTTTAGAAAGTGCTCTAAATAGGTAATGGTATGCATTGACAAGAGCAGGGTGGAATGAATGGAATATGGCTTGTTGAAACTTTGTATATCCCTTCATCCTGGGCTTTTAATTTCACACTGTGAAATTTGCGCAGGCTTAGTGGATTCCACATCTGTGTTTGTGTGTTGTAGCAAAGAAGACAAGAGAGTCTGGCGACTTAAAGGCTGTTATTTCAGCATGAGATTTCACATCCTTGTTTAAAAAGATGGAGAAAGTATGCAGCATGTAAACAAGAGAAACACAGCCCTGAGTATTTATAAAGTATGGCCCTGTCACTGAATTATCTGCAAGAAAGCTGCAATTTTTATTTATTTTACTTTTGTACAGGGGTCATATAAAATCCTTGCAAACTGCAGCAGCCTTTCACTTTAGCAACAGAACAGAGCCATTTCAATGCTTTCTATCCAAATGAATAATAAGTTAAAACTAGTCCTTCAAGCTCTGCATTTTCCCCACCCCATTTTGCAAAATTATTTCATCAAATATTCGTTTGGAGTAAGTTAGTCAGGGCAAGATAACATAGTGGAACAGAAGTGAACCTATTATTGGGTTTTTCTAAGGCTTGTCCTTATGAATATGACTGCACTCTAGCAGTGGGACCATAATGCCTACTTCATCATAAATTTGGGTTTAACAGTGCATTATATAGAAGGGCAAGCAGTTACTACATTTGTTTATTCATTTATTTAAAAATAGTGGGTTTTTTCCTGTTTGCAATTCATTGATTTATATGTTTCAGTGTAGACTATCAGTAGAATTAGTCAGAGTTATTTTATATGAAATCAATTATGGGATATATTAATATGGGCTTGATTTCTACTCATGGCTGACAGTTCAATCTTTGCTGCTGATTTAATACAGACTTAGACCACATTGTGCAGTCAAATTTATACTGGCATGGTTTTTTTCTTTAAATGTGGAGAAGCTGGGTGGGCCAACATAGTTTATTTTGTAGTGAGCTAATTGAGTTTTTTTGTGTGTAGCATTTATGCTGGTTTAACTGCTGTAAGTTTATTCTCTGGCATATTAGTGAAAACTGAAAGCAAGTGCACTTGAAAAAATGCAAGTGCTTCTGAAAAGTAGGCGGCTTTTGGCAATTTTCCTGTAGACACAAAGTGGTTTCTTATGGTAGACTTAATGGACTGTTGATGGAATAAAGTACTAGAGTCTTACATCACTTGCAATCAAGCTGAAATGGGAAGCGGAGGAGAAAATACAGTGAATTCAACTCTGCAAAATTAAACACACACGTTTCTGAGGCATTAAAATAGCATAAATGGTAAAGATACCTAAAGAGTTAATCAACAGTGCAAATATTTCTTACACTGCTATCTAAGTCATGACTGCCAATAAATCATCTTTCCTACTTTTTATGCCAACATGGCAACAATGTTGTAAAACGCTATTGAAGAGCTTCTTAACTGTTTCAATTAATTAAAACTACAGAGAGCCAGTGTGGCGTAATGGATAGATGTGAGATTAGAATTGACGGTAGGGGTGCGCTGCATGGGAATAGTAGAAATTGTGGAAGCAAGATAATTGACATTGGAAATTATTTTCTTGATGTCATTTTGATGCCTCGTGCTCATTATCTTTTTTGGTGGTGTTGTCTATTCCAGATACCTTTTCCAGTACCTGGGGTCCTGGTCACCCCATTTTTCTTCAGATATTTCTTGTTGTTCTTTAAGCCACAAGTGAGGTGGGTTTATACATTTCCTTACTGGTTCCAGATTATGTGAAAGACACAGAAGCAAGAAAGATAAAATATTTTAGTAGATCAGCTTTGCAGGGGAAAGGCTGACCTTTCAGTTGGACTGTTACAGTTTGTAAAACCTTCAGGACTCAGAGCCCATCTTTTGCAAAGTGCTACTCTTCCAGAAATAGTTAGCAAATGAAAAGTCACTCTACCATATGCTGGGCTGGTGTAGATCCGGAAGTTTTGTTTAATGTCTCTCCCATCACTTGGACCACAGTTGCTCTGTGTGTGTCAGAGACAGAGACTGCTGCTATGAGCTTTAAACTATTGATCTGCATTATAGTAATTTTCCTTTCGGAGCATTGGCTTCTGTGAAGATACAGGACTTGGATCTTCATCTGTCTCACTGTCAGCCTGGCTTTGAATTGGGTTAGCTCCAAGGTGCACTAATTTGTTACATTATGCTGTTCAGTAGGTATGGTTCATAGACTGTGCCAATATGAGGAACTCCTGCCCAGCACCGAAAAATGAAAAAAGGCAATACAAGATGGATTTCTTTAGGTTCTCAGCTGATGGTCTGAAACATGAAGGCTCCCTTTGTACATAGGCAGGAAGTGCATAAATAATTTTATTTACCATTAATGTTAAAACTTCCATTAACATCAGTAAGGTCCAAATTCAGTAGTTTCACACATCCTGGCCAGTTTAAGTTGATGTGTATAGCAATATGTGCAGAATAAACAGGGGAGAAAACTACTCTGGAGTGAGTGTTTACACATTTATTTAGCTATTTCTTCTTTTTTTATCAGTCATATACCAGTTCTAGTGAAATTCTAAAGCTAAACTGAGATCAGCAGCAAAATGGCGTGGGGGAAAGGATTAAGGCTGCGCATCACTGGATTGCCTCTGATTCAACCATATTTAAACTATGTCATGGAAAATAAGTAGGCATTGTATCTGTAGTTTTAATTCATTACTGAAACAGGGATGAATAAAACCCTTTATATGAGCATGCCTGTCCGCTTCAGAGCAACGCTTACAGGATGAATTCATGTAATGGTTAATGCATGACAAGCTTGCTGCGGGCCTCCTTTCCTTTCCATTGACAAATACTATGCTAAGAGACTTGGAGTGTGTTGATGGTGTGTATTTATTGATTACATTTTTATCTTGCTGTCCCTGCTATGAGCTCAGCACTGTGTGTGCTGCTCCCTCCTCCTCCTCCCAGTCTTCCTATGCTGTGTTGAAAGGTAGCCCAAAGTGCTTCCAAATGAATTGTGCATTTGAACATGGGCACCTTTGAACCTAGTACAACAAGAACTGGCAACACAGGCAGGCAACCAGTCAGGTCTCGAAAATCCCAAATGCACTCTGTGTGTGTGTGTGTGTGAGAGAGAGAGAGTTGGGCGGTGATGTTCCTCAAATTTCTGTTTCTTTTGTCAAGGAAATTTGCATGGCTGTGCGCAAGATAGTGCTTAAAAATCTGGTGACAAAGAAATGACTCGATGGATGCAAGAAGCAGTTTTGTTAAGCATGGCACATTCTTTGTCCAGGGAAATATATATACCTTTTTAAATATATACAGTATGCTTTCCTTTTTTATTGCTCCTAAAGGGAGGCACTGATAAGGAAAAGCTTGCCTTCTACAATGCATTTTGGAGCAAGTAAAAAAAAGGAACATTAGAATATATATTTCTGTGACAAAGAGCTAAACCGGAACTGGGAAACCTGTGAGCTTCCAGATGTTGCTGGACTCCAGCTCCCATCAGCCCCAGTCAGCATGGTCAGTGGTCAAGGATGATGGAAGTTATATTCCAACAGCATATGGAGGGCCACAGGTTTCCACCCAAGAGCTAAACTCAAGAAGGGCTGTTTTTTAGGATAAAAAACTGCTTGCTTCAGCATTTGAATCATTCCCTTTGCCTCTGGATATCCAGTGCCAGTGGCCCCAGAATTTGAGGCTGGTGCCTTGACATTTTGAATTACTTGGCCTATAAGCAATCAAGTGATGGCTTCTGTTATCATGTGAGAATTATGGTCATTTGAGTTCTTTGAATGTCTTCCCCTTTTGTTTGCTAAAATCTGAGTTATCATTTTCACGAGGCTGTTCTTTTTTAAGCCTTCCTCCCGCCCCGCCCCCCACTTGTTCCTAGCTTTGACACCAGCATATGGTTTGATCAACTAGTAACTGGCCCCAAAGATGGAGATATGGTGCCAAATTGGAAAGGGATTCAAAAGGAAGAAAATTATCCACTTGGTTCTTTCCCATGACCAGTGGGCTTTGTTGCACCTAAAAGACCAGCTGCCCTAATTGCTTTTCATTTCCCCTTCTAAAGAACTGCTGAAACATGTGATCGGGTTGCCAGCATCCTGGCTTGACCTGCTCCTGTGTCGTTAACAGCAGGCTGGTCTAAAGAAATTGGTAGCTTTTCATTGCATGGGCATGGCACGGAGCATATTGCCATCTGCTAATGATCTGTATCAGCCTTCCCTAGTCCAGCTGTGCTGCCTAGAGATAATGGAGGGCACCAGGTGGAGAAGGATGATATAGACCAACCTTAAAGGTGAAGGTGCAATGGCTGATCAAATGTTTACATTTCTAACTGGTAGTAGACCAGGTTATTTACAATCCACATTATTCAGGACTGTGCACTTAAGCAGGAGCTGGAGCCAGTCTCACCTTGGAGTATACCTTCATGTTGGATGTTTCTGCAAATGTTTCTTGCATAAACACTTTACACTTGTAGGTGCATAATGCTAAAAACTTTATTGTGCACCTTAAAACGTAATTGTGAAGTGGCCTCCTTGGATAGGGCATGCCATCAGACAAAGGACAGGCTTTTGATAACAAGAATGCCCTAAAAAGTATACAACTTTGGAATCCATTTTTGAGAACAAATACTGGAATGTTCTGCCTCCCTTTTCCAGCCAAAGTGGCTAATGAGCTGACCCATTTTGCCAGCTGTTACATCAATGATCCCACTGGAGATTATCTGTGCTGGAATGCTTTTCCCCTATTCTGTAAATTGGTGCAGTGAGGAATGAGAGATTTTTTGATGCAAGAAGAAAACCATTAAGTTCCAGCAGTGCGCATTTGCTACTCTGGGTAGCTGGGCTGGATGAGGGAGGAAGAAGAACATGCACTTGGTTGATCTCTTACCCTCCTCCCAAAACACTGCATCAGCAAGCACAGCAATCCTGTTTGTAAATCGCAATTTTCAACCTAAAATTCAGGAATCACATATCCCATAGTGTTGGCCCATCATCTGCATGCCAGATGTTCTTCCTCTTGGCATAAAGGTAGAGTATGTAAGTAGGACCTCTCCAAGCTCCCCGATAGTGCCAGCCTATGAATCTCTTTGAGAAACTATTGTGCTTACAAGTACTGGTGAATGCAGGAAGTTGGACTGGATTGAACAGCTAAGGAATGGTCACACCTAGGCCAGTGTTTTGCATTACTTTTTATTATACTGGAGGACTTCTCTTAAATCATTCCCAGAGATTTGCAGCATTGTTGGAAACGATAATATGTAAAAAGTTTCCACAGTGACATTTTTAAGCATAGGAGTGATTATAACTTGGACAGTAGCTCCTGCTAACTTGTGTTCAGTATGAAGTTAAATCACTCTGAGTGCTCTTCCATTACTCCAAAGGTGACTTCATAGAGTAGAAACTCAATGCCTGTGTGAGTGTTTACATGAGGGGTGGGATTCTGTGGCCTTCCAGATGTTGCTAGACTCTAAATCCCATCTTCCATGACAGTTCCCCACCCCACCCCACCCCGGTTTTCAAATTAATTTATCTTGAGACCATCATTGCAAGGTCACTGGACATCAGAGACGGGAGTATATTACATGCAAGGAAGGGATGTCCTTGATTAGTCTTCTTTTTCCTCCCTTCTGTTTCACTTCAGAATAATTGCACCCCCAACCCATCATGGGATGGGTTATTGAAGTATACTCAAGCATGTACGCCTGTCAGGAACTGTTAGGAAGCATGTTAGAAGGCTGTGGAAAACGGGACTCAGATGGTGGAGTTGTTGATATTCGCTAATTGTTCCACTGAACTCTTACTCCTAGATAAGTGTGCACAATTGTAGGTTCAATAACTGTATATTTGGGGCTTCTTGGTATTGCTGAAAACCCCTTTTCAGATTTCTCAATATAAATGGTTGTGTGGGAGCTTAGGAATGCAGAAGTCTTTCTGGAATTCCGCTTTTACAGTCAGTCATTGGAGTTCATGGGAAGGGTACATTGTTGTCTTCTTATGTGAGTCACTCCTATGATTTGAACCATCATTGGGTAGGTTTATACATGTGCTTATTTGTTGAAAAGTCATGGCTCTGCTGAGAATGCAGGAGTCCAGTGGACCATTTTGAGTTGGGAGACTATGGACAAGCTCCCACAAATATTAGACTTGTTTCTTCTCTCTGCCTCTTCAGAGTTCAGGTAAGGCTGGCCTAATTGAATATGCTCCAGAAATCTTTCCCAAACACAGAAAACTGGATGTTCAGGGGGAAAGGTTTTAGTCTAGTGTACTCCCAAGCGTGCTAGTTTGTATATACAGAAAAGTATTTTGATTCATGTTCTTATTAACAGATTTTGGCTTTTCACTTGTACTTGTCACAGTGCTAAAGAGTCTTACAAATGCCTATCAATTTCCATATGGGCAGCAAGAATGAGGGCTACAAGATCTTACGAAGGAAACATATAATCTTTTCTGGGAAGATGCCCAGGACAGATGGTCTAGGAATGGTTTGACCCATTCTTTTTTTGTTAATTTATTGGTATAGAATTGAGAAACTGCCTTCCAGGTCCACAATGTGTGTTATTTGCAGTTCCATGAGCATATTAGGAAATGCAACTTAAACTCCACTATAAGAAGACTGAAATGTCAACAATGAATCAACTTTGTTCAGTGATTAAACAGGCTTTAATTATCCTTGTGTGTCAAATAGAGGTCCAGAACTCAGGTTATATAGCATGCCCAGTGTCTGCTTCACATGCTTCTTGTAAACTATCCATGTTTCCACAGGACAGACTAAGAAAGCTGTTGTAAATACTGGAAACCAAGGCAATTCATGTGAAGTGTGTGGCATTAATTTCCAAAATATTTTCGACCATTTCATTCTTGTAAGTTGCCTTGAGGTCTTTTTTTAGATAGGTGGGCTATCCTTTTTTTTTCTTCCTTTTTTGAATAAATAAGTAATATAAAATAAGACTTGATTGGCATGAGCAGTGAAAATCTGCACTCATGAAAGTAACTTCTGTGCCGAATGTCTTTTAATGAGCGATGTTACGAAAATGCTAATTACGCATATGTTGCCCTATTTTTCTAATTGCACCTGTTTTCAACATTGGTTTGCTCTTCAAAAGTTAGCCAGAGGGAGTGCAGAGATTAGTACAGAAAAGGGGGGGGGGGCTGGGAGTGGAATCCCACCCGATTTGAGTGGATAAGGGCCATCTCTTGAAAAAGACTTTCAAAGATGCTTTTGGGCCCCAAAGCAGACAAGGTATCTCCACCCACCCACAGTGGGCAACACCTTAACAGGGCAGTCTGTGGAGATGTTGTCCCCCGTTCCAAACTGATGTTCTGGCTGTAGGAAATTGCCTGGGCAGCAGAGAGAACCAGGCTATGCCTGAAATAGTAAGAAACCTGGTCAGTGTCTGCCGGGGCTCTAAGGTATAGCTGTTGCCTGGCATCTGTGCGGTTGCTGTGGAAACACAAGGCACTAACTTGTTAATAGGACTCGTATCCTTGCTTGCCACTACGGCAAAAATATGAATAATGATTTGGTAATAGTCATGTGATGTAGGGATTCCTTGTGTGGCATGGGGTGGGTGCTAGAGTGAGGCTTGCTAAGCACTTAAGCACTTGAAAGAAGAAGGGGTGGGTGAAAGGGAGGGAGGTAGGGAGAGATTTTAGCTACAGTGCCAGAATTTACATCTTAATAAGACTGTAGGTAGCTGCCCAGCTTAAGCCATCCTGCCAGCATTTCAGGTTCTAAGCTGACAGTTACTTGCCTTAGTAATCCTTCCGGCAGATAATAAACTGCCATGCCTGAAGACTGAACCAAGAATTACTTTCTGTCAACCCCTTGCCCTGCACATATTTTATTCTGAAGGCTTGCACACACTGTTACCCTTTACCCTTTAATTGCTGTACCAGGAAGCAAGTGCTACATGTAGCTCTCTACATAATGGCAGCCCTGTCTCCAAGCGGTGGCTACAGAAGATTCACTAAACAGCAGCTGGAAGCCCCAGGGCTATATCTGGCCTCTTACTTGCCAGACTAGAAGCAAATGGGGTATGGAGAAAATAGCTGGGGATTCACTCAGACCATCTCACTATGTGTTTAGTGGCTGTGTGAACAGGCTTTACATGCAAATAGATGTAGATCATGGGTAGGCAAACCAAGGCCCGGGGGCCGGATCCGGCCCAATCGCCTTCTCAGTCCGGCCCGTGGATGGTCCAGGAATCAGCATGTTTTTACATGAGTAGAATGTGTCCTTTTATTTAAAATGCATCTCTGGGTTATTTGTGGGGCATAGGAATTTGTTCATTCCCCCCCCAAAAAAAAAATATTGTCTGGCCCCCACAAGGTCTGAGGGACAGTGGACTGGCCCCCTGCTGAAAAAGTTTGCTGACCCCTGATGTAGATCCTGAATGTCCCACGATACCCCCCCTCCACATGCTCCACCATGGAGGAGCACATATTCTACATTGCAGTGTGCCTGCAATTGTGCTGCAGCATTCTGTGCTAACCAGTTTCAGCTACAAAAAGAGCCTCCTGTCCAGTACTGTACATGCAGTAATTTATTTGTGTAGTTAGCAACACTTGAACGAAAAGCTAATCCTGGTCCAGCAATGGTCATAGCTCTTATATTGGCCAAAACTGGTGAAGGGGCTGCAGAGGCTATCTGGGCCTCCAGTAATGTAGCTGGTTGCAGGAGCACCTCCAGATTTTGTGTCTTCTCTTTCAGAGAGGCTGTAACTTCATTAAAGGCTGACAGTTGGCCAGCTTCTCAGACACAGAAACCACTCGCCCACAGAGCCTGTCTTGCCAAGATTCTAGCTCGTTTCCCCTCATTCATTCCACCGCTCCATCCAGGTATGCATCCAGGACCTGCATGGCATCTTGCTTCAGACAGAGAAATAGAGCTGAGGGTCACCAGCATACTTTTGGTAGCTTGTGTTAAGTCTCCTAATGGCCACAAATAGCACTGGGCATAAAGTAGGGCTCCATAGCTTAATTGCTTGGGGACCAGAAAGCGCTGTCCCAATGCTACTGACTGTGCTTGGCCCAGCGGATAGGACTGGAACCACTGTAACACGGTGCCCCTGATGCCCATCCCACAGAGCTAATACAGGAGGATACCATGGTCAATAGTATCGAAAGCCACCGAGTGATTGAGAAGAAGGAGCAAGTTCACACTCCCCTTGTCCCATTCTTGATAATGGTCATCCATCGGGGCAACCAAGAGCAATTGGGTCCCATGGCTAGGCCTGAAACCAGATTGGAATGGGTCTAGATCAGGGTTAGGGAACAGGATCTGGCCAGCTGGCAGGCTAGTCGCTCAGGTCCCTCAGCCCCTTGGTGCTGATTGCAAACTCTGCTTTGGAAGGCGTTGGCTGCATTTAGGCATGGCTTGCATCTGGTGCCCAATTTAAAAGGTGCTGAATGCAAGCCCTGCTTGTCAAGGAATTATTAGAAGTACACTTTAAGGTTTCTGATTTGTTCTTTCTCAGCCATGGTTTTACTAGCACCGCATCTGATGCCTTGTACGGTGTTGGGTGTGGACAGGTTCGCATGGCTTAGGGAAAAATAAGGGCACATAGGCTGGAAGTTTTGGCACATAGGCCGGAAGTTTGCCATGCCTGCTTTAGATTAGGCAGGCATGTCCAATGTCCTAATGGGGCCCATCGGTCAATTCAGTCCAGACCCTGTGGCAGTATATGTCCTGGGGTAAAATCCTAAAAAAAAGCCCAGCAACTTCAATCCTAAAAAAATATCAACCATAAACTTCAATCCTAAAAAAAGCTCAATGACTTTGGTCAGCCCTCACGCATGTTTACTTCATCAGATCTGACCCTCTTTGAAAAAAGTTTGGGCACCCCTGCTCTAAGGATTCCTGAAGTTTCATTCAAGGAGCTTAGTGCTCTCTTGGCATGACTCCACTGTATCTTCTCCTCCCTTCACTACAGGAATCTGCATGTTGTCCTCAGGCAGCCTGTAGTTACCCTAATACCAATGTTAAGCTGCCTGTCTTGTCCCAAAGCTGCAGCTTGGCACTGCACCTCCTCCTTTAATATTTTCATTCAGGTTAACCCTGTGCCCATCTCCTCACTAAAGTCATTCAAGAGAGATGTGGGATTAAAGGATTATGATAATGGTCTTCAGGAGCACTCAAGAAGATTACAGTGGCTTTGATAAACTGATAAAAGAGGGGCATCATATTAACCTTCCCCCACCTTTAAGAATTAGTAGCCTGTGGTCATTGTATTGAGGTAATAAGGTATACCTAATTCCTTAATTTTACCTCCTCTTCATAAAATGCCTAGACTTGCAGCTTGCTCACATGAATCCCCTCTGAAGTTTGTAAGATTGTTGCTGGGTTAATGAGGAAGGTCTATTTGTGTTAACTGGTATCTTAAGAACATAAAAACCCTACTGGGTCAAGCCAAAGGCCCATCTTGTCCACTATCCTGTTCTCACAGTGGCCAAACCGATGCCCATGGGAAAGCAGCAAGCAGGACCTGAGTAAAACAGCACATTCCCCACTTGTGATTCCCACTAACTGGTGTTCAGAGACACATTGCCTCTGACAGTGGAGGCAGGACATTGCCAAGAAGATTGTTTTCTTGTTGGGAGCTTATGCATTTGGTTTAACAGTTTTTGTGATGTAAGGCCTTTGGTCCTTAACTTGAAGAGTTTTAGGTATTTGTGGCCTCCAGTGGGATAAGATGTTTTAGACCTGCCCCTTATATGAATGGATGTGATTTTAGTTTTCTCTTCTCTTTTGGGGGTTTTAAATATTTGGTTTTAATGTTTATACTATTCTGTAAGTCACTTTTAGCCACTTTTTGTGAGAATAAATACAATAAAAAAGAGTATTGTGGTTGTATCATTTAATATAAATAGTGCCTCCATGTGAGCCCATTAGCAGACTCTGCACAGACTTGAACCAATGCCTATCTGAACTGGACCTCAGAAGACATCCTTTTTCCAAGGCCAGGTAGTGCTTCCTGGTAATATTCTTTTTAAAAAGCTGTGAGAGAGAGACAATGAATAACACAGAGCTTGAAAAATTGTAAATTTTGCTAGCTTATTAAATTGGGGGTGGGTTCAGACTAAATTATATTTTTTAATTCAGCTGTGCCAGAGTCAAGTCAAATATTTTCCCCCTCCCTGCTGGTTCCCAAGAAGATATTGTTTTCCTTTGCTTTGGCAGCCTGATAAAGAAATAGGCTAAACATTTTCAGATTCTTCCCTGGAAATTTTGTTATTTTAAAATTAATAATTAAGAGGGTTTTTTAATAACTTGGTTGCAGTCATGTTGCTGCCACTCTTCCCAGCAGCTGACCACCGCAAGTCAGATTCAGCCAACCAGTCATATCCTGTGGCCTGCTTGTAGTTGACAAATCTCTCTCCTTTTCCTTTCCTTTCCTTTCCAAGAGGTGTATTGAACCTGTGGCAGGCCTTGACGCATGGCTAGTGGGCTGCATCCTGCTTGATGTGGGCCTGCTTTTGACTCACTTCTTCACTAGGATGGTTTTTGCTGGCAATTGCTCCTGGGATGAGGAGTTCCTCTGGGGGTGCAACCCAACCCCTCTCAAGTTAACACTTTCCCCCTTATTTGGGGATGTGTGCATTTCCTATGTCTTGTAACTCATGATTTCCACTTCCAGTTTGCTTTCACTGCTTTTGTGCTTTTTTGACATGTCCTTTTTCTTTCTTTCTTGGGGCTGGCTTTGTATAGTTTTTTGCAGGTAAATGACCACATTCCCCTGGGAGAAAATAGTGAGGTTGGGGGAGGGCACATACAGGAGGCTCAAACAGAAAGTAGATGGGAGCAAGAACCAAAAATGGGCAGGAGCGCCCATCTTTCTGTCACCTCTCTCCATCCTTGTCTTTCCCCTTCATTCATCCACACCTCCCCTTTCACTCAGTCTGTCCATCCCTTCACATCCCCCCCATTTACATTCCTCCACACACCCTCCCTGTTTACATGCATCCTTCCTCTAATTAGGGAGAGAGAATTATCCAGAAACCACAGCACGTCTGACAAGAAACGCCTGACTGCCTGCCCTTCTCTCCCTTTCTCTCCTTGCTGTGATCCAGTGGGGCAGGAGAGAGGAAGGGCAGGGGATTGCTGGAGGCAAGCAGGCACTTCTCCAGGCGTGACAGCTCTGAGATCCCCCCCCCCGCCTCTATGCTGGCCATCCTAAGAGAAACCTTTTCCATGTTCCATGTTGCCTGCTTGCATCTCTCTCTCCTTTTCTCCTTGCAGCTGCAGTTTGATCACGGCTGGGGAAATAAGGGAGAAGAGAGCGTGGCAGGAATCAGGCACGGCCATGGGGCTGGAGGCTTGACCACAGAGTGCAGTGACTAGAGTGCCCTGTGGAAAGTTGCTCCAGGCTGGCTGGGCCTCTGCCCTCACCCAGGAGGGGCCTGCCTGCCTACCTGCAGTTGTCTCCCTTTCTCTGTCTGTTCTTTAGTTCAGTTTGTACTTGTGCTGCTAGAGGACAGGAAGGGCAGAGGAGAGAGAAACAGGGTGGGGGTAGCGCAGGGCCAACCGGAAGCGGCTGGCAGGCCTTATGGAAAGGGCCTTTGGGGGCCAGGGCTATGTCACAGGCCACCACAAACCTTTTTCATCAATGAAGGCTGGCTCAGTTGCTATTCAACCCTCACATGGATTTATTTCTTCACTGCAGTTAAGCATACACAAGGCACCTGAAAACCGTGTTTCTTTGAGCAGCTGTGATAAAGTTTTGTGGGTTTCTGTTTTGTTTTTAAATCTCCAAGTCCTCTTTTGAGTTGTGATTTGAAAGTCCTGGGCATTTGTCTTTCTTCATAGCCTTGAGTATGGAAGGACTCCATTTCTGTTACCTTGTCCTCAATCTTTGGCCAGCCTTCTCTATTGGACCACTCCTCCGTTTCGTTCTGATCTCTCTCTCTCTCTCTCTCTCTCTCGTCCCTTTGTCTGTATTATCTCTGTCTCTTTAATGAGAGCCTCTTTGTCTATCTGCTTCAATTAATCTCCTGGCTGGAATTTGGAGAAATGGAGAGAAATGTGCAGCTAGCTTTCCCCCACCAGTGGAGAGAGATGGGTTAAAATCAGGAGAGGAATGTAGGGGGAGAAAGCCAATTAATTTGCATCCTTTCTGATTACCTTCAGTTCTGTAGCTCAGGTACAGCAGGGGACCCTCAGCAAGGCGGAAAGTGCATAATGAAGTGTGTCATAACGGTAGCAGGAGCCTCTGTCTTCCCCCTCAGACCCTTCTTAATTAGGGCTGTTTCAGTTTTAAAAGCCTGCCCTGAAGTGCAAAAGAAAATCTAATTGTGGAGCCTGAGAGAGAAAGAGAGAGAATATATATACATACATATTGAACTGAACCTGATGGTGCAGAGGGGTTGTATGCCAGCCAACTGCCAAAGCAACTGCAGTAATTGGTATCTTTGGCCAAACCTACGGATAAATAAATAAATAACAAATACTGAGGAGTTGGGGCATGGGAAAAGATTTAAGCAGAAAGAGTTTATTTTCTTGCCTTGGCTTCTAGTATAGTTTTCAATGTTTCTTCTACAAGGAAAAAATGAAGACAATACTATGCTCTCCATGATTTAAGGATTACTGGGCCATCGTCCCCTTGAATCAATGTACATAGACAGAGTTTTCAGTTCAGCATCTTCAGGCAGAGCAGACTGTGAGTAAATCAGAACAAAATCCTATGCATGTCTGCACAGGAATAAGCTCTATTAAATTCAGTGGGACTTACTCTTAAGCCTTAAGTCTGAGGTAAATATGGAAGGAGGAAGGTTCAAATGGGATCTATGCTGATTGGATTACAAACTGGGCCTGCAGTTTTTGTATTTGTTTTTTAAAAAAACAAATCATAGGGAGCGTGGCAATTGATCAGAAATGTAAAGAAAGCGGGAAATGTGTTTTCTTCTCTTTTAATTTGTTGTTTAAATGATGAGCTGGAAATGGTTTACTTTTTGTGATGGTTTTCTAAATAATTGGCAAATTAAGCCACGCCAGGTAAGATTTTCAAGTGGTTAGTTGCAACTTGCTAGATTTAAGTTATAAGGGTGAATACAGATATTGATTTCTTTACAGAGAAATTTCACTATGAAGTGAGAAATTTCTGTATATCGCCTCTGTTTTATTCTCCCTCACCCCAGTAAACCTTTATATGCAAAATAGTTGTACAAATTAGTATTTCTTCCAGTGTAAACTTAAACAGTACGTCCCCCACCCTGTGGTTTTCATGACCTATGTCAATGACTTTTAGAGTTTCTACTAACAGGGACCCCTTCCCAACAGTGAGTTGTCTGCTGAGAAACCATAGCACATCACTCTCTAGTCCAGAGCATATGGTGGCCATGCCTGCTGGGTCTTGTACCTTTGGCATGTGAATTAATAGAGTGATCTAGAGCATATTGACTTGCAGCTACGTCTTACAGGGTTTGATCCATAATGGTGAGCGTGCTTTCTTTGGTAGCTTCACCATTACAAACCTTCTTTTTGAATGGCTCATGATGGGTTTAGAGAAGGGGAGATAATCTGTGGTCTGCCAGATGGTGTTGAACTACAGCTCCCAACATCCCTGATAATTGACTCTGCTACCTGGCAGTCATGGGAATTGGAGTACAATAGCATCTGGAAGACCACAGGTTCCCTTTGGTGTAGAGGAATCCCAGGCTCCCTGGAACATACTTTGAGAACCCTTCTCCTACACAGAACAGAGTGGGATTGAAGACCAGTGAAGCATCCAGAAAAGTTGAGGTCTTTTTTCTTTTTCTTTAGTTGTGCGTGATGTACAGATGATACACTGATGCTCAGCATCAAGGTTAAAAGCCCCAGGCTGTATCATTTCCAGGCTGCCATCTATAATTTCAGGGTTTTCTTTCTCTGGATGGCTGATCCATTAAGCCATTCAATGCACTGTGGTGCCTGCTTTAAAAGGGATGGGAAACATATGGCTCTTCAGATGTTTTTTGACTCGCAGCTTCCATCATCCCCAGCCAACATGGCCAACGGTCAGGAATGATGGAAGCTGTTGTTCAGCAACATCTGGTGGAGCCACCTCTGTTATAGAACTCTATGTAGCTTTTGTCAAACCTAAGCTAGGTAATGGTAAAGGTACCCCTGACCGTAAGGGGTTGCACACTAATCTTCCTCTATAGGCCGAGGGAGCCGGCATTTCTACACAGACAGCTTCCGGGTCATGTGGCCTTCCGATCGGCAAGCCCCAGCCTCTGTGGTTTAGACCACAGTGCCACCCGCGTCCCACCTAAATATGTCTAAGCTAGAGAAGAGCAAAATAGTTTGGTATATGATACTTACAGCATCTGACTACATTTTCCACCTTTCTCTTTTCTCTGTCTGTCTGTCTGTCTGTCTCTGTACTTCTCAACAGGTTTGGCACAATGACTTGCTATACAGGGCCTTAGCAACGTGGCAAAAATTGGCTGTTTTCAAGCTGCCTCCCCCCTTCCCCCTGCCCCCTTCGCTTCTGGGAGATCTGAGCTGGCTTCCCCTGCCCTGGGCATTCCTTCCCTTCTCCCACTTGCTGCGGAAGGGACAAGTCTACCATGGCTGGGGACAGACTTCCACGCAAAGTGATGGATCCCAAGAAGCTTGCCAGCCTCTTGAGGAGTGGGTCCGAAAGCATGCTGGTCATTGACAGCCGCTCCTTTGTGGAGTACAACTCGTGGCATGTCCTCAGCTCCGTCAACATCTGCTGCTCCAAGCTGGTCAAGAGAAGGCTTCAGCAAGACAAAGTATCCATCACAGAGCTCATCCAGCCAGCCTCCAATATCAAGGTACTTAAGCTTGGTGCCATTGGTCACCCTTCAATCCTGCTGTGACTCAGTGCTCCTGTCTAGCCTCAAAGGGCAGTTGACATATGAAGCAATGTAATAAATGATCTGCTAATGCTGTTGTACTAAGTTGGGACATAGGCTACCTAGTGGTCCTATTAGAGACCTTTTCATTTACAAATATGCAGCAGCCCAGGTTGCAGTTCAAAAGGAAGGCCAGTGCAGAACCAGCAAAGAGGAGCTTCTTAATCCTCTCCCCATGTGCTGTTTTTCTACTGAAAGTTGCCCCACACCAGATGCTTTTATCCTTATTGGAGAAATATGAGTATGAATCAGAAAGGGTTAAGAAACTGCTCTCCTCCATTGCCTGTCTTCTGCTTCCATCATGGCTGCATAATTCCCGATTCCATTGTGGTAAAAAAAAACTCACACAAAATTCATACACAAAGAGAATACTGAGATTACACAAAATGTGTAGTTCTGCCTTTAGACCAAAACTGTTTTGGGCATAGTGGGGACCAAATAGAGTTAACACAAGCATAGTAGTAACAAACATATAAGGCTGCACAAACACTGAGAATGCTGCTTGCAGATCTGATTGCTGCATATATTCACCCGCAATGCAAAAGTGTTTTAAGATTGGTTCTACACAAGCTCTTTTCTCTGAAATTACTTACTTTTTTTTGCTTTGCTGTATAAAAATGAAACCAGAGCGGGGAATAAGAGAAAATATAATTAACCCCTCATCAAAACAGAAAATTACAATAAGGAACAATGAAGAGAGGCTGTTCAAGGGGTGATTAGAGGGCTGTGCATAATTAATCCCCAGGATACTCAATGGTCAGCAATAAAACAGGCTGAACCTGCAAACAGGAAGTTTTTAATTAACATTGAAAAGAGACCTTTGCTGAATAGGGCTTACTATTAAGTAAACATTGTGAAAGGCTCTTGGCCGTGAAATAGCACATTGCCTGATAATAAAGCACTATTTAAGTGCTATGAGGAAACGTTTTAAATTTTGTTTCCAGAGGATCACTAAAAAAACACACCAAACTCCACAGCATTAAAAATATTTGTGTGTGGAAGAAACCTTAGAGTGTCTGTAATACAGGCAGTGTTTCCTCTATTCATTCATTGAACTTAGTTCTGTGTCTCTCTGAACTCAGTTGCCTGATGCATAATCTGTCCTCAAGAGCCATGGGTTAGCAGGGATAATCCTTTGAAGTAGGATTTATGTCAATGAAAATAATTGCATGCAGAGCAAATTGTGTGCAGAAGGGAGGAAGGAGCAGCGTTGTGCTACTGACGAGCCATCATCCTTGATCCTTTTTCCTTACAAAGGGCAGTGAATGACACAGAGGTGGTATAACTCTGCATGCCCATTTGGCACGGTCTGTCTTCTGCTTGCACTATGAGATCTAAAAATAGGTGTAAGTGCAAGGCTTCGCCATGCTGCCCTATAGCAAAGGCAAGCTGGGATGCTTATTCATACAGCCGAGGAGAAGACAGGTGAAAGGGTAAAGGAAGGAAATTTTATAAAAATGTGTGGTTTTGCTCCATCCAGGGAATTTAGTCTCAATGGTGCTTACTCCCAAGGAAGTACAGTGGTACCTCAGGTTAAGTACTTAATTCATTCCAGAAGTCCGTTCTTAACCTGAAACTTTTCTTAAGCTGAAGCACCACTTTAACTAATGGGGCCTTCTGCTGCTGCTGTGCAGCCGGAGCATGATGTCTGTTCTCATCCTGAAACAAAGTTCTTAACCCGAGGTACTATTTCTGGGTTAGTGGAGTCTGTAACCTGAAGCGTATGTAACCTGAAGCGTATGTAACCCGAGGTACCACTTATGTGACAGCAAATCCCTCTGCATTCAGTAGGCTTTCCTCACAGGTAAGTGTGTATTGTATTGCAGGCTTCTGGTTGCCAGCATCTTTTATATCGGTCATGCTTATTTGCCATTGGCGTGTAGAAATTAAGCAGGTTAAGCTGCACGTCAGGCTGAAGAGCACAGCTAACAGCAACAACAAAGAGAGTGGCAACCCTTGTCAGGTATGCCTCACTCTTTTTGACATGATGGGTTTTAAATCCTTGCTACCAGCCTTACAAAACAGAAAAGCAAGGAGGCAAGCTTTTATCTCATGACGTATAGACCTTGTTGTCTCCCACACAGCCTGCTGCCCTTCTTCCGAAGAGCCCAGGTACAGTCTATTTAGTTCAGCAGCCATCCTTTCACAATAGACCCTCCCCTCCGGCTCTCTATTTGTGGGTAGCCCTCAGCAGCTGGATTGCTTTTTAGTGTTTGTTCTTGCTTTCCCTTCCCCCATTTTATTATTTTGTAGCAAAGAATGGTAATTCAAGCGATTAATCAAATGCTAGGCCCAGCTGGAGCCATCTGTGGAGTCCTCATAATCTCCCTCCTCCCCTTGCATGTGTGCACACGGCTCATTGCAATTGGCTAGCAGTGACATCACCCCTGCTTGGATGTGGGGGGCGTGGAGTGTGTGAGGGGGAAAAATACTTCTTGCCTCCAGTCTGCTTTACTGACGCTTCAAGGGAAGGTTACAGAGAATGGTTCCTGAATGGCTTTTTAAAGCACTACGAAGAACACTGGATAAAATACAGCATTATCTATTTTTGTTCTTAACTGCTTAGGAAGCTGTAGGGGTGAGGGGGGGGGTGTCTGTCACTGCTGCCATGCTTAAAAGCTAAACGCAATTCTGAGAGAGCTTCTTGACCTAGAATAACTTGCTAGCTATTCCCAAATACTGTACAGGGAAATTGACTTGCCATTTGGTAACTGTTGCAAGGAGAGCAAGAAATGAGTTAAGGAGCTGCTCTCAAATGAGACAGCTCAGAAGGCATCTGCAGACATACCTGTATTCCATGATTCTGTATTCCATGCAGGTACCACATAAGCATGGGCAGTGTCTTGAGAACCTTAGCTCTGCACTTAAAGAAACCCAAACCCCAAACAAACCTACAACGGGTTTTGAGCTCTTTTGATTACACACGATAGGCTTTCAATGTGCATGTGACCTGGTCAAAGGTATATGTTGACTTGGATTTTTAGTGATCATTGTAGAAAGGCAGAAAAAATGGTATGATAAGCCAAAGTTACACACATTTCTTCATTTAGATCCTTCATGCATGTTGAAGAACTGGACTCTTTGGGAGCCAGATTTTGGGTTACATACGTGTAGAAGTTTGATCTTGCTTTTATTTTTTAGTGGAGGGTGGCCCAAACACCCAGACAATTAGTTGGTGATTGTGGAATGAATGCAAGCTTCTTCTCTCCCTGCTTTCCAAAGGTGAAGAGTTGGAGTTGGGGGCCTGATTTAAATCAGGACCACTGTGCAAAACAACACCTCTCCTATACCTTATGTCATGTGATCCAGATTGGGCCTCCCAAAGCTGCCATTTATTTTAAAAAATCCATTCACACAATTGCTAACTGTGTGATGGCTATCTCATCTATAGAGTTTGGCCCTAAATCTTCTCCCCAGAAATTATTTTTGCCAGTTAAAATTTTTAACTAGATGGTTTAAGAAAAAATAACTTGTTGAAAGGCATTTTTTTTTAATTTAAAAATATTTCTGTTTTTGCTTTATGGTTTTAAACTGCTGCAGTTTACAGGTTTTGATTTCATATAACTACTAAAATAGCAAATATGAATATCTATAAGGGAAAGAACTGGAGTTAAAATGCAACAACAGTAAAGGAACTTGGGGGAATTTTCATGGTGACTTTCACAGGAACAAAACATTTATTGATTCAAATGATGTAATCAAAAACTTGCACAGGTCTTTTGTATTCATCATGCTAGATTTCTCAGTGTAAATAATAGTACTGCATCTGTTGTATTGTTGATCATTGTGTGTAGATATGGATTTACAGTGCTTGATTCGTAGATAAATTCTGCAGCCTGGACAAACTATACCAATCTGAAAAATTTGCTTATTTTGCTTATTCTTGCATAATTTACTCTGCTTCAGAGACTCTTAGCCCTATCCTTTCTGAATCCTTTTTAAAGCTGTCTGGCAGTCATCATATCATGTGAGAGTGACTTCTACAAAGTAATTATACATCATATGAAAAAAAATTCAATGGAATACGCACCATTGCTTTCAGTGGGAGTTAGTCAAGATACCTGAAACCTGTACCTAAATTCCATTGTTTTCAACAAAAGGGCATTAACAAGAAGGTACATTAAAGATGTAAATCATGTAACAGCAGCAAGTTCCTAGCTCTAGATGTTTGGTGATCTGTTGAAAGTGGGGTGAGCAATTTTGCATGGTTGGTTTTTTGTTTTCACTAGATTTGGAGAAGAGGTGACAGCAAAGGAAGAATGCCTTGTGAGATTTTGGGTGCTAGTTAATTGTCTCTCTTGGGAAATGAGGCAATTCCAGGTGGAGATTTCTGCTATACGATTTGTTTATTTTGTCACATTCCTGCGAATGGTGAATACATTGAGCTATCCATGTATGTTGTTCTTGCAATGAATCTCTGAGGTGGGTTAGGCTGAGAGTGGCAAGACTTACCAAGTGAACTTCATTCTTCAAGAGCTTGAGTAGGGATTTGAACCCAGGTCTCTCTAGTCCACATTAAGTACTATATACATTACATCTGATTTAGGCACTGTATCCTTCTGTCAAGGACATAGCAACTCTGTCTAAAGGGAAGCAATCCTGGCCCTCTAACAACATATTGTTTGCATATTTGCTCTGAAGTAAGCATCATTGTATTCAATGGGGTCTACTGACTTGTATGTCTGCATAGAATTATACAATTAATAAAACATATTATGTAGGACTCGGTATATAAACACACCACATTATTCACAGTAGTATGACCAGTGAGCTCCTGTTGTTCGGTCCCTGCTCCTGCCAACCTAGCAGTTTGAAAGCACATCAAAGTGCAAGTGTATAAATAGGGACTGTTCCGGCGGGAAGGTAAACGGCGTTTCCGTGCGCTGCTCTGGTTCGCCAGAAGCGGCTTAGTCATGCTGGCCACATGACCCGGAAGCTGTACGCCGGCTCCCTCAGCCTATAGAGCGAGATGAGCGCCGCAACCCCAGAGTCGGTCACGACTGGACCTAATGGTCAGGGGTCCCTTTACCTTTACCTTTTTATGGCCAGTTTACTGTCAACTTACAGCCAGTGTTGTGCAGTGGTTAAAATAGGACTTGGGAGACCAGGGTTCAAGTTGTCACCTGGCCATGAAGCTCACTGGGTGACCTTGGGTCAGTCACTGTCTTTCAGCCTAGCCTACCTCACAGGGTTGTTGTGAGGAGAAACTAGGGGAGAATACCATGTATGCCACCTTGAGCCCCTTGGAGTAAAGGTGGGATATAAATTTAAGTGACATAAATAAATAAACTTCACATGCACAGAACAGGATTCTGTGCCAAAGTGACCCAAGTTCAGTTGTAAAAAAAAAAAATGAATTCTGCAGCAGCAATAAATTATGCATATCTAGCAAATTTGCATGCACTGCTTGTTTTCCATGTTCTGCTGCTTCTGGACATGAGCATAAACTAGGAGCTGTGCAGGATGGTGAAGCTTTGCTTCCTGGTGGCTAGAAATGCCATGCAGCAGCTCTCTGGCTCCTGCATCTCCTATGATGGCCTCCTGAAGCTGGCCATACCCTCACCATCACCCACTGTCCACACATAGTGGCCAAAGATCAGAAGAGGGGAGTCTGCTCTATACACATAGGCACCCCCACTCCCATGATCTAGAACCCTGTGCTATCAGGGTTCTAGGGAGCCACCCTGCATAGAGTTCGCCCCTTTCCTGAGACCTTACCCTCAGTGCATGGACTGCAGTCGGGGCATTCAGCTGGGATAGGGCGCAGAGTCAGAAGCATGGCCTTGATCTCCTTATGCAGCTGTAATCACACAAGGTGTAAGTGCCCAAACAGGGCTTATATATTGTCAAGATCCTTGTAATAGAGGACATTCATAAATTATAGCTGTAAGCCTTTGGGGTTCTGGGACTAAGGGGCTTTAGTTGTTGTTAGAGGTAAGTTCAGCGGTAGCAGAGAGACAGAGAGAGAGAGAAGCAAATCCCTTTCAGGATGCTGATTATTGCACCCTTATCTTCTCAGTTGCTCATGTAACAACTGCATGAAATGCAACTAGTTCTTCTTTAGCTTTTTTTTTTTTTTAAAAAAGACAATATTAATTGAATATGTGTTTGCTGTCCTTGCGGTCAGAGAGGAGAAACTTTGGAGGACTGTCAGTCCATTCATGAAGTTAACTTGCAGTCACTGAGTCAGTCCCGTGTGTGGCTTCTGGTGGGTCGATGGGAGTCTCTTTCAGCTTAGTTCAGGTAGTATTGAGTGAAGCATTGAGTCAGAAGAATCTGAGAGCAGGGCAGATCCCTACTACATGCCTCGCTCGCCTGCAACCCAGGGTCACTATTTTTGGGACAGTAAAAACCCCCAAACCAATTATGTTTAAATAGTGAGTTTTGGCCTTCTTTTGTAACCGGTAATGCTTCTTCAAACTCTCCTGGGATGAGAATGGACACGTGGAGGGCAGCCGTGTTGTGAATTACCCTCATGTTATTATGTGGGGTCTTTTTGTTTCTAATGGGGGAGGGGGGCAGGGGGTGAGTGGAGCTGCTGCTGAGTAGCAGATGGCAGGAAGGGTGACATCATAGGCACAATTGTCCTACCCCATTATTCTTCCTGACAAGCTCCTGCCCTCCTTTTTGGTTTCCTGCTGACAGAATTTGAAATTGTGTGTGTGTGCTGGGAGGCAGCCAGAGGTCCTCCCAAATTCCTCCCTTTTGGGTAAATTATGTTTATCTAGTACTAGTAGTATTTTATTATCGCTTCTAAAACAGTCAGGTACTGACCATAAAGACAGGCCCTCCTCCCAATTCGCAACTGTAGGGAATGGAAAGAGTAAGAGGAGATCAGTGTGGCCTATATAATTTGGGTTGGTATGTGAGACAGGAAGGGTATGTTTTTACACATGCGCGCAGGCCAGACGTGGACATGCTTTCCCAGGATCAGGTTCCTGTGAGTTCATTGTGACTTACTTGAGATTTAGGATTGCAGCCTTGGACTTGTCAGCTCCAGGCTCTACAAGGTCTCCTGTTTCTTTATGGTTTAAGAGAAGGAAGATAATGTGCTGTGTGTTGTCCCACCTCCCGGGAATTGTCATTCCAGTAATGTGATGGGAAGAATGCTTTGGGGAAATATGCCCTTCCCTATAGCCAAGGCTGGCATCAAGACTCTGCAATCTGTTGCTCATGCCAAGGCCTCTGCATTGTGCCTAGCACTAACTTCTGGCCCTGGTATTGCCCCTCCTTGCTATGGCTAACCTTTCACCTTCCCTCTCTGAATGAGCAGGTTGGGACAGGATTAGGAACATCCTCCTCTGCCTACCTCACCCTCTGGACCAATATGCAGGTTGAGCCCACAGAAGGAGGGCAAGTGAATGGGGCATTCACTTCTTCTTTGGCAATCACTCGTAGCCAAGTAAGATTGTCTTCCATAAACACTGTTTTAAGAGGAGGCAGTACCATTCAAGGAGATGGCTTGCTCAGGCCATTTTGCCCAAGGACCCCCTCCATACACACAGTAACGATACAGGAGATTTCTCTAGTTTGGAATGTCACTCTTAGCTTGTGTCCCTTGCTACTGGGTTGGCGAATTTGCATGATCACATTTGTGGGCTGAGATCCGTTTCCTTCATTAGCAACACTAAAGGGGGGGGGATAGGATCCTTTTATCGTGGCAAACCAGTTTATAGGTAGGGATTGATTTGTTACTCTGCAGCTTGAAACATGCTTAATGTGGAAGGTGATTTCCATGGCATTTATATTTTCGTGCAAATGTGCTTAGGATCGCAACCTTTTGAATGAGGAAGAATCAAGGGGGCTCTTGAGTTAAGAAATGTTGCACATCACTGCAGTTAAGCTTGATAATTTGATTGCGGGTTTTGCTTTGATGCTATGGGCTCATTCAGCCGATGACGCAGCATTGTATAACCCAGGTAAGTTTGTTTAGAAGCACATCCCTTTTTCATGCCTCTTCTCTCATTCTCACAAGTCGGGACGAGGTAGTAGGTGATGAAGCCTGAGCTGGAGACAAGGTAGAAGGCTTTGGTTATGACAAGTGGAAACTGCATAGGTCTGGTCAGGGAAGCATTCTGGGGGCAAAGAAAGGAAGAAAGGGTTTGGGAACCCTGTGCAAGCAGGCACTAACAGTTGAGGCTTTTAAACATAGATCCATGTCAGCCGTCACTCAACACTTTTATAGTTGAAGGAAACACAATCCCGTTTAGCCAAAATGTATTTGAAACATCCACACCCCTTCCCGCTATTCCCCAGTTCTGAACTCAGTCCAGGCAATACCATGTTTACTCGATGTGGCTTGCTTCTGTGCTGCCAGTGCTTGTCTGGGATTTCTATTGCCTGAAACCTTATAACTTTAATAAGATATAAACCGTGTCACATCCATCTGCCGTTGCTCAGCAACCCGTCAGTAATGCCCAAAACAAAGCTCCCCATGTGGAAGGAACACTAAATCCTACTGTGGGATAATTCTGCTTCCAAAGCTGTTGTTTCCTTCGCTGCTAACAGCCCTGTCCTGGTAGCGAATCCTCCCACCTGTGGCAGCAGTGCACACTGCGCGTGAGTGACTCTCCTGTCACCTTTGCCCCTGTGGCCAGGGCTGGAGGGATTACTTTGCCTGCCATGCTGGATGTGCTTAGGTTATGTCACAAGAATAAATGTCTGCTGTTATCTTTAAAAAACGCAGGGCACTTGTATTCACATCCTGCATTAAATTTTCCAATACAAGCCAGGAAATACATTGTTGTTGTTGTTTGTTTGTTTTTTAAGGCAGAAAGGCCAATGAAGTGTATCCTTTGGTGCTTCTCAGCTAGATCAATAACTCAATTTCTCAGTATTTCTCTCAGGTGCAAAATGATCGTTGCAACATTGCATGTCACATGCATTTTCTTAGCAGGTTATTCATGCTGAAGCCTTGGAATTGGTGTTAATGTGCGTGTTGCAGGGGAAATTAAAATAGGAATGGGCCACTCAGTATCTTTTGGATTCTGATCACAGGGTTTCAGAATATGTACTAGGGAAAATGACAGGCAGTGAGTATAAAAGATGTGGCGTGAGTATATATGTGTGAAGGTGCAGGTGAAGGCAGGATCAGCCAAAGAACCAGGCTCCCTTCTTCTGAGAACCTCTCTATTAGAGCATAAAAATGGGAATTCTCTCCCTCTCCTTTTCCAGCCGTAATGTCCCACAGTCCTTCTGCTGCTTAACTCCCACCCCTCTTGAGTTTCAGATACTACAGACAAAACCAAATATCCATTTCCACTGGAAATATTTAGTGAGGCATGACATGCTTGGCATTTATTTATGCTACTCTCTTATAGTGGTTTGTTTTGACAGTCATAATTGAGGGCTAAATTAGCATCAATAGCATCCCTCAAGTTTCATGCTGGCAGCCAGACACGAGTCAATCAGCAAGGGATGTGTTGAAAGTTGCCAGGCAACTACACATGGTTAAACAGGTCCAGTGAACTCAAAACAACTTGGAATAGAATCTGTTTTCTCTGTGGATTTGCAAGTTGGTTTTGCACACTCATCTATGTCCAGAGGAAGGTGCGTGGGATGTAGCTTTTTGTTCATCTTGTTTAGGCTTGCATGAGCTTCTCAACTGGCTAACATAGAATCATAGGCTTGGAAGGTTCCCCAAGGGCCATCTAGTTCAACCCCCTGCAATGCAGGAATCTCAACTAGATCGTATATGACAGATGGCCATCCAACCTCTGCTTCGAAACCTCCAAGGAAGGAGACTGCAATTAAACAAAAATCTGATGTGACCTCTAGGGATTCCTCCCCTAGCTTTTTGAGGACACAGTCTTTTGTTCCCCACCCCAGATTTGTTAGTATAAAGGGAGAAATGTGAGAGATTGGTGTGGCACAAAAAGGGTCAGCCATAAGGGCTCCATAGGCTGCATCCAACTGAGTTAAACCAGACCTAGTGATATGAATGGATCTAATATAGCCATGTCCATCCATTTAGTGGGCCTACTTGTAGGACTCTCACAAAAGTGGTCTCATATAGGGGCGGGTGGTACGGTTCCCATGGCAATTGCACACCTGATGTGTGCTTTCATGCATCTAATTAACTAGGCTAGTGCAAAGGAATTTGAAGGTAAAAAGGAACTGAAAGGAAATTTGGAGTTATTAGCATTACAGCAAGCCCTAAAAGCTGCAGTCAGAAGTCTCTCCCATCCTGACCCAGAGATGCCAGAAATAGAGCCTGGAAACTTCTGCAAATAAACTACATGCTCTACCACTGAGCCATGACACTTCCCCATATTGTGCCTGTATGTTTCCCCACCTTTTTTTGCTAATAGCAGTTCTGGAAGGGGTTAGGATAGAAGCTGTGAGGATGGGGGAGAGAAAGGGTTAGGGAACCCCCCCCCCCCCCGCTTTGCACACAAGTTCTACGGTTTTATAAAAAGAAATTTACTGATGCAGTCACCAATTGGCTTCATGTCTATTTGAGTGCATAGGCTTGTGCCAGAGATTTGGTAACTCCCTCTCCTCAGGGCCTGAGTTAGGAATCTGAAACAAGGAATTCTCAGAGTTCTCAGCAAACTACAATTCCCAGCATTCTTTAGGAGAAGGTATGTGCTTTTAGTTTTGTCACCAGGGCATGTATGCTATCCACAGCTCTTCCTTGGTCTGATACACTGAACAGCGGGATGGCTGCATATGAAAGCAGCCATGAATTTTAACAGGGAGAAATGTAAAGTATTGCACTTGGGCAAAAAAAATGAGAGGCACAAATACAAGATGGGTGACACCTGGCTTGAGAGCAGTACATGTGAAAAGGATCTAGGAGTCTTGGTTGACCACAAACTTGACATGAGCCAACAGTGTGATGCGGCAGCTAAAAAGCCAATGCAATTCTGGGCTGCATCAATAGGAGTATAGCATCTAGATCAAGGGAAGTAATAGTGCCACTGTATTCTGCTCTGGTCAGACCTCACCTGGAGTACTGTGTCCAGTTCTGGGCACCACAGTTCAAGAAGGACACTGACAAACTGGAACGTGTCCAGAGGAGGGCAACCAAAATGGTCAAAGGCCTGGAAACGATGCCTTATGAGGAACGGCTAAGGGAGCTGGGCATGTTTAGCCTGGAGAAGAGGAGGTTAAGGGGTGATATGATAGCCATGTTCAAATATCTAAAAGGATGTCACATAGAGGAGGGAGAAAGGTTGTTTTCTGCTGCTCCAGAGAAGCGGACACGGAGCAATGGATCCAAACTACAAGAAAGAAGATTCCACCTAAACATTAGGAAGAACTTCCTGACAGTAAGAGCTGTTCGACAGTGGAATTTGCTGCCAAGGAGTGTGGTGGAGTCTCCTTCTTTGGAGGTCTTTAAGCAGAGGCTTGACAACCATATGTCAGGAGTGCTCTGATGGTGTTTCCTGCTTGGCAGGGGGTTGGACTCGATGGCCCTTGTGGTCTCTTCCAACTCTATGATTCTATGAAAGCGAACTTGATTTTAAGTGTCTTTCAAAGCTGACCAAACACATACTCAAAGACTATCTGGAATGTAATGGAAAGAGCTGTTTAGTCCTTTCCCCCATTTGGCTAGTGCCCTCTTTCTTTCTATCCGTCTGTCTGTCTGTCTCTCTCCCTCTTTCTGGCTTTGCTTCACCACAGCTGCTGTTCTCTGACAGCAGAATGATAGATGTGCTTTGCGCCAGAGGGAGGAAGGCCGCCAGCTCAGAAGGCCGGCGTATGCCACCCATCAGCCTATTCAGTGGATGCACTGAGCCATGGCACTGTGAGGATTTTATCGGCCTTTAATGCATTAACCTTTCATTAGGCACGGCAGCCCCTGACTGTGCCTCGCACTCTCCGCCTCTGCTCCTGCCATGGCCTAGGTACGCCACGGAGGCTTGTCATCGGAGGGAAACCCCTTTTGTCCTACTCAGGGATCAAACGATACATTCTCGCAAACCCAGTGAACCTCATGCCTTCTTTTCTGCACATGCACAAAGTTCCAGACTTGGGTCTGCTTCCTTGTGCTGGTGTAGAGAAAATCGTTTCCCTTCCCACCTCAGCTCCCTCAGCCTGAAACAAGATGAGTGCCACACCCCATAGACGCCTTTGAATGGACTTAATCGTCCACCGGTCCTTCACCTTTTATTTTTTATTTTTACTTTATCTTAGAGAAAATTGTGCTAGAGAAATCGTCCCCCCGACCTTCTTCTCTGCTCTAATCTGCACGCACCCCCACCCCCACATGGCATTTTGTGCCATGGAGAAATCCTGTTAGAATCTGAGAGCATACAACTGATTGCAGGCCAGATGGCAAAGAACAGCTTATTCTGATTCTGGGAATGGGAGTAGATGTGTTTCCGGCAGCCTTTGCTAACCTAGTGCCCTCCAAATGTTTTGCACTGTGACTCCCAGCCAGCACGGCCATTGGGAGTTGCAGTCAAAACACCTGGAGGGCGTCAGGTTGGCAAAGGCTGCCTTAGGAGGTGTGTGCTTACTGCCCTTGTTCTGAAAAGGCACTTAGCTTAGCTGATGAAGGCTGAGGTCTAACCCTAGCCCCCTTTTAAGGGCACCCACAAACACTTGATTCTCCCTGCTTCCTGACAACTCCCACCCAATTCTTCAGAAACGATACCACTGCTATTGGGGTGGATGGTTGGGAAGTGGGTAGTAGGATAGGTAGGATAGAAGTATGAAAATGTGGGATGAAGAGTACGCATTTCCACCCTGGTTGTCCAGCTTTAATTTCTGTGGTTGGGTGGGTGGAGTTAGCATAGTGGCTTTGACCTACCCCCCCAACCCCCCCCCCCCCACTGTCGAGAGGAAGCCTCTTTTCATGCTTGGTCTGAAACATATGCAATGGGACTTTGCACGTCTGCTTTGCAGAGAGAGAAGTGTGAGCTCCACACAGATCTGTAATTACTGTATCTCCCCACAGATGCAGTGTGCAGATTCCCACTTCACACCTTCGTAGGAAGTGTGAAAGAAAGCGCGGGTCATTTGTACTTCATCTGCTCCTGCTTATTGCTAACACCTGTAGTAGTCCTCAGTCTTGTGGTAGCGGTTGTGTTCTTCATAGCGGATGGATCCCTGCCCATAATTAGTTCCCTGTCCTCGTCTATCAAATGGCTCCTATTCCTTTAACAAAACAACCTCTGCTTTTTCTTTCTTCCCTGAAATTTCCTCCAGAGCACGTATATGACACCACTTCTCCAGATCACTCTTCTTCTGTGAGGCTGCTGGCTTAGCTCAGCTTCCTCCAACCTTCAATGTACCCATTAGCCATTAGTCCTTGTCTCGTTTGGAAACTAAGCCTGGGTGCAATGTAACCGAAATGAATGCATATTCTTCTGCTGTGAGCTGCCTCCATTTTCTTACCCTCCTTTTTTGTCTCCTCTGTTGTCAGATTTTGGGTTATAAGCTTCTGAGCAGGGATCTGACTTTCATTTTGCAAAGCAGTGCACACATTTTAGTGTTGCTTTGTAAATAATCGCAGAATGCATGGGATGCTAATAGCACAGAGACAGGGGTGGTTGATGACAAATTGGCTGAGTTAGTACTGCTGCTATAAACATCCATTATCATTTGTGTCATTGAATATTATTTGTTCTGTGAGGGTGCTGAGAGACCTCTTCTCCCTCTCCTGGCCTCCACAAACTTCAGATAACTGAGCACTGCACTGTACTGTACAGTTCCTGAATACAATTTGTGCATTTTTGGAGCTTTGTTACCTGCTGTGTTCTGGCATGGCTTGACCACCCTTTGCTAGCATAGGTGGATAACAGAGTTTCTGTATTTTACATATGCCAGAATAATAAATTCTGTTAACACTTTCTGCAACCACTAACAACAGCTTTCTCACACGAGTCCTGCTCTCTCCTGCTTTCCTTCAAAGCATTTATAAATGAGGAGAGATCATATGAAGGAGTGGGGCAAACCATTGTCCCCCTGGGTGGGGACAATAAAGAGATCCACTCAGTTTTCTTTGTTTTGAAAGCTGTAGCAATTTAACATTTATGGGTTATGGAATAACGTTTGTATTCTTGTGGCACTTCTCTTGCAGGTAGAAGCAGAAGACCACCAAGATGTGGTGGTCTATGACCAGAGCACACGGGATGCCAATGGACTGGCGTCTGACAGTTTCCTCTCCATCCTCCTAGGCAAGCTGGACAGCTGCTTCCACAATGTCTCCATCCTCACAGGTAGGAATTGGTGGCAGTCATAGTGAAAGGCCAAGATTTTGCCTGTTAAGTGTATGGGGAAGAAGCACTTCAGAGGACAAAAGGTGGCAGTAAAAAGCCTCAGACTACTCTGTCTTGCCATTTAGTGTTCTTTCCATGTGATTTATGTTGGACACAAGTCCCAGATGTGATGTTTGCTGTAACTAATAGAGCTGCATCTGTGGACCAAGGGTGGAATAGCTGTCCCCTCCATCTCTTGTGTCACTCCTGAATTTAATTGCACAGCTACTAAGAAGGGAACTTTACCAAGGGGTTGGATGATGTGTTGTGGCATCAAGATGGATGCTAGAGTGTGAGAGAAGCCTTTATTGCAATACCTTTCTAGGTCTCGAGTACCTTGTGGCCTAAATAGCAACCTGTATTCCTGAAAGTGCTTTACTGCAGCCACGTCACAGGGGTGGGGTTTTTTTTTTTTTGGTAAACCTTCCTCTTTGTTTGAAGTGGGAATGGTAACATTATCTGAAGTGGAATGTGCATGCTGATATAAATTTTTAAAGAAAAATTATGGTTTTTTAGATGTTAGGCATAGTGAAAGTTGCAGGGGTGATATGCTACTACCTAGGTAGGGAGCTTGTGACCCTAAATGTTGCTAGACTATAAATCCCACCATTGGCCATGCTGGCTGAGGCCTTAAACGACTCAGGACCACAATACCTCAAGGACCGCCTCTTTCCATATGAACCTACCCGGACCCTGAGATCATCTTCTGAGGCCCTCCTTTGTGTGCCTCTTCCTTGAGAGGTCCGGAGGGTGGCAACACGAGAACGGGCTTTCTCTGCAGTGGCTCCCCATCTGTGGAATGCTCTCCCCAGGGAGGTTCACCTGGCACCTTCATTTTACACCTTTAGGCACCAGGCAAAACGATCCTTTTTAACCAAGCCTTTGTTGATTTGATTGACATCCTATATGCTTTTAAAATGGGGGGGTATTGGGTTGTTGTTTTTATTGTTATTAGGTATTTTGTGGTTTTATATCTTGATTTTATTCTGTGAATTGCCCTGAGACCCCAGGGTATAGGGTAGTATATAAATTCTAATAATAATAATAATAATAATAATAATAATAATAATAATAATAATAATATAATGGGAGTCAGTCCAACAACATCTACAGGACCGCAGTCTTCCCACTCCTCTGCTATGCTACTAGATACCTTGACTGCCTTGAGCAGGGATTCAGCTAGGATTCAAGAACTTGCAGACCCATGGAAGGGGCTTTAAAGTGACCATCATGCCTGATGCGGGTGCCTGATGATGCCACTGAGCTTAAAATAAGAGATAGAGAAAATAGACCGTGTTCCTACAAAACTCAAGCACTCATATGATTGCACCTTCTGGGGCTTCTTTGCCATATACCTTTATTCCCAAGTTCTAGTTGCCTTGCTTAACTCTTTTAAGCTATTGTGTGAGAGCAAGATTCATGGACTTCTCTTTTGCCCTCTTATATTGGACAGGAATTGATGTTAAATATGGATATGTGTTGTGGACTCAGTCAGGGACTCTAAGGATACGGTTTGTTCCATATATTAAGATTATCTTGTGATTTTTATTCGATTGCTAATAGTTATGACCCTTTGGGGTTTTGTAATCTGTTCCTCTACTTAGAGATGTAACATTTCAGGGAATATAAAAGCATAGGGAGAAAAATGTTTTTGGAGGTGAGGGGAATGGAAATCGAAGGAGGGGAAAAGAATAGAAATATTCAGAATTTTTATCCAACCAAGCTTAAGTTAGGAACGTGAAATCCATTATGTATAATTTAGGTAGCGGGGGAAAGTGTGGTGTTTGGCATTTTTATGAAATGTGAAAGTATAAGTTCTTAATTTAAATTCAAGCAGTAGTTAAAAACATTCTGCTGCTGTGAGCTTTTGCACCCTAATGTGCCTGAGGAATTGTCTGCCACAAAATGTTGCAATGGCCACGATGCAAATAGCCTTACAGGGGTATAAATCAAAGGCACAGAGAGTGTAGGCCATCAATGGCTAGTAGTCATGGTGGCTAGATAGAACATCGCATGTTCAGATGCAGTGCACCTTTGAATATTGGGGAACACCATTGGAAGAGAAGGCTGCCTGATTTTGGCCATGGACTGGTTGAATAATATGTTCTGAAGGAAGCAGGAGTAACTATAGACACCTATTCCACTGACCTGTTCCACTTACCATGGGAAAGTTCTGTATGCTGTGCTGGGGGTGGGCAGAAGAATTGCTGCATCAATGCTCTACAAATCCCGTTTTGCCCAGTAGAGGGGAGTGTTGCACATCTGCAGGAATCAGCCTGAGCCAGTCTGTGGCAACGAGCCCAGGCTTACTGAACACGAGCGCATTGTCGTGCCTCTGCAAAGCTTTCTTCTTTCTGTGCCTTTCCCGCTTACCTGTGCCATAATTGCTGGCATGTATCTTGCATCTTGGCTCTTGTTTGGCATCATTTCCATGAAACTAGTAACCAACAGGGTTTGTAGAACTGGACAATCAGAGTAGAAAAGTAGGTAGGATTTCAGGGAGTCAACAAATCTTCCCCGCTAACCTTGTTAGTATTTACAGAGTGAATGAATGAGCAGGGCTCTTTTCCAGAACATTTAAAAAAAATAATCAATGGATTCATTCGGAAAGAGGAAAAGGAGGGTGGTGGCGGAGGGTTCATTCCAATGAATCAGGGTCCCTGAGGGACTCTTATCCCAAACCACAGCCCATATGGTAAAGTGGCTAAGTAAGCATGATATTCTAATTATAGCTTTCTGCGGAGTGCGTACAGTTACAGTGCTAGCGAGCTCCAAAGGAAAGGCGTGTGAATGAATGAAATCTCCCAAGTGGACAAAGAAAGGAAAAGGCAGATGAAGATTAAACCCACTTATTCATTCCATAACTCTGGGAGCCAGATCTGCTGCTTATATTGTTACCTAGCACTCTGGGCCAAGCGACACATGGCATTTACTCCATAGCTTGCTTTTGAGTGCAACCCTTATTTTTTCCAAAAACTGCCGTCCTGCCCCCTCCCCCCATCACAATATGGGTTCAGATCCTAGCATAGGAGTTAGGGAGCTTTAACACATGCACCCTCATGCAATGGTCCTAAACTGGATCAGGGACTCTCATGCCTGCAATTTGCATGGGCGGGGGGCAGCTTCCAATATCAAGAATAAAATTTTCATCCCCCCTGTGCAAATTGCAGAAGAAAAACTTGTGGTGCTCAGAATCCCTTTGAAAATAACAGGCAAAACATCTGTCCCCCCCCCCATAATAAAACACAGATAAGGACATCAAGCAATCAACACCCCCCAAAACAGGAATTGCCCACAGCAACTATCCAAAGAGGCCCCCCAATCTCAGTTTTAAAATCATTAAATTTGGGAGGGGCAGGGAACCCTGGCAGATGCCAAAGGGGCTGTCTGAGAATGCCACATGCCTCGATACACAGGGTGCCGCAATAGACACCCCAGTACTAAAGTCCTTTCTCCGTTCAGCTAACTTTTCCACATTTATGTCTGGCATTAAAGTCAAGCAAATTAGTTACAATATAGCACGTGAAATGTTTCTGTTTTAGCCCTTGCATTATAATGTGTACTGCCACCGTAGATTGAACAGAGCTGCTGTTTATATAGCTTTGTTTACAACTCTGCCAAACTTGTCCAACCAGAAATGTCACTTGTAGTACCAGGTTTGTGCCATGATGCTTGTTTTTGTGAAATGTTGCATTTATCTGGATGCCTCGGCTGCGGCTCCAATCTGGTGGAACGCTCTGTCACAAGAGACTAGGGCCCTGCGGGACCTGACATCTTTCCGCAGGGCCTGCAAGACAGAGTTGTTCCACCAGGCCTTTGGTCAGGGCGCAGCCTGATTCCCTCCTCTGGCAACCTGCACAGAATTTTGCTTAAAGGTTGCCATTAATTTGATTTTAATTAATTTTTATAATGAAATGTTTTAGAATGTTGGATTATTTGATTGTTTGATTATTTGATTGTTGTTAGCCGCCCTGAGCCCGGCTTCGGCTGGGGAAGGCGGGATATAAATAAAATTTATTATTATTATTATTATTATTATTATTATTATTATTATTATTACTGCTTTAAGTGGCATACACATTTGATGATGGTGATGATGATGATAATGTCACAGCTGTGGAGAGAGGGTAGAATTTCTTTAGACATGGGATCACAGGAACAAGCATGTGATGCAAGGAGAATCTCTTGGAAGCAATGTGAATAAAAATCTCAGAAATACAGTCAGGGTGTCTTCACTGCAGAATTTTAGTCTACTCCCAAGAGTATATTTGTTTTTTTAAAAAATGATATTTATTGGGGGGGGAAAAATTTTAAAGTTACAAAAGAAAAACAAAGTAGAAAAAGAGAAAAACAAGCCACTTCCAACCATACATATACAAATTCAAAATAAGAGAGAGAAAAAACAAAACAAAAATACACCACAAACATTTAAAAACAAATCCATTATTCTCAACTCCTCAACTATCATTACCCTCTTTCCTTGACCTCCTCCTCCTCCCCTTCCTTGTATCCTGGTTGTTGATTGTCACAGCAAATCCTTTCCATATTTCATAATATTCTGTCATTACATTACCTTAAACTATTTTAATCTTATCTTACTATAAAATACCTTGAAACTTAAAACTTAAATCTTATTTTTACCAACTTCTCATAACCATAATATTCTTGCATAATTCTTTAAACATTTTTACTAAAGCCAAGTAATTTCATTCCAACATTTTTCTAACATTCATCAATTTTGTAAAACAGTCCTAGTAGTGAAAAAGAGAAATAAAAACAAATCCAATCTTCATCCAGCGTCCCTTCCTCCTGGTCCCGGGTTTTGTCAGTCCTTGTTATCCCATCGATCTGGCACATTAACCTGGTATCCTAATATCCGAGGCCCTTAAGTCTCTTCCATGTCCCTTCCGCAGCTCTTCTTCATATTTGTAACTGTATTTTCCCTTGTCTCCTGCTCGTTTCACTCGTGGGAACTCCAGCTTAGCAATATTTTTGACCCTTCTCGACAGATCAGCCCCTTTTCCATAATCAACACTAAATTCCATGTGGTATTTAAAAACATGTTTCAAAATCCCTCCAAAATTGAGAGCCCCCACAATCCCAAACATCTCACGGCCCATTGCCAGACTTGAAAAGTCCAAACATCCCTGCATAGGAGGGTCTATCCAACCCCCCATTTCCAAACCAAACCAAACTTTTTCTTTCCAAATCTGGCTTTTTCCAAGTTCATTTGTCAAATCCGAAAGTTCATATTCCTGTTGGGCCTGTTCTGTCAGGGCACACTCCTGATTTAATTCCTGGGTGGGCTCCACATATTTTCCCACTGCCTGTTCAAAATTCCCACTGCCTGTTCAAAATTTCTAATCGAATCAGCCATCAAATTCGTCTTCTCATGTAGCTGTTCCAGTAGGGCATTTGTTTTATAGAAAGCACACAACAGAGCTTCTGAATACATTGTCCTGAAGGTCAGATGTCTATTCCCACGATTGTAATCTGTAACAGCTGCCAGCTCCCAGGAGTTGGTTACAGTTTCACAGTCTCCCTCTCGGGGGAAAACGTCTCTTGGATCTTTCTTTTAAAGACAAGTCTAGCAACAGAGTTTCCTTTTTTCAGATATTTTGTCAATATTTGTTCCTTTAAGGTGCGAAAGGAAACAATGGAATCACTATGTTTCTCTTCTTTTAGCTATCTGTCAAAAGCGTTTGTCTCTGGTCAATGAGCTTCAAACGTCAGTCCTGACACCCCGCTCCAGGGTCAGGACGATGGAAAGTTACTTTACTTTAAACTCACTTCTGCAGGTTTAAACAGTCCAGAAAAGATCCCCCTTCTTCTCCTGCTGCCGAAGGGGGGTTCAACAATTTTAAATGATGAAAGCCAATCCTTTAAAAGCGATTTTCTGAGCTCTAGTTTACGTTGTCTTTGCTTTATTCTGTCTACAAAGAAACGGAAGGCTGACTTCCTGTTTAGACCTTCCCGTTTCAGTACCAAATTGAAATAAAATTTTTAAGTCCAATTCCTTTCTGGTCGCAAGTCCTTATTTAAAGTCCAATTGTTCAAAGTTTAAGTACTCACGGGTGCTTATTTTAGAAGCCAAATTGTCCCAGGAAAAAGGCAGCGCTCTCCGGCAACGGCTGTGCGGCTTCGCTCCACGGAAATAGCAGTTGACTCACAGCACCGCGCCACCTCCCCCTCTTCGCTTCGGAGCCCGTTAGTGGGTTCCTTTGCGGGTTGGGGGGGCGCTAAGGGTGCCCACCGAGTCCCATGGTCACAGGCTTCATCCGCCTGTGATTTTTAAAAGGGTCCCCGCTTCGCCGTAGCGGAAAAGACCCGTTTCGCGCGGAGCTAGTCCCTCCAATTCAGAGGGAGTCCGCCATTGCCGATGGCGCCACCCCGGAAGTCCCCAAGAGTATATTTGATCTCTGGAGAATAGTTCTTACCATGAGCTTGCTGTATGCTATTGACAAGTTGAATAATCTTTTGTCCAACACCTATAAAATGGAGAATGCAAATGTCAGTGTCTTATCTGTTGGTGCCGGAGTCCTTCTGGGCAGAGACTGTTGCTCAGCAACAAACAGCATTTGGCATAGCAGAGCTCTGATGTTATATTGGCTAAAGATGCTTACTCTCGCTACAGTATATAGCCGTAAAATAATCGCTAGCTTAGGAAGATAGTATCTGTAATGATGGCTTTAGAGTCTGCTGCCCATGCCCTGCACTGCTTTAGATTTGATTGTTACAGAACACAAGCAGTGGGGAGAGGAGGAAGGTGGTGATTCAGCCAAGTGTATTTGCTGTGCTCGGAACAATTTTCACATGACAGCAATTCCCCATGGAAGGAGAACGGATGTAGGCAAGGCGGGACTTGCGGGCGGCAGACTGTGTGCCACAGTTGCAAGGTCACTGTGGTATAAATCAAGGACAAGCAGCCCCTGCACAAATTACATAATTCTGGGTCTTCCGTGAGCTTGTTTAAGGTGTGGGGCTGTGCCAAGCACATCCAGAGTATTTGTAATTTACCCTGAACTCCCAGAAATCCCTTCTGTTTTCCGGGGGGTAGAGTCTGTAAAACAGCTCACTGGTCATACATTTCAGTAACTCCTAGGCACAACTACAAATAAAGAGCAGCCTTTTTACCTTGGAGTCTTGCTGCCCAAGTTGTAGTTGTTTATTTCCAACCAGTATGTGAACTTCATCCTCTCTCGTGTCCCTGCAGTCCCTGACCATGTTTGCCTTTCCTCTCTGCCCATTCTCACTCCCAGTATGTATAGGAATACAGGAAGCTGCCTTATGTTGCGTCTGTCCAGTTCAGTTTTGTCTACACTGACTGGACTAACCGTGGCTTAGCACAAGCCCATGGGTTCCTGGACAGAAGACTGTAGCCAGAGCACTCTTCCCCCAGCCTCCCTGTACTGTTTGACTTAGTTTGTTGTCCAAGCCACAAGCAGTAACCCAGGTTTGTTCTTGGGTTTACATCTTGTTGTTTGTCTGGATGAGACAAACTGAGCCCAGATTTAGATGACACACTAGCCCAAATCGTGAGGGAGGAGTCCAGTGGTCAGGATCTCTCTGGGAGCTTGTGGTTTCATGATAAGCCATGGTTTGGCTTAGTTTAATGTGCAAACCAACTCGCTATCACATTCCCCCTCTAGGTGTGGACAGGCAGGAGGCCTGCAGGATCATTTAATTTTTACTCAACCCCTGAGGTCCTCCAACCAGAGTAAGCTGCAAAATAGTGGCTCAAGGGGACAGAGACAGATGCAAAATGATGGCTTGGGGACAAAGCCGGTTACTTGCATATAAAATTAGCTTACCTACATCTGAGTTATTACTGAGACAGGATTCTAACAACCCAGTTTAACAGCAGAAGAAATGCAGTTTTGCTATTAACACTGTTAAACATTTGAGAGTCAGAAACCTTTGACAATCTAACTGAAAATATGCCAGGAGATCCTGATCTACTTCCATCCACCTGACCCCAGTGTAAGGGATTGGATGTTGGGCTTGGATTTGTGAGTAACAGGTTCAAATCTTCATTAAGCTCAATGCCTAATCAAGCACATGGCAGAATTATGAGGATAAAATGAGCTGCCTTGAGCTCCTTCGAGGATAAGCATGATAAAAAACCTCATTTTTAAACTAAAAATCAGTATAAGTGTCTTGTAAATGTTCTCTCAGTGTTCTCCAATATAATCCTTTATGTATTTAGCAGAACTTTTTGCCATTGAAGAAAATGTGGCTTATCAGACTCCGTATACGTTTCTGTTTTACATTCACAGATCCTAACTTGCACATATACTTGGTTTCTCAGGCGTGTGCATGCACACACACCCCATTACATTCAGGGAGGGCAGTGAGCCCGTTCCCAGAAGTTGCTGGTAATTTCCTTCCTGAGGTTTTGGCAAAGATTCTTATGTGTGTTTTTGCTGTGGCGTCATGAACTGCATGCCCTGGAGCCCGCCAATTCACTAATGTCAAACACAGACCACTAATGTGCTGGGTGGAGGAAAGGAACTGAAATGTAGAACACTGGGTCACGGCTGCTGAGTTTTATGTGGAAAGCATGACTCAAAATAAGAAAAAGGCTGCTGAAAACTTAAAAGAGGAAGGCAAAGCAGATTTCTAACACGCACACACACAAAATTTCCTCTTTGGTCTAATGTACAGGCTATTAATTTAGACTAAATGGTTCAATGCTTGGGTGGTCTGAAGCTTACTTTGGTGTCAATTTCCAAAGGTATACCTGCCCAAACATGCAAACATCTATTTTAAGATATAACATTGTAACATACATCCATGACTACCAGGAAAGGTTCATATTATTCACATTTGTTTCTTTACAGAAGTTTTCCTGTGCAAATGTATTGTTTTTCTGTGGTCCTGTTTTCTAACATTTTATGTTTCAAGAGTGTAAGCATGTCTTGCATTGAGAAGTGGCTATAAGGGAAATATTTCATGGATTCTGTTGAAACTGTAATGGATTCAGTTATTAAAATTTCAATTGAATAAACATTATATGCTACAATTGGCATACATAGGGGTAATCCATGGGTAGGCAAACTAAGGCCTGGGGGCCAGATGCGGCCCAATCACCTTCTAAATCTGGCCTGCGGACGGTCCGGGAATCAGTGTGTTTTTACATGAGTAGAATGTGTGCTTTTATTTAAAATGCATCTCTGGGTTATTTGGAATTCATTCTCCCCCCCAAAAAAATATATATATATATAGTCCGGCCCCCCACAAGGTCTGAGGGACAGTGGACTGCCCCCTGCCGAAAAAGTTTGCTTATCCCTGGGGTAATCCATCACCTCCTCCAGGTGTTTTCCCCTTATGTAATCGAGGTTCCAGATGACAAGGAGAGCCCACATGCATTTGGCAGGCTTGCTGGTTGCAGACATTTTCCTTGTGAATGGGTGTTGTCCCAATGCAAGGATGTGTGGTCTGCTGGTGTGGCCCTGTTCTCCCTCTCAAGTAATTTAATTACATGAGCAGGAACACAGGAAGGGGGCTTATTTCTCTAGTATGTGAAATGTGGGAGGATTGTTGAAACATTCACAATGAGGGAAGTAACATCCAGCAGCTGCACTTACACCCAAGTAACCATGCATAGGATTGTTCTGAAAGCACCAACAATTAAGGCCCACCAAATTCAGTGGGACTTACAGGAAACCTGTTTAGTATTAGACAGCTTATCTGCCAGGTAGTACCAATAATGTCAATATAGTGTAATCATGACTACATCAGTAATTGAACCAAGATCATCATCATCATCATCTCAGAACTATAACTCCAGATTTTTTTGTACTCTGGTATGCGTGCCCCCATGATGAATGCATGTGGGGACAATCGGATATGAAGGCGGCATCCATTCATTTTTCAGGTGTGCTGTTTCCATACATGTCAGGAGAGACCCAGTTTGTGCCTGACCATTGCTCACCTATATTTTAAATTCAGGTAGGGAGCCATGTTGGTCTAAAGAGGGCCATAGCATGCATTGATGGGTACTTCCTTCATACTGGATGGGCTGTACCTGTGCTTGGTACTTTTATTGGGCAGTCATATCTCAGTAGAAAGAGGAGGAGGAGGCCTTCAAGAATCTTTGTGCTAGCATTTCTTCTAGGGCACAAAAAATGAAATAAAGCATCTGAGCCAAAATTGTGTTTTTAAAATCTTCTAGGTAACTTTTTTTATTTAAAAATCTCATTAATCAGATGAATATGTGCAAATGTGACTATGTTTTCATAGGCAAAAACATTATCCAAGGCCCAGATGGTTAAGCCCATAGATAAAGATCTGTTTCAGATAGACTAGTCTTCATACCTATATAGAAAACCAGCAGAAAGGCTGCTGGTAAGCAGCAGTATCCTCTTTTACCCTTGATATCTTGTGGTAAGGATACAAAGCACTCCCACTGGCCTCAGAAACCCCATTTGGAATTTCCCTGCTGCTGACAGCCATTAAAATCTATTGGCTTATGCAACCGGGTGAGCTTGCTGCAGTGAGAATTCCCCACTTGTAGCAAGAGTTCAATCACTGCTACAGCTCCACAGTCAGCAGGGCTAGGACTCCAGGCTGTCTTACCCTTGATGGTGTTGCTTGCTTGCTTGCTGGGATGCCTTGGGCACACACACCTGCTGTATGGCTCTGCTTTGCTGTCTTTCATAATGCTTTTATCATACCTCATACCTCTGCATGTAGCGACTTGGTGCCAATGTTACCTGCAGGGAATATAGCAGCTCATAGTGCCAGAGGATTGACATGGGGTAGAAGGGATTCCTCCTGCAGCCCCAGCTCTCAGCAAGCAGGTATAGGTGGGAGGATGGGAGATGGGAAGGAGGAAGAGAGTTGTTCTTCTTCATTTCTCAGGCAGTAGGTAGGTTGCCAGTACTGCTTTGCAAGTACGTGTAAACAGCCCTGCCTGCTGCCCACCCTTTGCAGGAGGAGCAAGCCTGTTGATTTAGATGAATTTCCTGACGTCACAAGAAGCGGTGAAAAAGTGAATGGAGCCAACATTTTTTCTGCATTATGTACCCTCTCTCCCTCCCAGCGCTGCTATTCCTGCAGGAGCCTGACTGTTCTTTAACCTCTGCTGATTCCAGAGCAACATCTGCAGCCCCTCCCTCAACACCTCTGCGCTTTTATTATAATTGGCTTATCAAGCATGTTGCCTGAAAGTCCTCTTAAGTTCATGCTGTCAGCAAGGATGGTGTTGGGCTGGAGGAGGCAAGGGAGCCCTCACCAGCCTCTTTCCCCTTTTATGTTTGCTTACAGGAGTGGTGAAGAGTTGGCATGTGCTGGACCCAAGTGCTGACACCGCAGCTGCCTTTGGTGCTTCTGTGCAGCTCGGCAGGGGCCACCTACTCCGCTCTGGAGAGAGGACTAGGCATGCATTGTTTGATTGCTAATAGGAATGGGAGAGACAGATTTCCTGGGGAGGGTGGGGCAGAGCTAGTCAAGAATAGGATCGTGCTTCAGCATCAATGGCACAAATCACAACTTACGTCACTGGTGCCTGAAACAGTTTATGGAATTGGTTATTTAAAGTCTGAGTCAAGTAGCTCTTTTGAGACAGTTGGCAGCAGTGTTTTCCCTTGCTTCCTCCTCTAACAAAAAATGTGTGCTGTGAGCTGGGGTGCACCATGATGAGGCCAGCACCATGGGCGTAGCCAGTGTCAGCATCGCCCTTGAGCCAGTGCCACCAACTGGACTCATCCACTTCAGCCCCGACTGGGCTAGGCGAGCTGGGTAGCACTTCCAGAGACCACCTTCTGCACAGGAACAGGTCAAAGTGCTGTGGACTCACAGCTTAGAGTTGTGAGCACCGGATTCACTCCAACAAGAAGACAGTCGTCGCACAGCAGAGTACAGCAGTCTAGCAGAGTATATAAACAACTCGGAGAGCAGCTCTGTAGAATATCTTCTTTATTCTATCTACAACTATTATACAACTATATACAGAGCTAAATAGGTCTAAGCATAAATGAATGCTGCACTGCACTGAGTGTCTGCAGCTGCTCTTAGCAGCAACCTTATCTCTACACACGATCTCTAACACTCAGTCTCTCTCGCTCTCTCCGACACTGACTGACTGACTTGGTGCTGGAGCAGAATAAGTAGAGAGCAGAACACGCCTCCTCCTCTCTGGAGAATCAGCAGACTCCTCAGGAGATTCTTGGATATGGGAGGGGTGAAATCTCAGCCAGGATTTTTGTGGGGGGTAGAACCTCATACTTGTATTGATTTGAATTGATTTAGGGGGCAGCTGCCCCCTATCCCCCTCTTGGCTATGCCCATGACCAGTGCACTTACTAATAGTAGAACCATTAGCATTATCATGTCATTATCATATCATATCATGATAAATGAAACTAACAGCACATGATGTATCTCTGTAGGACTTATACTTCCTCACAGTTGGTCAGTGTTAAGTCAGATATAGTCACCTCAGGTGGTGGCCCAGGAGGCCTGTTATTTAAAAACAAACAAACAAACAAACCCTAATTTCTAACTAGAGGCCTCTTTCTGTGTTATCCTGAAGCAAGCAAACCAGATCCTGAGCTTTGCCCTGAATATACAAGACAAGGTTGTGGGTGCTGAATCTGTCTGATGCTAGCAGAGGGGAAGTTACAGATTGGGCCCTGGCTTGGTGGAGACCAAAGGACTTGCTGAAAGTATGACTCTGCTCTCAGTTTCCCATAGCTCTGAAGTAGCTCTTGCTTGAAAATTAGGGAGCATAATTTGGTGGTAGCCTACTTAGGACTAAAATGCACAAATCCTGCCTGGTTCTGCATCACAGGACTGATGGGGTGGTTCTGACGGTTGGCTTTTCAAGTGCAGCATCCTTTATGCTTTCATACATGCAGCCTGGGAGTGTGGAATAGCCACATCTTTCTCACGGGAGGATACACTGCAGGCACATGAGGAGTAACCTAGGGCAATTCATGTGAGAAGCCTAAGGCCATTCACAAGAGAAGTGGATGTGTGCACAGCCTAGAAAAATAAAAACAGTTAACACTAAGAATTGTGTGGAATTAGACTTAGAAGTAAAATAAAATAGAGGCCTAAATTCAGCCTGCATTTGAGCGCAGGATGAATAGTTCACAACAGTTCAAGACATAGGTTATAAAGAATTCAGTATTCTGCAACTGAATGAGCTACTTCTGAAGCTCTGGCTGAGTCCCGTCCCCCCACACACTCTTGGTCACCAAGCTGTGCTAAAGCCTTTTGTACCTTTTCTCAAGCCAGTAGCTTTTCATCTGGCCGGGTATACATGTGAACTCATCAGCCATCTTCTTCACCACTCCAGAGCTTGTACCAGTTCTGTGAAGAATGTTTAGATTTTTCCATCCCTCTTTTTTTCTAAATTTAGAGCACCCATTTAACACTCATGATTTGGAAAGAATGTGGCATGGTAATAATTGATGAGTGATCTCTCCATCCCCCAGCTCTTCAGCAAACACATTGCCTTTGACAGGTCTGGCCATACTCCCAGACCACTTGCAAACCTGCAGTGCTATGGAGAGCCTGTGTCTTTCAGAGGCATATCATACATGCCCATTTCTCCTCCACTCCTATTTCCCTAAACTCAGTAGATCCGTTTATTTTCTTTACCTCCTGTGGGATATATATATCAGGAAGGGTTGAAAGCACATTAGCAGCTGTGAAGAAATACTTCTATATTCACCTGACAAGTCAGGAGCCAATATTTGTGTCGGCCCATTTAATTCCCCCCCATTTGTTTATGTGGGGTTGTTTAATGGTGCCTGGTAAATGAAGCAAAACAGGGCCCCAATATTTACAAGTATGTGCAAAGGAAATGGTCAAACCAGTAGCATAGAAGTTTATAGTTTATTTGAACTTCCTAAATGGGCCTATAGATGTCCTTCTCTGCAGTCTATTAAAAAAGGTAAGTATCACAGGGGTAAGATGTAAAGGTTTAGTAATGGGTTAGAAATTGGCTAAGCACTAAAAAGTAAAACAGAAGAGAAGGGTCAGATGCTTAGAGCAGAAAGTTATCAGTGGGAAGACCTGTAATTCTGATACAGTGGTACCTCGGGTTACAGACGCTTCAGGTTACAGACGCCTCAGGTTACAGACTCCGCTAACCCAGCAATAGTACCTCAGGTTAAGAACTTTGCTTCAGGATGAGAACAGAAATCGTGCGGCGGCAGCGGGAGGCCCCATTAGCTAAAGTGGTACCTCAGGTTAAGAACAGTTTCAGGTTAAGAATGGACCTCCGGAACGAATTAAGTTCTTAACCCGAGGTACCACTGTACAGCTTTCAAAAGATGCACTAATTGTTGATCACATGGCAGCACATAAAGATAACAAAACAACTTTCCACTGCATCAAACTATACTGTTTGAGATGTTCTTTAAAAAAAACAAAAACAAAAAAAGCTTTCTCAAAACCGTTCACTTTTCAGATACTTGGAAAGTTTTTATTTTTATTTTAAAGTTTAGCACTGTGAAACGGTCCATTGCTGCTGTATACATGATAACTGAACATCTAAGCTTTTATCTTACCTTGGGCCAGCAATAAGTAGAATGTGACAGTGAAAGAGGTATAGACAGGGTTTTGGGTTTTTTTAACTGCAACTTTTTAATTAAATCTTAGTAAAGCTGCCAACACAAACTTGATAAACTGCTATTTCAACTGGCAGAGTCATTGTGTTGACGTGAGATGTTGGTGTTGCTTTTTCAGAGTACAGGGTCAGATTTAAGGTGCTGCTTTTGACCTTTAAAGCCCTTCACGGCCTAGGACCCTCGTACCTACAGGACCGCCTCTCCCGGTATGCCCCACGGAGAGCCTCAAGGTCCATAAATAACAACACCCTAGTGGTCCCAGGCCCTAAGGAAGTTAGATTGGCTTCAACCAGAGCCAGGGCCTTTTCAACTCTGGCTCCGGCCTGGTGGAACGCTCTGCCTCATGAGACCAGGGCCCTGCAGGATCTGATTTCTTTCCGCAGGGCCTGTAAGACAGAGTTGTTCCGCCTGGCCTTTGGCTTGGAGCCAATTTGATTCCCTCCCTCTCTTTCTTTTTTCCTTTCCTTCTCCTCCTGCGATGAGGCTACATTTTAATATTTTAATGTTTCAATATTTTAATGTTGTATTTTAATTTTGTTTTTAAGTTGTAATCATTCAACTTGTTTTTATTATTGCTTTTAAGCCGCTCTGAGCCCGACCTTGGCTGGGGAGGGCGGGGTATAAATAAAAATTATTATTATTATTATTATTCACTGCTTAATTGGCTAACTTGTATGTCCAGCTTTTGATCCTCCTTGCAGCCATCATGCTTTAGGGCAGTGATACATGTTGTGTATCAGTCTTAATGGATAAGATACTTTCAAGGCAAGTGCAGGCTGTGATTGAGGAGGTGGCACTCAGTACCCCATTAATGCTGGACAGCATTGTGTTGTGAGTCCAAATATGGTGGCTGACTGTGCAGAAAGGGAGAGTTTCGGAACTTGGCATCCTAATTTAATTCCATCTTGTTTTAATATGCTGCCAATCCATGTTCTCTGCACTGAATTCCCTTCTAAGCTAATGTTTGGTGGCAGATTATATCATGCCTTTAGATATGGTTTGTTAAGGGATTTGGCATTTCCAGTTCGCTACATTTTCCACAGGACCGGCCTGTAAGGAAACTACAGGAACGTGGACTAAGAGATTTTGAAAACATGTAAATACTGTACTTGGGAGCCACAAGGCATTATTGGAAATTTTACAGAAGAAAACTTCTAGGCTTGGTTTGGATTTGTCTAATAAATCAGTTTCCAGCAAAAACAGTGAAGCACGTTTTGCATAGTGAACGTTCCCTATGACATAAGCTTTAATGAGCAAGATCCCACTTTATCGAATGCATGATAATAGATAAAAGTTCAGGGGTTTGTCGGATATGACCGTTAAGGTATCAGTTAAGTTTTCTAAAGGAATTATCCTTTGTGCATCCATGTTTCACACTTACGTTAACTCTCAGGACAGAAGTGGTTCATCATTGACATGACTACTTACTGTACTGAGATAGAAACAGTAGTTTGTGCCTAAATGGTGGGGAAGAGAATGGGAATATGTTATTGGGTTGGCCCAGAAGCTGAGGTTGCAGCTGCTGTCTGCTTAGGCGGCAGCCTCCTTAAAAGCTTGTTAACAGCAGGTGTTAATGAAGTGCTAATGAAGCAGTTTGCCAGAAGCAAACCAAAGGCGCTCACTAGCCTCTTCATCTCAACAGGAACCTCAATGGTCCCCTAGTACAAACTGGTTTATTAGATGGAGTCAAATAACCTGTAACAGATGAAGCCTTTACTTCTGGAAAGTGGGTTAGCAACACATTGATCATTTGTAGTTGCCTAGCGACTGTTACACACACACACACACACACACACACACACACACCATGGAATACTGTCCCAACGCAAGCAGTACTGATACTTGCACAATTCTATTTTCCAGTGAAATTCCAAAAGAGATTCTTCCAAGAGATCTTGTTCAATATCACTGAGTATCCACAGAGAATCATAGTTGGTGGTGATGGCTTTTAGTTTAATACTGAAAGTTCAGGTGATTGCTTCCACATTCGGCATGTACTGTGGTGTTGCCATACTTTGTTTACCCACTTTTTATGGGGCATCTACATGATCTCATGTACTAAACCCTCCCTCTTAGTCCTGTTCAGCTTGGTTCCCCCCGACCAAGTTCAGAAAATGGTTGTTGTTTTTAGAGCAATGACATAGCAGCACAATTTCCCCTTATGTACACAGCATATCATGCTCCTATGCTGTTCAGTTGTGGTGTATATTTCTGCTTGTGGGTGGGCGCCATTCAGCCAGTTATTTGGCATCTGTGATGGGGATTAAGGTGGACCCAGTGGCATTAGTCACAGTGGCATGGAGGTATGGCCTTTGGTCCATTGAAGCAAAGACAGAAAGTCTTCCAGAGCATACCCATATCTGTTCACAGTCAAACAATCTTGAACAAGCATGTGTAAGTGAAATGTTTCATTGCTGCACACCACCCTGATATTGCAGTATATAAATGGTGGTATATAATTACTTTTAAATAAAACTAAAGGTGAAATGGGTAGTACTAATTTTCGAGCAAACTACAGCTGCCTGCCCAGCAACTTGGAAGAAGAACTACAGAGAATTATGATTTTAGTGTTTTCCCCTAAAAGTAAGCTCAGGAATATGCTGCAAGCTCAAGGCTTGGTAGTGTGGCCTTTTCAAGGCTCGACCCACAACGGTAGAACTCCCTTATGCCAAAAAAGGAAGAAGAAGGAAAAAAACCACCAGTCCCACTTGGCTGGCCTCCTTTTTTGGAGAGCTGTAAATACTTTTCTCTTTTCTTTTCTTTTCTTTTGGATGCTCTCTCCAGCCAGTCGGTGGTTGGGAGTTGTCATTGTGACTTCCAATTTTACGTGGAAATTGACTTGAACTTCTTATAGGTTTACATTCATAATTCCTTTATTCATTTGGATGAGAAATGCCATAATATTTTGTTATGCTTTGAGGATATAAATGCATACATGTCAGTAAAAGCCAGTGGCTTCACAGTGGAAGCCTTAACCAGTCAGGTATCAAAACAGCACACGAAAAGCCCCTGTCTTTGCGTGTCCTGTCTAGCCCCCTGAAACACAGCTTGTAAACTACAGGTCCTGCATGCAGAATCTTGAAGCTCTGACAAAGACTGTGTTAGCTCCCAATCTGCCAGTTCTGGTCTCTTCCCCCCACCCTCTTTCCTCTTATGCTTCCTGAAACAACTCAGAGAGGGGTGCCTGTTTGAGCACACCCTGATCAATCCCTCCAAGGAAAGGGGATGGATTAAGGTGAGATGCAACAAGAAGAGGGTTCCCTGGTTTTTTCTTTTCTCTCTTCTTCTAGAAACATCACACAGAAGATAAGAGAATGGTGGCTATGTTTGCTGTCAGGGGCTAGCCCAGGGGCCAGCAAACCTTTTCAGCAGGGGGCCAGTCCACTGTCCTTCAGACCTTGTGGGGGGGCCAGACTATATTTTGAAAAAAAATATGAATGAACTCCTATGCCCCACAAATAGCCCAGAGATGCATTTTAAATAAAAGCACACATTCTACTCATGTAAAAACACCAGGCAGGCCCCACGAATAACCCAGAGTTGCATTTTAAATAAAAGGACACATTCTACTCATGTAAAAACATGCTGATTCCCGGACCGTCCGCAGGCCAGATTTAGAAGACGATTGGGCTGGATCTGGCCCCAGGGCCTTAGGTTGCCTACCCATGGGCTAGCCTGTCCTTCACTCTTGTACAAAGTGGCCCCAGTGGAAGTGTAATCACCAGCCAGAATCTTAGATGTTTCTGAGTGCTTCATTCAGACAGAGAGACTGAGCCAGGTCACATGGCTGAGTGAATTGTATTCCAAGCCTGTGTTCTATAACATTCTGTTTAGCAATGTCATCATCAGAAGACTTGTTTTCCTGATTCTATAATTATTCTTTGGAATGCACTCCCACCCACTGTCTTCCCTCCCCCCACACTGCCAAGACAGCTTTTGTAACAATTGGACCAAGAGCAAGAAACTCATTGTGTGGGGCTGCTGGGGGTGGGCGGGGACAGGAGAGGCATTCAGCAAATTTCTACATACAAAAATGGCAAAAGTACTGTGTCACGTCATAACTCAATGCTTGCAAATAGAAAGGAGGTGTGTGTATAACATAAGAGCCTGTTCCCAGTTAATATTTATTTCCTTTTAAGAAAACTGTTTTTATTTTATTTTTTTCTGACAGAGCTACCTAAAGAAGTCATGCAATGGAAAGGTGGGAAGTTTCCATTGTTGTAGATCGCAGGAATCCTGTGAACTGCAACTCCCATCACTCTGAACCAGCATGGCCAATAGTCTGGGGTGGTGGAAGTTGTAGTCCAACAACATCTGGAGTGCCAGAAGTTCCTCACCGCTGTTGCAGATGTTCCTTCTCACCAGCTGGAGCTTTTGATAAATCAAATGCTGAAGTACAAAGTGCTTTCAGTATTGCAGACACTTCTTAATTGCTTTCACAAATTGTGTTGTGCCAGTCAGTGTCGACGTTGCAGGGAGCAGCCGCTGTAATGTTTGCACGGGCCCTGGTTGTCCGCATGCTAGGAGGACTTGCACTGCAAATGTGCAACAAAAGATGCTTATTTTTCTTAAAGTACCTGCAGGATTCACCCAAGTGCTAAAGAGAGAGCATAGGAAGTCCTGACAAGAAGCAGCGTCTACTGTCCAAGGGGCTTGCTCTGCTGCGACAAGCCAAGGAGTGAATTAAATAACATTAAAAGATAAGAAACTGAGCTCGTACATCTCAGTGTAGTGACTTCTCCATTGATAAATGGTATATTTATGGTACCTCAGTTCTAAACCAGGCCTTTAAACACATTATCAACCTTTTGCTTGATTGCTGGGTGGAGGTTTTTTTTAATTGGAGGAAGGTCCAATTAAAAATAGGAGGAAGGTCAATTTTGAGCAATTCAACTGGGCAGAGAATACATACATATTGACCTGAAAATGATAGACTATAGTATGTTATAAATGATGACCTGATTTTTCATTAAGAAACTCCAACCGTAATGCAGAGGGGACATGGCCGCATAGGGTACTTACTCCCCCTCCTAAAAATAGTTTCAGGAAGCAGTGTTCAGAAATAGAGTAAATAACAGGTTTGCTTGGCTAAACCTACTTTACCCAGTGAAAATGTTACCCAGTTTCAGGAAACAGTTCTAAATGCTAGGAAAGCAAATGCAATTGTCCTCTAAAGTTACATTCTTCTACCCCAGTTTTGCTGCAGTACACTGGCATGATACATTGACCAGAGGTCAAGCGATATGTTCTGAGGGCTAACAGGAGCAGCATTCAGCGTACTGCCTCTGTTTAAACACTGCCCCTCTTCTCCAGTGTAGTTTCATTGTACTTCTCTAAACTCCAACCCACATATGATAATAATCAACCCCATATTTGTTACAATAACAAGTCTCATTAGAACACTGGTTCCAATCATGGAGCGGCGGGTGGGAGGGAGGGTTTATTTAATGCTGGTGACTTCATCTGGAGTGATGTCACTGTTAAGGAAAAACACTGAACTCCCATGAAACAGTTCAGCCTTGGATTCCTTGCCCTTGTAAATCGTTGGCTTTAAAGAGACAAAACATCCCATCCAGCACATCTAATCCTGGATGGTTTTCCATAGAACTAGGAATCATTCAGTCCCTGAACAGACTTAGAAAGCATCAGGGCATAAAGGCAATTAAAGAATACTGAGTATATGCTTGTCCAGTGTCCTTGTCACAGCAGAACAAACATTAGGCCCCACTGCCTTGTCAAGCTCTCCTCTGTCAGCAGTGTGGAGTACCCTTACCACAGTCCACACAAGTTCAGGAACTAGGAGCCAGGCCTCAATATCAGCTTCTTCCACTTCTCCCTTTATGATTGTTGCACTGGTGTCAAAAAGCATGAAATGTAAAGGAGAGCAGAGCAGAGTGCAAAGGCCATGGAAGCTGGGTGCAGAAAGGGTGGCAGTCTGTGGAGCAGGAGATTTGGATGACGGATATGTTCAGGCCAATGGGTTAGGAAACTAGGAAGGTGCTGCACACTGAGTCAGGCCCATTGGTCCATCTAGCTCAGTATTGTCTACACTGACTGGCAGTGGCTCTCTGGGGTTTCAGATGACATTCCCAGTGCTACATGGAGATGGCAAGGATTGAAACTGGGCTGTTGTGCATGCAGATGGGGACTGGAGGGCCAGCAGTGGCAAGTGGCAAAGAGCTTACATGTTGGAGAGTTGAGCATGCAATGGGTGCTCACACCACCAGGGCAACTGGGGGTGGCAGCAGTGCCATATTTTAAGAGGCAAAATGTGAGAAGGTGACACATTGGGATTTGATAGCAAGAGGGGTTTTTTTTCTGAATTAACTGCTGGCCTTACAAAACCTTCCTCGCCCTCATAAAAATGGATAACTTTGTTGTGACAATTAATTTCATTTAAATTGTTCCCCGGCTGACCTGGAATGAATACAGTGGTACCTCAGGTTAAGAACTTAATTTGTTCCGGAGGTCCGTTCTAGTCTGAAACTGTTCTTAACCTGAAGCACCACTTTAGCTAATGGGGTCTTCCGCTGCTGCCGTTCGATTTCTGTTCTCATCCTGAAGCAAAGTTCTTAACCCAAGGTACTATTTCTGGGTTAGCGGAGTCTGTAACCGGAAGCGTCTGTAACTTGAAGCGTCTGTAACCCGAGGTACCACTGTACTTGTGTGCATTCTGTTATATGCATTGTGTGGTTGGTGTTGGGATGAAAAGGTGTTGGGAGGCAAAGCTTAACGAATGGGCAAATGTCGTGGTGCAGATTTGCTGTTAATCCATCCATTTCATGATGGAGCAGGAGCTGGGCAATGGCCAGAAATAAGGACAGCTTGGGACTCCTGTCCAGAACAGTCTTTAATGAGATACATAGTTTTCTCCTGGGTATGGAGGGGGTGGAGAGGTGAAGTTCAAAGAGTTGCAGGAAGAGGATGTAATGTACTGCACTGCCACTCCTGATCACAAGGGAGATGCAATGGATTGTGCAGGAAACTGCCGGCTCAGACATTAGCTGTTTAGTCTAGTACTCTGCCCACTATACCACACTTCCTCCTGCTTTCTGTTGGTGCTTTGGGACCAAGCTTGTATCAAACGGATGAGCAGGGCTTCAGTTTGCTGTGCAGATATATTGACTTGCAAAAACAAAAGGCACCAGAGCTGTTTCCTTCACCCCTGCCGCCTGCCATTCACTAGGGTGGTTGGAGGAAGCGGGGAAAGGGATGTTGTCCCTTTAAGCAGCTGAGCGAACCATATGCCAGTAGCGTAGCCCTTGAGTTAAACTGCATGTCTGTGTGCTGAGTAAGGAATGCGGTTGCATGCCTGACCCGTTAGCTATGAGTGCTCCTTAGTGGATCAGCACGGCTGTTGCTCATGTGCTGATCTCATTCAGCCTCATTGGAGCTGGCGCTGCACATACACAAGGAGTGGAGAGAGGGGGAGAATCGTTCTGCTGAGAAGGAGCAGGAATATTCCTGTCCTGCTCCCTCCCTCCCCTTTTTATTTCTCCAAGAAGCTGGATCTAGGGGTGTTTCGGGCTCCCCTACTTTTTTGGGGGAATAGGAGGCTTCCACCCACCCACCTCTGGCAACTGTCGTTTTGCGAGGGCAGGAGGTAGCTCTTGGAGAGAGACGCTGCGCAGCTGCCTGGATGCCTTTGGATGTTATGATTGCTCCCTCTGAGGACCAGTTCTGGCCAGACATGCACAAAGAGCAGATGAAGCTGAAAATCAGGGTGAGACGGATGAAGGAGAGCAGGGAGATGCGAGGTTGGTTCCCTGGATTTCCCATCCCTTTTAGATGGGGGGTGTGCACGAGAAGTGAATGGGGATGGGACTGGAGTGTGCTTGGGGGGTGCGGGGGGGGTGGAGGAATCGATTCTGTTGCCTGAACCATGTCTCCTGCCTCCCGAGTGTGCCAAGTGGGGAGGGGGTTGGCAGCTGGCATCTTGCCATCACAGGACTGGGACAAGTTTAAAATTCTGGCGGCAGGAGGGGGAGAATGCCCATCATTTCTCCAGCCTTCGCGGATGCAGGACACAACAGGCAGCAATCCTGAGCACGCGCATGAAAATCTCATTTGTGAGACTTACTTCTGAGTCAACATGTTCAGAATTGGGCTGTTGGAATGTGACAGAGTAACACTCCCTCTTCCCCAGAATAATCAGAAAATGTGCTGCTCTTTCAGTGTAGGTCTTCTCTCTGTCTGTCTGTCTGTCTGTCTGGCTGTCTGTCTGTCTGCTGCAAGAAGATGGGCATTGGGTGATGCTTGCCTTGAGTCCCTCTGTGTTCCTGCATGTGCACTGCTGCAGCACTCATCTGAAAAAAGAGTTGCTTCCCCTTTAACAGGGTCTGGATTTTTTAAAAAAGGATGGGGGGGGTCTTAATTTCACAATGAACTGGGATCTTTAAAACTGGAATATAATGGGAAACTCAGAGGAGTGAGGCAGATTCTTTCTTTCTTATGTAACTCACCACATTCTCCAGGGGCAGAAGGGTAGGGAGCTGTGGAAATTTCCTGGGGACATCCCCATGCATGAGAAAGCATCTTGCATTCACTGCTACCTTCTTTAGAGGTCACTTTCTATCAAGTGGATGTGCAGATGGAAGGAAAGGAAGGAAAGGGGGAATTACCTTCTAGAAAGGCAAAAGAAGAGAAGAGGCACAGAGGAAGATGGGGGCACTATGCTGTCCCTAGCTTTAGATCTTGTGCATTTGCTTTGCTGCTCAATATGCCTGACTGCATTTCTCTACTGAGAATGACTCCTTTATTGAAAAGGCATCCATAGTGGTTTATTACTTGCAGGGCTAGCCCAAGAGGTGAGAAGAGAAATGAAAAGCAGCTTTAAAAAGTAGAATGACCTACTTTTACCAAACGATGGAACCATGAAACTTTCCCACAGCCCTTGCACTCTTTACAAAATCAGAATTCTCCTGCAGCGCTTGGAAGCCCTTTTGTGTCATGAGATGCATAGCCCAGCGATTGTGTCATTAGTAATAAGTCATTTATGGAAATGACACATTTTTCTTTACTTAGAACCAGTAGAGCTGGTCCTGGTGAGGCACATTTACCAGAGGAAAATCTGGACCGGCAACTTAGGAGGGCTGATTCTTTCAAGGGTGTTATTGCCCAATGCTTTTTTTAATAGAAAAATATTGGTGTTAATGGTTGCTTTCCTATTTACGTAAGGTCTTGCACCTTGGAGAAATATAACAGTTGGCAAAGATTCAAAAAATGAAGCTGACTGACTTGAGGACAGGGAATGTGGAGTTTCCCCCCACTCTCCCTTATGGATTCTTCTTTCTGTTGTACACGCAACCCAAAACTGCCTGCCCACCAGATGTTAGTTAGCTCAGTAAAAGCAAGAACCATACTTACTTCTATCCTCTGATACTAGTATAGACAATCAGCACTGGCTATATGCTGCATATAACATGCCTAAAACAGGGTTTTTTGTGGCGGGGGGAGCATAGAATAGGTAGAAGTGTGTGTAGAGGTTTGGGTCTTTGTATGGTGGTGAACTAAGGTTCCTGTTCCTTCAGCTAGGAAGAATTTAGATGTGATAGTCTTTCATCTGACAAATAATTGAGTTTGGCAGTGTCAAAATTGTCTGAATTGGGGGGAACAGAAATCGATCACCCCAGAGTTAAAGATAACTGATGATGATGATGATGATGATGCCACCAGCAAAAGTGCCACCAGCCATGGTGACAAAGGCATGAAAACAGAGATTACTTGATGCAGCACAGGAAGATGGTGAGAGTCAATATAGTAGGGGGCTGTGAGGGGAACAGCTGCAAAGACCAACCGAGCCCTTTCACTGCAGTAATAGAATTCAAATAGGAACTTGATGAGGTAAGATCCTAAAGCCATTTAAAATGAGGGATCAGGGGAGGCAGTCTCCAGAGACCTAAGAGAGAGTGTCAATTCTTTTTTTCCCCTTTTCAGAAAGCTGCTTTAACTGCCATTTTAGAAGCCGGTGTTTGGCTTGGGCGAAACAGCAAATGTTGCCCTTGCAAAAGGGGCCAGTGAGGCTGCATTGAAAAAATGTGCTGAACATTCCATCCGCTTTGATACATACGAAAAGGGGCTTTATGTGGAATTGGCCAATGTCCAGCAATGGGTGAGATAATCGAGCCGATATAAGGAGTAGAACACCATTTGTTACTTGAGGAAGGAAGTCAGAACTGACTTTTGCTAATCCTAGAAGGGGTGGGGGTGGGGAATGCAGCCAAGTGTCCTTTCCTCGTGAATTTCAGAGAATATTTTGCTGTTTCAGGTCTTGATATATCCCACCCACACTCTTCAGTTATGACAGCTCTCCCTTACTTACCCTAATAAGAACAGAGGCCAAATTCCCATAGCAATATAGTGTGATCTGCCTCTGTCACTTGCTTGTTCTGCTGTTTCTCCATACTCAAAAACTCATACCTGTGCATGGGAGTGAAGGTGTGAAGTAGCCCTGGAAGTGGTGTCACTGCTCTCCTCCTACTTATTTAGCCATGTTGAGAGAGTAGCAATGCTCCAGTGTGACAGCTAAGCAGGGTTTTGTATGTGACCAAAACATATAGCTCATGCTGGAGAATTCTGCTTTGTGTGGGAACAAAAGAACCAAAATCAGGGCTGTTGTCTTGCACGTAAAAGCAAGACAGCAGAGCAGACAGCAGAGCAGACCATCTAGCTGCAAAAAGGAAGTAATGGTTGTGAAAGCCAAGGAATTTTCTGTGGCAGGACTGAGTAAGATTTTCAAGTGCTGTGATTTCATCATTGGCGAGGCTTGTAATGGAAGCCATCCTTAAGCAAAAGTACCGGACATTGAACCGTATATCTTGAATTCAGTAAGCCTTTTGACAAAGTCCCCCATGATATTATTGGGGAGAAGCTGGTAATATATGGACTGGACAAGGTCACTGTTAGGTGGATTTGTAGCTAACTGAACCCCAAGAGTGCTCACTAATGGTTCCTCATCATCTTGGGAAAAAGGGACAAGTGGGGTGCTGCAGGGTTCTGTCCTAGGCCCATTGTTGTTCAGCATCTTTATAAATTACTTGGATGGATGAACTGAGGGGATGCTCATGAAATTTGCAGACAATGCCAAGCTGGGAGGGGTAGCCAATGCATTGGAAGACAGAATCAGGATTCAATATGACCTTAATAGATTGGGAGACTGGGCCAAAACTAACTAAATGAATTCCAATAGGGAGAAATATCAGGTTCTACACTTAGGCAGGAAGAACCATATAAGAATATAAGATGCAGGGCACCTGGATTGCCAGTAGTACATGTAAAAAGGATCTAGGGGTCTTAGTAGATCACAATTTGAACATGAGTCAACAGTGTGATGCAGCAACAAAAAAGGCTAATGCTGTTCTATGCTGTGTCAACAGAAGTACAGTGGTACCACCAGTTGCGAATGGGATCCGTTCTGGAGCTCAGGTCGCATCCCGAGGAATTCACAACTGGAGGTGATGCTTCTGTGCATGCGCATGACACAGTTTAATGCTTCTGTGCATGTGCGCAGCACATAGAGCACTTCTGTGCATGCGTGCAGGGCGAAACCCGGCAAAATACTTCCGGGTTTGCTGCATACGTGTCCCGAAGGATACATAACCAGAGGTGAACGCAAGCAGAGGTACCACTGTATAGTGTTCCAATCAAGGGAAGTTATAGTCCCACTCTATTCTGCCTTTGGCAGACCACACTTGCAGTACTGTTCTGGGCACCACAATTTAAGAAGGATATTGAGGAACACGTGCAGAGGAGGGTAAACAAGATGATAAAGAACGTGGAAACCAAACTTTATGAGGAATGGTTGTGGGAATTGGGTATGTTTAGCCTGGAAAAGAGGAGACTAAGAGGAGATATAACGGTCATCTTCAAATGTCTAAAGGGCTGTCACATAAAATATGGAACAAGCTTGTTTTCTCCTGCTCTGGAGTGTAGAACCTGAACCAATGGCTTCAAGTTAAAAGAAAGGAGATTCCAACTAAACCTCAGGAAGAACTTTCTGACAGTAAGAGCTGTTTGACAGTGGAATGGACTTCCTCAAGTGGTGGCGGACTCTCCATTTAATAGTTTCAAGCAGTGATTGGATGGCCATTTGTCATGGGTGCTTTAGTTGAGATTCCTGCATTGTAGGAAGTTGGACTCGGTGAATGTCAGGATCCCTTCCAACCCTACAATTCTATGATTCGCCAGTCTGAGCTGCCTTTAGTGCTCTTCAGTATTTTATATTTTTTTCTAAAGTTATATTCAAGGGCTTAATGTGTTGGAATAGTTAGAAAATTCATTTAAAAACCGATAGACTTCATTTTCTTCATTGTAGATGAGCAATTAAGGGACGGATATTCTAACACAGGCGTAGGCCCTCCAGATGTTTTGGGACTACAACTCCCATCATCCCTGACCACTGGTCTTGTTAGCTAGGGATGATGGGAGTTGTAGTCTGGAATGCCTGTTCTAACACCGCATACATAGCATGATACATACCTTTGTACTTTGTATCAGTCAATATTAAAGAATTACCACCCTGATTTCATATATAGTATCACTAAAGTTAATTAGAATCCCCATCTCACCCACACTCATGCACTGAAAACCTGCAGGCTGGGGGAAGTGCACCTTTTCACAAATCTGACTCTGACAATGGTAGGGTGGTATAAGGATTTACAGTGTCACTAAACTGAGTTCAAGTGATTTTAAGTAGATGCATTTTGTCATTCTGCCCACCTATGGCTTAAATGGGGGGGGGGTCCTAGCTAGGCAGTGTAGACTTCTTTATTTCCTCTTCAGTAACACAGTAATGTTTAGTTTTGTCTTAGGGTAAAAGAAGGTTTTCAGCAGTACTCTTGGAAGAACTTTCATGAGTCCACCCAGCAGACTGCTAGTCCATTGTTGATGCTGCCAAGCACATCAGAAATTGACACCAGCACTAAAGTGCAACCCCAACTGAAAGTCTTAACAGTGTGCATTGTTATCATGTTCATGCAAGGAACTGTGGCAATAGCAAATTGTGGGACAACTGCTGCAGGATGGGGAGAAATTGAAATTACACTGCAAGGTCATAGGGTGCCATTGAGATAATGTGAATGTGTGTGTGCGTGTGCACACACATACACAGTTCCATATATCCCTTGAGCATCTTTTCAAGAATATAGTTCTCTGCAGGAGCTGCAGAAAACGTTGCACATTGACAGCTCTGTGCTGGGGGATGGAAATTGAGTCAAAATCAGGGGTCAGCAAACTTTTTCAGTTGTGGGCCAGTCTACCATCCCTCAGACCATGTGGTGGGTTGGACTATATTGTGAAGGGGAAAAAATGAACAAATTCCTATGCCCCACAAATAACCCAGATGTGCATTTTAAATAAAAGGACACATTCTACTCATGTAAAAACACGCTGATTCCCGGACCATCCATGGGCCGGATTGAGAAGGTGATTGAGCCGCATCCGGCCCATGGGCCTTAGGTTGCCTACCCCTGGTCTAAATCTTACCCTAGAGTAGGTGCCCAAATCTCTAGTCACAGGTACCGTATTTTTCGCCCTATAGGACGCACTTTTTCCCCTCCAAAAATGAAGGGGAAATCTGGGTGCATCCTATGGGGCGAATGCAGGCTTTTGCTGAAGCTTGGAGAGCGAGAGGGGTCGGTGCGCACCGACCCCTCTCACTCTCCAGGCTTCAGGAACACATCCGCAGCCTAAGCAGCCCTGCGGGAGTTCCCGCAGGGCTCCCTACGCTGCGGATAGCAGCCTGCTGCCTGGAGCGCCAGGCGCGCTGAAAGCAGAGCGCCCGGCGCTTCGGGAACACACCCGCAGCCTACGCAGCCCTGTGGGAGTTCCCGCAGGACTGTCTATGCTGCAGATAGCAGCCTGCTTCCCAGAGCGTCAGGCGCCCTGAAAGCAGAGCGCCCAGCGCTTCGGGAACACATCCGCAGCCTAGGCAGCCCTGCGGGAGTTCCCGCAGGGCTCCCTACGCTGCGGATAGCAGCCTGCTGCCCGGCGCGAGGGGCGCCCTGAAGCAGAGCGCCCCGCCCGCCGGACAGACATCCGCAGTGTGTTGGAGCCCTGCGGGAGTTCCCTGCAGGGCTCCCCACGCTGCGGATAGCAGCCTGCCGCCCGGCGCGAGGGGTGCCCTGAAGCAGAGCGCCCCGCCCGCCGGGCAGACATCCGCAGCGTGTTGGAGCCCTGCGGGAGTTCCCCGCAGGGCTCCCCACGCTGCGGATAGCAGCCTGCCGCCCGGCGTGAGGGGCGCCCTGAAGCAGAGCGCCCCGCCCGCCGGACAGACATCCGCAGCGTGTTGGAGCCTTGCGGGAGTTCCCTGCAGGGCTCCCCACGCTGCGGATAGCAGCCTGCCGCCCGGCGTGAGGGGCGCCCTGAAGCAGAGCGCCCCGCCCGCCGGACATACATCGGCCAGCCCCACAAGCTCGGGGGACAGCAAGGAGGCGCAGTACCGCCACCCCGCTGTTCCTCGACCTGGTTCGGTTTCCCCGACCTGCTTTTGGGGGGGAAATAAAGGAATTCCCCCCCTTTATTTCCCCCCAAAAAAACTAGGTGCGTCCTATGGGACGGAGCGTCCTATGGGACAAAAAATACGGTAGTTTTAAATGCTTTATCAACCAGACTTGCCTAGCAGATGGCTTCAAGCTCTATTGTCTGAGGGGATCACATATCCTTAAAGTACATAAAATGGGAGATGATATACCATATTTTTCGCTCTATAACACACACCTGACCATAACACGCACATTGTTTTTAGAGGAGGAAAACAAGGGAAAAAACATTCTGAATGAAACATTGGATGTATCATTTTTGTGCTTCATGCTGTGGCCACAGACATGTGATCTGATGGTGAATTTGGGGTGACCCAATGCAAAAATCCTGAGAATCCCTGTGGATCCATGCTTTGTAACCACGTTTTTGCACCATTGCAGCACCAGGCAACAGTGGGTGCGTGATTTTTGGGGGGCAGGCTGTAGCCATGGACATGCTATGTGATCTGATGGTGAATTTGGTGTGACCCAATGCAAAGATCCTGAGGATCCATGTGGATTCATGCTTTGTAACCACATTTTAAGTGGGGAGGGAAGGAAAAACACAGAAGGGACAAGGAGCACGAGAGGGGTGTGCAGAGAAGCAGCTGGCTAAGAATGCAGGAGAGGGGTATAACGGGAGGGAGGAAAGGAAGGCAAAAGTTTCCCCCCACCCACCCAAGCCAGCCAGCTCGCGCTCTCTCTCTCCCACCTGCATATTTTCCGGCTGCCTGATATATATTTTTTTTAATTGCCTTGACAGAAGAAAGCATTTTAACTGCATTAAGAACTATTTAGCAGCGAAACCTAAGCTTTGCCATCCCTTAAGAGGTACAGACACTGTAATCTTCCAGATCGCATGAATTTACAGGCAAAACACTGTTTAAGGATTTCATCCTTTTAAATGGAAGAAAGCATATTTGAATGCTGTGTGTCCTCAAAAACAAAAGCAAGAAGTCAAATCAGAATTTTAAGCTGAACCTGTAATCTCTCTTCCCTTCACAAACATTGTTCCCTCCGGAGCATGGAGAGGAATTAGAAGGAAGGACGCTCTGCTGTCCCCTCTGCTTGCCTGGAGGGGAGGGGCTTTCCCTGCTCTTTGTTCCGTTTGAGCAAACACAGCAACGAAACAGAGAGGGTGGGCAGTAAGACCCTGAGGCAGAATGCAGGAAAGCAGCCGCTTCCTCTTTTCAGGTTTCCCTTCTCCGAGACACGATTTGATTTTTGCCTGATTTTTGCCTCCACTCGCGCCATTCGGCTCCAGGGACCACACATTCACTCAATAACACGCACAGACATTTCCCCTTCCTTTTTAGGAGAAAAAATCTGCGTGTTATAGAGAGAAAAATACGGTACCACTATCTGCAGTTAAACAAATACAAGGCCCTGAATCATTTGACATCCTTTTACAGTTGCCTAGTCTTTGCTGTCCAAGAGAAGCCACAAGATACATTATTTCTGAGCTAGTTGCTAAAGCCAAAGCCAAACTTGTCTCAGGACCTGTTTGCTGGGGAGATCTTTCTCCACTCGTTGATAGGCAGCTGGCTGGTTGCAGTGGCTTTTTCACTTAAAGAACAGTGTGAAAATGCATGTGTACCACAAAGAACGCTAAGGCTGCATCTGCTCCCTCCACTGCCACTACACTGACATGACAAAAAACATGAGGGGTTTGGAGGTATATTGTTCTCTAGATAATGGACTGTGAAGTGCAGGCCTCATTCAAGAGTTCCATACAGATGCTGGCACAATGATTGCATCAATGGCTGAGCAAGCCTTTTGTCCAGATCCTGTGGCTTGGTTTTAAATTGGTGCAGGAGTGACGTACAATTGATCAATGCCACAATGCAGATTGCAAGGGCTGGTTGCACATCGGCGCATAATGATGTTAAACTAACCTGCTGCTTTGTTCCTGTGTAAAAACAGCTAGGGAAAAAAAAGATGAATTGTGAATAATCAGTGGAGTTATCTTGGATGCTGTGATTGCTGACCATTATTCCTGTATTTTTAAGGGATATTTCTAATGTGTAGGCTCAATGCTTGTTCATGGTTTCATAGACCAGGGATCCAGATATGCTTTATGCAAACGAGCCCAATATATTTTAATTGTTATAGCAGCCAAATAATAATGTATGCTTGTTCAAGAAATACATTAATTCAAAGTGAGTATCTTTATTGAAATCACTGATTTAAGACTGTCTTTTTATTGGTGATGTAATTCATGTTTTTAACAGCCTTAATTTAAATCAATCCACCTTACGGGGGGGGGGGGGGGCATTTAAACATGGAATCCACTTGTAAAACAGTAAAGAACAGAGGGCAGGGGAAATAAATGTTTAAGATTAAGGAAGCAAATATTTAGAAAACTAAGAAAGATGTTCAGTCTCAAAAAAGGGAAGGAAGAGCAAGGAAAGAAAACATAACAAGAGGAGCATGAGTGAGATAAGTTGAAGGAACAAGAGAAAATTAAAGTAACACATTTGTCAAAGTTGGAGCAGTTAGCAGCTGTTGCATGGCAGATAGATTCCACCAAAATAGGAGACAACATCATTAGGAGAAAGGCAAGTTGGCAAGGCAGGGTTAGGAGATGAATAAAGAGAAATAATATTTGACAAAAGGTGGCAAGGATTAAGTGGTGAGCAAAAAAATTGGGGGTGTGGGGGGAGAAGCAGAAAGAAAAATAAATATTTTGTGACCAAATATTCAAACATGACCACTGGAAACCAAGAGAAATCAAGAGCTGATGCCAAAGGAGATCAGTGGACAGGTTAGAAGAAAAGTAAAGGAAAAGAATGAGCTGTAAAAGAACTGACTGTTCTGCAAGGGAACACAGAAGAATAGGTGGGGAAAGAAATCAAGGGCAGAAGAATAGATTAGGAAGAAGAAGAAAAAGAATCCAAATCAATACAAAACTAAGCAGGGGAGTAGTTGAATTTAGAAGTAGAAATCACAGAGGTAATTAAATTGTAGTTAGGAAGAGGAAGACAAAATTGCAAATACAGCACTGCAAAGTAATAACTAAATCAAGAGCAATCTTGGGGAACTAGGGGATTTCCATGGAACTGTAGGGAAGCCAGTATGTGCCAATATTTACAAAAGCGGACAATCTTTGGTGTAGAGGAATAATAGATTGGCTTACGCATGATCAAAAAGATGCTAAGTGCTTAAAACATAAATAGCCACCAGGCACCACATTATGGTGGAAACTAGTTCTTTTCCAGCAAATAGACTTTTTGATACTTTGATGATGGTGATGATATTTCTTTCACATTTCTGGTTTTCATACTATGGTTATTACAGAAGAGAAGGCTTTCTTAGTGATCAGGCACTAACTTGGGGCTTGCAAGTCTAGCTTTGTTGACTTCAGTCTCATGGATGGAAAAGACAGCATCTGCCTGAACTCTGGGGACTTTCTTCAGAGTTTTCCCAGGCAGCTGCTACCAGCTGGGCTCACTAGGCTGAGAAAGTGATAAACCACGAATGAGTTAGTTGGGTGTTGTGTCTAGAGAAAACCTTTTCCGTGTGTTCTTTGGGAGTGCAGCCATTAGCTGCTGTGCCACAGATTTCCTGTGTGGCCTTGGAAAAACCTGCTCTGTGTAACATGCGAGATAAAAGTAACATTTCCACCTCATTCTAATACTGTGAACAGTGATATGCTCAAGACTGCAGGTGTTCTTTCCCTGCCCACCCCCCTAATATTCTTAAGAGGGTCTCTTCTCCAGTCTTCAGAGAGTAGCTGAAAGTGGCGAGGCAGAAAATTGTCCTTCTTTCCTTCTACACTGCAGTTTTAATCTGAAAACTTAGGCACAGTACTGCGCCCAGAGCTCAGAAACCTCTCACGCTAATGAAATTCCCTGTTGCAAAATGCACCTAGAACAATGGGAGTTTCTAACACTGCACTTGACCCTATCCAAATTGCCATAACAAAACTTCTTTATGTAGCTTGAGAGACAAAGTGCAAAATTTCCAACTGTACCTGTGGTCCAGCAAATTTCCAACAAATCATTTGCAATGAGCATGGCGTAGTGCAGACTGGGAGAAATGATGTTGGCTGCACAAAAAATGACTGGTGAATCAAGCCTCTCTAATGGCCTAAACAAGACAAGGATTAAGAAAGCTGTCTTCTGTGTCATTACAAGCATGCTCTTATTTCTCTTGGATGGTGTGAGGTGGGATTATTTAATGTCTCCAAGATGCTTAAATAGAAAGGTTGATTCATGAGTAGCTTGATTGCTAAAACGGGGCCTGCATGTGGAGTAGTCCTAACCCTTTTCTGCTGACACCCAGGTGGTGCCCCTGTGACGTCCTAATCACTTGTAACCTTTATATCATATGTTTTAAAAGAGTGTTCTCTCCATATTAGATCCCATATCTACTCTCAGGTTATAGGGCACTTTACTATGCATTTGCATTCGATGAAGCAGCACTTTCCTTCTCACAGACACTGCAGGCTGAAGGCTTGTTCACTCACAAGTTGCTATCAGAGGTAAAATGAAGGGAAGACGAGCACTCTAGTGCTTGCAAATGAGACATTTCAGGTATCCACCTGGGCCATTCAGAAAGCTGTTTGTGCAGAACCGTGAACCCCATTCATCACAGAGAGCAACCATGTTCTTGATTATATAACTCCTAGATGAAAGAGGAGCCAGTGAAGAAAATCCTCTTTGAGCTTTCCAGTGGCCATGGATTGCTTTTCATCTCATTTCATCCACTGATGTGTTTTGGGAACATGTAAACACATTCAAGGTTGATACATACCCAGTTATTGTTATTTTTTAATTATGCATTAAATTTGTATACCACCCTATACTTGCAGGTCTCAGTTCTGGTCACCGCAGTTTAAGCAGGATATTAAAAAGCTGGAAGGTGTGCAGAGGAGGGTGACCAAGATGATAAGGGGTCTGGAAAACAAGCCTTATGAGGAATGGTTGGGGGAGTTGGGTATGTTTAACCTGAAGAAGAGGAGGCTGAGAGGTGATATGAGGGCCATCTTCAAATATCTGAAGAAGGAGCAAACTTGCTTTCTGCTGCTCCAGAGGGGAGGACCCAAACCAACAGAGTTGAATGACTAGAAAGGAGATTCCAACTAAGCATTAGGACACGCTTTCTGACAGGAAGAGCTGTTCAAAAGTGGATTGAACCAGCTCAGAAGGTGGTGGACTCTTCTTGTTTAAACAGAGGTTGGATAGATATATGCCAGGGATTATTTAGTTGTAATTCTTGCATTTAGTAGTGTAACAAATCAGGGTGGGGTGTACGGGCTGCACCAGGTTTGTGGGGGGCTTAGGCCAGTACGGTGATCTGTAGGGCGGCACGAAGGCTGCTGCATGTCAGGGATTGAGATTCTGTGTGGCAGGGGAGTTTGTGGGCGGCATGGTGGTTCCTGGAGTTTTGGGTGCTCTGCAGTCCCTGAAATCAGTGGATGCCCTAAAAAAAAAAGCTCAACAACTTTGATTTACCCCCGAAAGCTCCAAGCCACTGCTTGCATTACCAGAGTTTGGACTAGATAGCCCTTGTGGTCCCTTCCATCTCTATAGTTATAAGTTATATCATTCTGTGCTTGGTAATCTTGTCTAAACCCTCCAGGAAATCTACAGCTCTGGCCAGCCTCAGGATTTTCGACAGGGCAAGGTATCCTCTCTTGAAGCCTCAACCAGATCTCCTATTGGAAACAGCACTTATAAGTAATCTGAGAACTCTTTCTGACCACACTGTCCCGCATACAGATGCACTCCCTCTCTTAATTCCACTCATGCCAAGATAATACCACTCCTAGGCCATATAGCTTGACAAATAAAAGAACCACAACTGTACAAGGCCAGGACTTTTGTTATTCCCTGACACCCCCCCCCTTGCTTGATCTGATGCTAGAAGGGCAACTAGCATGTGTTAATAGCAAAGCCAACCCAATCATCAGTCATGTCTGGAATCCTGCTTGTGGCCTTTGCATTTTTTGCATTAAGCTATGTTGACTTTTTAAGATTAAAAGAGGTTTTAAGGCCACTATTGTGGCTGAGAGGTCTGTTCCCCCCCTCTCATTCCTTTGAAGGATTGCTTAAACCCCCATTTAGATTAAGGAAATTAACTATTTAATTGGATATTTAACCCCACCCCTGTTCCAGTGGGACTCAGGCAGACTTAATGTTTCTTTATTCTATCCAATAAATTAGCTTATACAGCCTTTGCAAGATCATGCTCATAATGAGGCCTGTATCTCTGAAACAAAAGCTTGTTGGGATAGGAGGACGTGTGCCAAGAGTAATATCAGATGCTGGGCCCTCCTTCCATCAACGAATCCCCACTGGCATTCTTAATAGACCCTGCATGCTTGCTTGCATTTTCCTGAACAAAACTAGCAGTGAATCTGCTGACAGTTAAATTCCCTCCGCCTGTATTTTCTAGTAAGGCTGTTACAGATAAGAGCAGCCTGGGTCTGAGCAGATTTCTCAGTGCCCCAATTCCTCCCAGTTGAAAATGGGCATCATAGGCAAGTAAATGAATGGCATGTTTCTCCATCTGCACAGATTCTAAAACCTCAAGGGGGGCGTTTTTGCTGAAGTGAATGGGAGCTGTGCAAGAGCTTAGCAGTGCCCAGTGGACTGAGCCCTAAGACAGAGCTACTGCTCCAACATGGCAAGAGGGTATTACTTAAATTAGGAAGTGGTAGGGCACAACCCTGCACTACATGACCTCCTTCCTATGACACCCTGCAGCATAGTGACAACTGGCAACCGCATCACTCTGCAATACAGATTGCAACAGGGCAAGAAGGAACAGTGATGCATAGCACATGTATGACCAATTCACACCACAGTACAGATTATTTAGCGCATGCCCAGTGTAAAATCAACCCATAGCTTTGTGCTCCAGGACATGCAACCTTGTATCTTTGTCTCTTGCATCTATTGGGAGACAAAAAAGCAAGCAAAAAACAACAACCCCCCCTCCCTGCCTGACACGCTGAGTGCTGGCTATTCTTAGCTTTTCTTCTGAGCATTCAGAAAAACACATTAGGGAAGGAGGAAATTATAGCTCAATAGCATGCATAAGGGTGCCAGGCTCAGTTTCTGACACCTTCAGTGAAAAGATCATGAGCAGAATAGATCTGATGGCAGCAGACCTGTATGCTTAAATGTGGCTCTACCCCCAACCATATGGGAGAAGGAAGGGGTGGTTTTTTAGGGACAAATACATGGCGACCCGGTGTTCACAGCTTACCTGTCCGCAGTTTCTGTGATGGTTCTCTCCTTCTTTCCTTCTCAGCTAAACTCCAGTAGCAGGAGTGTTCTCAGCTGAGGAAAGTGCTTGAAGAGTAAGGACCACAGGGACATAAGCTGCAAGCAAGGGGAGGATTCTGCATCCATTTTGCTGTTAGAAACAGACCATTTACTCCCTCTTTCTGCAGTTCTGTCTTGAGGGGGTTGAGTGGAGAGATCTATATCTAAATGCACAGAGCTGCCAGAGCTAGTTTGAACCTTAGCCTTAGAGAGCCTCTACCACTCAGAATACACAATTCTGTCCTCTAGATGGACCAGTTGACTCAACTTGGCATAACACTGCTTCATCCATTTGCAACAATACAACAAGTTGTGTAGAGGATGACTTCTTTTGTCTAGTCTTTCCAGATGCCCAGGTCTTGACTCCTGGATTATCCGCCGACACCCCTCAGACCAAGAAAAAATAGAGAATTACATATGCTTACATACACACTTCCCAACCCTGTAATTTATGCTTCATGGTGAAATTGATGCAATTGGGGGGGGGGTGAGGGAGGCAGCTAGGAGTAACCAGAGCCCATGTGCACCTGTGCTAATCTTGTTTCATTCATTCTGATTTAATATCCCAGTTGAGGGGTGATGTCATGCCACAAAGAGCCACAGAGGAAGTGGTGTTGCAAAGTGCATTTAACTCCTCATATCCCAAATGGACAAGACTTGGTGATTTTTTTTAAAAAAAAAATTCTAATATTTATCTGGCAGCAGAAATAGTGTTGTTCACAAATATTATTAGTGTTTAGGGATTGGGGGTTTTTTTGTTTAGTCAGTTGCCAGATTCTGCAGGGAAAGCAAAAAATATACCTTGTGAAGCATTAGATCAGAAGGCTGTCTCAAGGAAGATGCTTGCGTGAACTGTATGGTCAGGCTTTACCTTCTGATAAGAGTAGCCAGGAACAGTATTTTACGTAAAAGGTGGCTTTTCAATTGTGCCTGGCACAGGGGTGGAAAGCAAAAGTCCTTTGTAAAACAATTTTTTGTCAAACTGTATTATAAATCAAACTATCTCAGCTGCCCACCCAGTATATGGGCTCGCTTTCCTAATTAGTATTGTACACGGGGCCGTTTTATCGGCCATCCACTCGGGCATGAAATAGAAAAGAGCTCTGTGTGCATGCGTGGGAGCCACAAAGAGAGAGGCAGACTACTGAAATGAAGCATGACTTTGACGTAGGTCTGTTTCAAGTACAAAGGCCTGCAGCTATGTTTGCTGTGATTCAGCTGGAGATTACGGATGATGGACCGGGGGGGGGCAGGGATCTACCAGTAACAGACCAGCACAGTCAAAGGATCCTAGGAGAGATTTCCTAAGTCACTGATTTTCAGATTGTTCCAGAAGGAACACTAGGGTGAGGATCCTCAATGAGAAGATCACTCAGGGCTTTCCTGAAAGGCTGCTTTTACCCAATGTCACAATTCTTCCCTCTGAATATGTGGCTTCAGCAAAGTCTTGGATGTGTTTGAGGTCGGTAGTCTTTAATCTTAATAGATCCAGGTCCTATCTTTAAATGAAATGTACCTTGGGGGTATGTCCCGCTTCTTAATTGTTATTTTTTAACATATATTTGTATGGTGGCAGTGCCGTTGGTGCAACCCAACTTAGTATCCTAGGTCACATTCTGATTTCACTCGGGGTAGCAGGGAGACCCAACACCTCCAGCCACTGCCCTGAAGGAACTGAGGGTGTGCTCTAGAAAATGCCCTAAATTTGTCTACAGCACACTGGGTTATCCCGGCAGCCATAGCAAGGCTTCCTTGGCAGAGAGGTCAACACAGAAAATGTACCAAAAGGTAGGCAATTTGAAGAAACACTGCTCTGGGCAATGCTTTTCCCTCAGTCACTTCTAAACCTATAACAACACCACTGGCAACTGCCGTTTCTCAGATGACAAGCGTTGCTCACATGTGGCTGCTAAAGATCCCAGGGGGGCTATTTATAAAAGAGGAGTAAAATTAGCCCATAGCATCCTGGCCAAATTCCAGTGCAGGTAATTTATTTCCTGCCTTCCTAGAATTACATGCATACACATTCTCTCTCTCTCTTACTCCACCCCCACCCCCTGCAGATTCAATTTATTTTATTTAGCATGGTGTGTTTATCTGCTGCTCTCCCGTCACTAAGATACTTGGTTGCTTTGTAATCATTTAAAAATCTGCAGGCTGGAATCAGCCTATTCTGCTTGCTCATGCAGCTGGGAGGCGACAGCCTCCTAAAACGTTAAAGGGTGATGTGAAAAATAGTTTATCCTGTTGGTGAGTTATTGGGGCTTGACAGTAGACAGCACATCTGAATCGGCTGGTGCCCCTCCCCCAAAAAACCCCGGTACTGAAAGATATGCACAGTAATCGGAAGAGAAATGGTGAATGGTAAATCCACCCTCTGTTTACTATTATAGTAAAGGCTGAAAGAATGAAGCGATTAATGGATATGATAAATGAGCTGATTCATTAAACTCAGATTTAAAATGTGGGGTTTTTATTGGAGCGTGCAGCACACTCGATTTGGTGCTCAGTGCTGATGACAGCACTGTTGAAAGCATTGCATGTCTCAGGATTTCAGTAGGGCGTTTATTTCCCGAAGGGAAAACGATGCAATGTTATTGGTTAGTCCGCAGAATTGTTCGCCTTCATTTCAATATCCACAAAACAGCACACTTCTTTGAGTATGTTAATATTTATTTCAGTCAGTTGATTAGCTAGCCTAGTAATAGGTGGAGAGCCCTAGCCCTATCCAGAGAGACCACACACAATGCTTCATGCACCAAGGGATGGGGGCAGATGGCAGGACTGCAACAAAGGAGTGAGCTAAGTGTGACAAGGGAGGCGGGTTTAAAAGCCTTTAAAAGCAGGGGTGGGAATGCTGATGATGGACTCCAGTACCATCAGCCCCAGCCAGTGTGACCAGTGGGCAGGAATAATGGGAGTTATAGTGCAACACCACCGGGAGGGGTCACAGGTTCTCTAGCCTTTCATTAGATACCAGGGAAACACCTGTCTTTGTAATAGGTAAGTGAGCAGGGAAGTTTATAGATCTAGGGACTAATCATAAAAAGATGAATTTTACACACCCAGACGATCTGTGTCAGCAGAGGTCCAGTGTTATCCCCAAGAGTGTTGCTTTATTTTTATTATTGCTAATGAATAGAATTGTTGCCTTTTCCGTCCTCTAGAGGACAGAAAGGGACATGGCATCAGAAGCCCATCATGTGTAACCAAGGCAAACGGCGAAGGAGCTTGCTTTTATATGCATCTAGTATCTAATGCTCTTGTGGGAGCTTAGGGTCTTAATATGTAACATTATGCATTTATATTATGTGAGAATAGAATATAAGGTTTCCCTTCAGTGTGAAAGAATGGGGTTTAATTGTCCTCTTTACCACAGGGTCATTATTTGACTTTGGGACTTTGCTTCCAGTTCTCTGATTCAGTTCCCTATCTGCAGAACTTTCATAAAAATCATTTTGTGGGGAAATGGGGATAGTTGCTCAATAACCTTATTTCCTCCACTCTCTTTCTCCAGGGGGCTTTGCCACCTTCTCATCTTGCTTCCCAGGACTCTGCGAAGGAAAACCTACTGCTATCCTGCCAATGAGCATCTCCCAGCCATGCATGCCAGTGGCCAATGTTGGCCCAACTCGCATCTTGCCTCATCTCTACCTAGGCTCCCAGAAAGATGTCTTAAATAAGGTACATCATGTAAAGAAGAAGAAGAAGTGGGGAGGGGAGGGAGGGGTAGCTTGCCTTAAAGAAACCCTTCCCCTTAAGACTTGGGAGAGCAGGTGGGTCACCTGTGTGGGAAACTGTATCTCATGGGTAGGCAAGCTAAGGCCTGGGGGCTGGATCTGGCCCAATCGCCTTCTCAATCCAGCCTGTGGATGGTCCGAGAATCAGTGTGTTTTTACATGAGTAGAATGTGTCCTTTTATTTAAAATGCATCTTTGGGTTATTTGTGGGGCCTGCCTGGTGTTTTTACATGAGTAGAATGTGTGCTGTTATTTAAATCGCATCTCTGGGTTATTTGTGGGGCATAGGAATTCGTTCATTTCCCCCCAAAAATATAGTTCGGCCCCCCACAAGGTCTGAGGGACAGTGGACCGGCCCCCCACTGAAAAAGTTTGCTGACCCCTGCTGTATATTGTCTGATCAGGACAGGGGTGGGCCATTTTTGAATTGTGCAGCAAAACAGAGCTATAGACTGAGCTCCCTTTTGAAGTGCTAAGGACATTAGCAGCAGGAGCATCAAAACTGCAACATTGACCCTGAGAGATCTTTATGACAGGGGAGCCAGCTGTTTCTTACCAGATCCCAGTGCCAGCCAAGCTAAAGAATAACACTGACCTCAACTCTTCCATGTCCAGCCTCAGAGCCAGAGGATGAGGTATTAAGCTTGGCATTCAACAGTGACTGATGGTGAGGTGAGGGCAAGGGAGAGTGTAGGGAACGGCAGCCCACATCTGCAAGCAAAGAACCCTTTGAGCAGGCCCCAAAATGGACAAAGATCTGCTTTGGGAATTGGAGAGGGGAGGGAACAGGCAGCATCCTTTCAAAGGACACCAGAATGCTTGGGCTATGATATCACATCGGGGAAGAGAATTTCATTGAAAGAAAAAATAATACTAGTTAGAAGAAGAAAGAAGCCGCAGTTGTTGTGAACATACCAGTGGGCACAAATCCTGGGCAGGAGGGAGCCAGTTGGGCATTCCTGCCTTGGGGGGAGGGTTAGGTAGAAGCGCCTGAACTAGAAACACTGAGAGGGGAAGGGGGAACATTTTACACAGGGACTAGAAGGAAATGGGGGAGAAAAATGCCAGGAATGTGAGCTTGGGAGCTCGGCTGGCTCCTAGGGACCGAGGTGAGAGTTATTACACAGAGACTACTTGGAAAATGGAGCCACAGAACTTGGGGGGGGGGGAGCATAGCATTGGGCATCAGTGGCTGAAAACAGGAGGAATGGAATATGAGCTGGAACCCCAAAGAACTTTGCTCTGGATATTTTCGGTAAAACTCTGCTTTTAGACGTGAGTCTTGGCTTCCCTACAGAAGTCCTGCTTTTTTCATTGTGGCAGCAGCCAGTGGTTTTTACTGAATCTTCATTGACCTCAGGCAACAGTGCCCAGCTGGCGGCCCAAACAGCCTCCCCCCCTCTGTGATAGCACAGCCATACATTGCAGGCTGGGCAGCCTAGTACCCAATGGAGGAGAAAGAAGAGGAGGCAAAGACATCCTCAGGGCCTCTGGAAGAGTGGGTGGAAACATCCTGCACTGGACTGCCAAACATCCATTGATTCTCTCTTTCTTTCTCACTCTCTCTCAGGACCTGATGACCCAGAATGGGATAAGCTATGTCCTCAACGCCAGCAACTCTTGTCCCAAGCCAGATTTCATATGTGACAGTCACTTCATGCGCATTCCAGTCAATGACAATTACTGTGAGAAGCTTCTGCCCTGGCTGGACAAGTCCATTGAATTCATTGGTAAGACTGTGGACCAGCCACATTTGAGGCAGTTCATTACTTCTTCTGGGCTGTGACCTTGGTTGCTGCAAAAGGCATCTGGGCAATAGTGGCTGCGTGGTTCATTTTCCCCCATCCACATGCACAGACTTCTGGTTTTTGTTTTTTGTTTAACTCTGATGTGTTCAAAACACTCAGTCTGCCCTTGGGAGGCACACTTTCTCCCTTTGTACAAAACAACCATCCTGTCCCCAGACAGCAAAGCTACCAAGACCGTTGTAAACCCATAGCATCACCTGAGGTATAGCTAACACCACTTGGGAGAACAGTTGCTGCTACAGAAAGAAATGCCTCTTGCTCTATCAAGGTGCTTTTCTTTATCAACAACAACTATGCTCTTTCTGGTTCCAAAGATGATTGATTAAATGAGACTGGGAGTTCAAATAGTAATTTTCTTCCTAGCAAATAGAGAGGGTGGGGAAAATAAAAAAAAAGTCTCTTTAAAGCATATACTAGTGAATGGTTTGTTTTTTTAAAGAATAATAATCCGGTGCTTTATTAGCAACCCATTGCAGGCCAGGAAGTCCCTCCACTATTTCTCATCAGATAAAACAGCAACATTATTGACAAGCCAAGAAGCCAAATAAACAAGTCATGGTTTCTAGCTTCCACTTCTTGGTTGCACATATTTGACTTACTTAAACCATTTAGATTTGTGTTTTTCCTCTTTATTTATTACTCTTCCAATTTTGTTAAAAAGCGTCTTCCTTCAGAGTCATTTCCAGAGAGGTAGTAGCTGTGTTAGCACGCAGCAGGGAAAACAACCAAGACACTTGTGGCGCCTTAAAAGACTGACAGATTTATTACGTTCAAGCTTTCGTGAAGGGGCTTCTGGTCCACAAAAGCTTATGCTGCCATAAACCTTTGAGCCTTTGAGGCACTGCAAGTCTCTTTGTTGTTCAGAACAACGTAGATAGTGGAGTCCCAGAATATCGACCTGAAGGCTGTTTTCTTCTGCTGCAGACAAGGCCAAGGTGTCCAGCTGCCAGGTGATCGTTCACTGCTTGGCAGGGATCTCCCGATCGGCCACCATTGCCATTGCATACATCATGAAGACCATGGGGATGTCTTCAGATGATGCCTACAGGTAGGTTGCTTTCTGAAAGAGAGGGCACTAATGTTTTTCTTTGCATTTGACTTTGGGGTGTTTTTGTTTTTTGTTTAAAGTGGTGCCGTTTATCATGAAGCATACTTTCCATGTGTCTTACTCAAGAGTACTGGCTAATAAGCATGAAAGAACATAGTGCCATAAACATTATAGGGTTGATTCCAATCATAGTCCTACCAGGTGTAAACCCATGGAAATCAATGGACGTGACTATCTCAGGTCCATTAACTTCAGTAGGTCTAGTCTGATAATACCTTAGTTAGATACCTCCCATAATCTACCTGTGCTGTGTTTTCAGTTACTCGTTTGCCAGTTTCTTCAGTGTAAGCTTACCAGGCTGGTTTGCATGACTGTCAGGCTTGTAGTTGCCACTTGAATCTCATCTGCAGGTTGGCTCCCAGCCTGTTGCCAGCTGGTCCCCATGCATGTGCCAGTAGGCTCGCAGCGATGTAAATGTTTAGCTCTTAGTGGCAACATGCAAAAAAAGAAGAAAAAGAAAGAAAAGAAGCACCTTGGTGTGACATGTGGCAGTGGCAGTATGGGGACAAGGAGCCAACATCCACAGACAGATCCCATGGCTACTGCCGTGAGTCTGAAGGTTGTCCGAAATGACCATTGCATAAACAAGGAGCAATCTTTAAAGCATCACATTACACCCCTACTCCTTGATGTCCCAGGGTGTGTGGGGGAAACAGATCCAGCCGATTTCCAGTGCTGCATTGAATCATACAATTCTTGCAGCATCCCACGCCCAAATCCTTAGAAGTAAGAAAGGGCCTGATAACAACTGCAGCTGTCTCGTTTGCCCCAACAGGTTTGTAAAAGACCGGCGTCCCTCCATCTCGCCCAACTTCAACTTCCTGGGTCAGCTCCTAGAGTATGAGAGAAGCCTGAAGCGGCTCAAGGCTCTGAAGGCCCAAGGGGAGAAGAGCGAAGGGGAAACCCAGCAAGACCAGCCAGAAGCCCCTGAAGGCTGCAGGCACCAGATTCTGTCTACCTCAGAAAAGGCTGAGGAGCTATTCAGAAGCACAACCTCGGAGACCTCCTCGCTTGACTCCGAGAAGCCAGCGGGAGTCTCCAAGGTTGTCTCGCCTACAGCACTGCAACAAGGGCTCCGTGGCCTCCACTTGTCTTCGGAGCGCATCCAAGACACCAACCGGCTGAAGCGTTCCTTCTCCCTGGACATCAAGTCAGCCTACACCCCTAGCCGGAGGCAGCAGGACCCCCCAGGTCCAACAGAGGCAGGAGAAACCCCCAAGCTGTGCAAGCTGGACAGCCCATCAGGTCCCAACGGCACATGCCAGTTCTCCCCTGTCCCAGACAGCCCGGACTGGCCCAGCGGGTCCGACTTCCTCCTCGAGGCCAAAGTACGGCAGAGACGGAAGCACAGGCACCAAGCCGGCTCCCCTGCCCACGGGCTGAGCCTTAACTTCAGTGGGGTGTGCGCCATGCACAAGAGCGCCAGCGTGGAGGACAGCCTCAAGCAGACGCTTCGGGCGGGCCTCCCCGGTGTGGGGCAGCAGCCGACCGCCACCCCGGCCCCCACCAGCACTTGGGGGGTGCACTTGGAGTCCCCCGGCACCCCTTCCTCTGAGAACCCCTGGTACTTCAGCACAGACTCGGCAGCGGGCGGCAAAGGCAGCGGGAGCGGGGCTCTGTTTGCCGGCGCCGCCACCTACTCCTCGTTCAGCTGCAGCACAATCCAGGCAAGCTGCGAGATCAGGCTGAGGGACAAGCAGCGGGGCGAGCCGCGGGACGTGCGGCACAGCTGGCACGAGGACACCGCGGCCGAGAAGCAGTTCAAGCGCAGGAGCTGCCAGATGGAGTTCGAGGAGACCCTGTCGGAGAGCAGGTCTCGGGAAGACCTGGGAAAAATCAGCAAACAGTCTAGCTTTTCGGGCAGCATGGAAATCATTGAGGTGTCCTGACACTCACCTTGTGAGATCTGAGAGCAAGTTGCGTGTGCACCAGTGGGTGGGTGGGGAGGGGGAAGGCTGGCGAGATATTTAACTAGGGAGAGGGAAGGGGGAGGGGAGGGGATTATTTATATGCCTGTGTGCGTTTCCAAAGGGCACACATGCTGAAGCAAAGGCAAAGCTAAACGAATCCAAAGTCAAGAAACATAACGGTGCATGCTTGGTGCCCTCCCCTTTATTTTCCTACCTCCACCACCAAGGCAAAACCACACCGCATTCCCTTTTTTGGCTGGTGGAGGGTGTATTAACTCTTTAAAGCCTGGATTCCTTCCTTTCGCATGTAGTGCTCTCTCTGCCCGCCCGCCCCCACAAAAAAGGCAGGGGGAAGGGGAGAGCTGAGGTGTAACTTCAAAGGTGGGGTGAAAGAGAAACAGGGGAGATATTAACATTCTAAAGACTTCCACTGATGTAAAAGCTTTTTTTTTTCCTTGAAAGAAGATTATTGTTGTTTGATCTGCAGGTTTGCAGTGGGGGAAGTCTAAAGGGAAGCAGGTTCTTTTCTTGCGAGAGTACATTAGCAACTGTTGATATTACCCACCCGCTCCCATTACAGGAGGAGAGCTTCCCTCCTGTTCCATCAGGGTTGGACATTATCTGTGGGTGGCTCCTTCCCAGATTGGGCTACAGAAACCTGGAGGGGCTAAATTTCAGTAGCTTCCCTAGGTGTGTGTCCCCCTTCCCATACTGAGCATGCTCCTCTTGTGTTTCTCTGGCTAGAATTCTTAAATGCTGCACTGCGGCAGCCCTATACATATATAAATATATATTATATATAATATAAGAGAGAGAGAGAGAAACACAAAGAAAAAAGTTTAAATGGTTTTACTACAGTTTTTATTGAGACAAATAATATTTCAACTTTTCTTTTTAATTTATTTGAAGCTGTTCATTCTGGCAATGATTTTCAGACAATGTAGGGGCGGTACTTGTCAGCTCTGTTTTTACTGTGTATGGTATTTAAATCTGAAACACGAGTTTCAAAGCAATATCCTAGGCCTGCGGCTCCTTCTGTAACTCACGTCAGTGACGCAGACACCCCAAAAAGTGGGATGAGAAATCTGTGTGTGTGAGAGAGAGAGAGAGTGTGTGTGTGTGTGAGAGAGAGAGAGAGAGAGAGAGAGAATGCATGTGCGTGCACTTTTATTTAAAAAGAAAAGTGAGAAAATGTTCAACACAAACTGAGCCAGGAATCCTTCTTAATGCTTCTTTACTTCCTACCCCTGTCGCATCTGCAATCAAAGCCATAAAACCTTTCTCTTCTTGGGTCTGGGTGGAGTATCACGGGGTTCCTTTATAAGAGAAGGAGAGTCCTATTTTAAAGTCAGGAAGGGGCATCAAGAGAGCTTGATGAGTATTGGGTTTTCTTTTTAATTTTCTCTCTAGAGGAAATGTATTGGACCGGCGGGTTAAATTCCCAGAGGATGAGTCCCTTTCCAGCAGCCCAGGATATCTCCCAGATGAATGATGGTGACAATAGGCCATTCCCTGCCCTTCCAAAAGGGGGTGGATTATGGCGAATGGCCATTCAGATGCTGCTTTTTTCAAACAGTGTTCAACCCAGTCTCCATCAGGTTTTGTGGAAGGGGTTAGGGAGATGCTTGATGCCTAAAACCTTGGCAAAGGGTGGCTTTAGCCAGCTGAATGCATTCTGTTATTGTGGTACTAGAGGGGGAAAAATCATTGAAGGTTCTTAGGGATCCATCCCACTGTAAGGAAGTGTCCACTTACTGCTGCAAGCAGGAATTTCTTCCCAGCTTCAGTTCTCCATCATAAATTTGTGCCTACTCTGAAGTACGTGTTCACTTTCTATCAGGGAGCTGCTGCCATACAGAGACTTCATAACGATGCAATTCAGCCAATCAGAAAACAGTCCAAAGACAAATATATAAACAAGTAAAAGACCAAACTGAACAGCCTTTTGAGAAAGGAAGTTCTAGGAAAGATAGAAAGTATTTCAGCTGTAGTGCAAAGGACCCAAAGGATCCATTCCCAGCTCTCCCACCTTCAGCAGTCATCTTCCAACTGATGTGTTCACAAGGAGATTAGCTTGGCTATAGATCCTATTTGTCTTATCATTGAGAAATCGTGTTCATTGGCTGTGTTATTACCCACAAAAGAAACCTAGTCCTGAGATCCCCACCGGCATACTTCGTGGGGGAATGGTTGGCTGTAAGAAATCCTCCTGCACAGGATTTCTTTTCCTTTTTTCGGAGATAGGGAAGAAAGAGTCTCCCGACACTTTTCTAAAGATGTACACCAAAAGACAGAGAAGAGGACAGGGTTAACCCAGGGTATTTTGACCCTTGAAATGGATAATCCATATCTTCCCACCTCATCCCAGTGGTAAAAAGTATAAGAATAAAGTACACCACTTATGTCACTCTTTAATGGCAGAAATCTGCTGCCTGAAGTGGCTGCTTCGTTCCGTTTCATAGTGGGGCTGGCCCTGGATGAGGATGAGCTGCAGTCTGTTCCCCCTAGCTGAACTAAGGCAGCCTTGCCCACTCTAGGTCTTGTTGGGATGATGAGAGATGTAATCCAACAACACCTGGGTCCAGGGGAAGGCTGAACCTAAGAGCAGGTTGAAACATGGTGGTCTTTTTTTGTGTGTAGTTGCTAGGAAGGTTGCTGTGCAGTGAAGGCTCTCTACAGAGGTGGTAACATTTGTAAATCACCAACTGTGCAGATGGGCCCAATCGCATGGAGAGCCGAACCCCAGCAAATCACGTTCATGGTTGCCATCCGTCCATGTGATTGGACTGATCTATGTAGTATGTAGCTGTGAAATATTACCATTCTGACACGACGCTGCTGCACAAAGTATTTTTTGGAGGCCACGTTGTTCACATTGGTCTCTTGTTCTGCTCCAAGTGATGGCCTCAGCAGTATGTTCGCTCCAACCCACAAGGCAAAGGTCCAGGTTCCAGCAGGTACTAACCTGGCAAGGCAAAGTCTAGGTTCTGGCAAGGCGAGAGCTCCTTGGACAGCAGGCTGGAGACTCAGAGCAGAGCTCAGATGTTGTCTCGGCACTATTCAGCCTCATGCTGAACCTTATGTAGGAGCTGCAGCTCTGTGTAACCAACTCTCCTTTGGGTGAGAGGATTCTCCTTTAAAGGGGCCCTTCCTGCTTTGACAGGCAATGGATCCAATGGAGTTAGGGAGACTCTAGTTGCATGAGGGCTTCTAGAGTCCTTGGAGTCAGAGGAGGGCACTGTGACCATCTTGGACCAAAAAGGTGCTGGAACAACGGGCTTCTGCTGTGCCATTGTTTCTGGTTAGTATGGACATTTGCAGCTGACCAAGGGTCGATCCCTCTCACATTCTGAATATTTGGCCTCATCCCCCAAAGTTTGGGAGTCTGACCCTGGGGGCTTGAGCAGGAGAATGAGTTCGCAAGTCAGTAGAGTGTTGATAATTCAGCTAATAGGGCAAAAGTTCCCAGTCACAAAACACAAACGTGGGAGGGAAGAACATTTTCGCTCTTTGGCCACACTGGTCTTCTTCCCTTTTGAGGAGTAGCAACACATTCCCTCAACAGCTCCTGGCAGAGGCACTGCAATGCTGCTTCCTTCTTTTGGAATACAGGCCTAGAGCCATCTCTCTTAAAGCCGAAAGCACATTTTTCTCTTTGTGTAACTGATTTTGCATTTGCTCCTTTCTTATCACATGCTGGTCTTTTGAGCCAATACCTCAGGGTTGTTTGTGTAGCTTTTAAATGAGAAAAAAAAATTATTTGAGATAAAAGCAACTTCATTTCTTTTCCCATTTTCTTTCTTGTTGAAATGTGATTTTTTTACAAAAATAAAAAATCCTACACAAGACAAAAAATAAATAAAAATCTCAGGTTCAGAGCTTACCAACACAAACCACAGGGAGCAGCAATATGATGTTTTTGCATCAGATTGTCTGTTTCCTGACTGTAACAATTGCTGTCTGTACTCTACCAAGACATAAGGTAGAGACCTCATGATACTTATTTTACCAAAATATTTTCATATTAGATGCTGCAAGCTCAGAAGTGATCCCACTGACCTGCATAGTATTTTGAAAGTAGCATGACAGAGTAGTGGGGGCTGGGGGAAGTGGAATAGGATAAACATGGGTTACCTAGGTTGAGAGTTTCTTTTCGATCCCTCTTCACATCTTCAACCATAACTTAATGTATCTGGGTGCTTAATATATATTGATGCTTTCAGATGCTTCAGAATCCTCATTTCCTCCAGTAGATTGCATCCAAAGAGTGGATTAACCCTTTAGCAGCATGAAACTCCATGTTTTAAACCAGTGTTTCTCAAACTTTGGTCCCCAGCTGTTGTTGGACTACAACTCCCATCATCCCTGACCGCTGGTCCTGCTAGCTAGGGATGATGGGGACCCAAGTTTGAGAAACACTTAATCCTGTGCCTCTTTTCCTGTGGGACCAACAGGAGAATAGCATTCAGACATGCAGGTGATCAGAACAGATATTGCTGCAGAGCAGAACAGTTCATAATGGAGCACTGCTTTCATAAATGGTATGCAGTAGACATGAAGGATGAAATTTATAAGGCTGTTAAGCAATCCAGTCTTCAGCAGTAACTCCCCAGCATCTCAGCTTTTCACAACTAAATTGCTGTCCTAGGTTGGTTGTTGTTTTTGCAAAAAGTCCACAAGGAATTAAAAACAGTCACTTGGAAAGTTCACAGATCATTGGCACTGCAGTGTTCAGCATGTCCCTTGGGAATTTTTACAGGGATGACCTGGAAAACCCTATCTCTTTTCAATGTCGGCTGCCATCTTTGCCGTGACAAAATGTGCTACTTGCACTCTGTGAATACCAAGGGCCCTTGAGATCTGTTCTGTGTTACAAGTGTAGCAGTGTTCGATGCAGAAAATACCACAAGGACAAATTCGTGATGGCTACTGAACACTTGAAATTTATACAAAAGTGCTGCAGTCCATTCTGTCAGACGAAAACTTTCTCAATTCACAATCTGATTTCAGCCAGTGCTGCAAAGTCAATCCTTACAGTATATTTTAGCAACTAATAGCATCAGTGGGGAAGGACAAAAATGAATGGTTGCTTGCTCTGAAGAGCTGCCACCTGCTGTCATTTCAGAGCAATCACTCCTCCAGAATGAAAAGGTGGGGAAGAATATGTGGGTATTCAGGCTAGCATTCCCAGCAAGCTGCAAAATTGCCAACAATTGCCTTCAGCAGGGAAAAAAATGGGCCAATCTGAGTGGGGGGGGGGGGGAGGAATTTCTAGGACAATTGTTGGAGACTGAGGTGAAAATCTAGGGATTTTCTCAAATGAAGAGAATATCAAGAAAAGAAGAGCAATTTAAAATAGTGAAAGACACAGTCTTAATCTTCACCCTTCTTATGAAAATCAAATTTGCATTTTCTATTTCCTTTCTAACCTTGTTAGAAGCCATATTTGGGCTATTTTCCATAGCCCTATGTGGAATGTATCTTGCAGGAAATAATCTACCATTGCCTTCTATTGAAAACATCAGAAAAAATGCCATTATGCTTGTCTTAGTTGAACTCAAAAGGCATCTTTGTCTTGTCTTTATTGGGATCAGGTTAAGCCCACAGGTGACCTAGAACAGCTTTTCCTAAAAATATTATTAGCTGTTTAACTAAGGGTTGCCATATTTCAAAAAATGAAAATCCAGCCACAAAAGTTATTGAGCTTCTTTTGCTAAATTTCAAGCTTTTTCAAAGGAAATTCGCCAAAATCTACATGTCCAACATGGGTTGCCATACGGCCGGCCAAATCCCAGCTATGTCTGGAAAATTCTGGACATATGGCAACCCTAGTTGAACTGGCCAGTTCTTGTCAACCAGGAAATTGCTCCAGGGGACCTCCGACTCCAATTCTAATCTGATGTTCATGCTTCAACTACACAGTTATCTGCCACAGAATTATCGCCAACTCAGTAGCAGCATGCAGGAGAACCAAAGCCCCCATGTGAGAACTCAGAAGTAGGAATCTAGGGACTGCAAATAGGTTCTGCTCACGGACAATCAGAATTATATGAAAAGATTTGATTTGCTGTGAGACAAGTGTCTTCTGGGATGCAAATAAGGTCTTTAAGCTTTATTGAAAAGGTAAGGCAAAAAAAAAAACCCCACTACAAAACAACCACCCTCAGACACAACAACCTGGCCTTGCGTACGATGCCAATGAAATATCCCAGGAACTTTTTAAAAAATTCCTCATAAATCCAAGCTCTAGTGTTTGTGGGACAATGCAGGCTCTTTGAGTACGTAATGCAAATCTTGAAGTCCAGCACCAACCTTACCCTGAGGCAGTTTGCTGGAGAAGATTCTGCTGGAGAAGTATCATTTTCCTGCCTCTTAACACTCAAGCTTAAAAAACAAAAAGTGGTGGAGATGGGCTGTTTTGACCTCACTTGAGGTGCAAAACACTAAGGCTGGCACCACCCAGGTCTATGGTGAATTTCTGGCTTGCAGCACCTTCTCTTTGCAACAGCAACAAAAATAGGTTGAGTTTCCCTCCCACTTTGTAAGTCTGTGCTATGTTTCTTTGACCCTCCACCTCTTTTCTCATCTGCGCTCTCTGGTTTTATTTATTTTTCCTTTTCCCTGTGTTTCTTCCTGTAACCATATGCTCTTGTTCTGTCTCCTCTCCTGGATGCCATCCCTTTAAAAGGAGGTATTTTCTGCCTTCCTCCTGATCCTAATGCTAATGATAATAAGCTATCAATGTTGTAATTGCAATGTATGAATTATAGATTTAAGTATTTATTATTATTATTATTATTATTATTATTATTATTATTATGTAATTTTACTTCTATGTACGTTGATCTTTGTTTCTCTGTTGTGAGTATATGCAGAACTTTTCCATCTCCAACTGCCCTTTTGCCTTCCCTGACTCCTTGTAGGTAGTGGCTGGTCAGTACTATGGCACGTCAGGTCGTTAGATGTCATGAGGAGGAACAGATCAGTTCTTGTGGAGTTTGGAAAGGTGTGGAGTAGCTATCTCTATTCCACAGAAGTTTCTAGGGAGCAACAGAAGAGTTCCAAAATGATTTCAAATTATTAAGTAGTACTTTAGAAGATACAGAATCAACATATTCCACATTTTCTTCATCCTAGAGCAGTGATGGCCAAACTTGGCCCTCCAGCTGCTTTGGGACTACAACTCCCATCATCCCTAGCTAACAGGACCAGTGGTAAGGGATGACGGGAATTGTAGTCCCAAAACAGCTGGCGGGCCAAGTTTGGCCATCACTGTCCTAGAGCTTGTCTGCACTGCAAAAAATGGTTCAGTGCAATGTCTTCCCAAACCCTAACTCCCCCCCCGCCCCACAAGTAGCCCTAAGAATTATAGGGCAATGACCACATTTCAGTAGTCCAGATTTCTCCCTAGAGATATAAAAAACAAACAAACCTGCATCTGTGCCCGATGATGAAGCGTTTAGTTTCCAAATCCTATCATAAAACGGCACTGTGCTCTAGAATTTTCAGCCACCTCAAGAATTGGGATTACGTTGGTCCAAACAGACCGGAAGAGATTTAAATGCTTATGATTTACTTAGAAGTAAGGACATTTCCACACAGGAATCTTAAAGGAGTTCTTGCTTCAGTTGCGTTGTTACGCTAATGCAAAATTCTCCCTCTTCCACATTAATAGTGATCAGAGATTCACATCACTAGTGAGAAAGTTCAAAGGTGAATTAAGATTAAATTATTACAGGAATTATTGTCCTAGTAAAACTAAAACCACAATATAATTTATACAAAGTTCCAGGTCATGAACAAATCTCCAAAACACCCCCTGATAAATGTGCTGAGGCCTGTTCCTGTATGAGAAAGAGCTGTCCATGTTCCGTCACAAATTTCTCAAGGAATTTAGGATGACAGAAACTATCAGGCACAACCCCTGTGTGTTTAGGTATCATCTGGTGACTCATGTCTCAACATTCCTATATTGCTAAACACATTTTCCTTCCCAGCATTGGAAAGAAATGTCAGTATTACTGAAAACTCCAGTGAACAAAAAGACTTATTTGTCTCCTGCAAAAACACCTCTGTGCCACAGTACTTTCCTAGCCAACCTTGGTAGGAATCAGTTTAAGGTGAGATTATTAAGAATAGCCATCAAACAGACTATATTTGCAATGCAAAAGACACAAAAGGTGGAGGAATAGAGGCACAGAATGAGGTCTTTCCATTGCAGTATCTTACATTTATTTATTGTTGCTCAGAATTCTTTTGGAAGGAGTAGAGAAACTGAGTTACCTATATTCTCAGGAGGCATACCTAGAATCCCTTTTTGGTCTCTTGTCTTCAGAGCCATGTTTTTATCCCAGGTCTCCTGTCTTGCAAACATTCACAGACAAAGATTGATTAGGGGCGAGTTGTTGGAACCCCCTAATCCAGGCGCAGAACGGAAGGTCTTAGTCTGTGGGGAAATCCTCATACACAAGAAGTGAATAGGTCTCAAACTGAGCAGTTCAGTATCAAAGGTTGCCCTTGGAAGGCTGGGGAATGAGTTTTGAAGTCCCTGTGCTTTCTAGGATTGAATTCCGAGTACTGTCCCGGGTGGGCTACAGGTTGGGTGGGATGGGGTGGGGAATAGACTTCTTGCATCTAGTCTGTGAGTTCGTTCCCTCTCTCATGAGTCATGATAACCAAAATGCATCCCCTTCTGCCTGCTAAAGGAATGCTGACATTGGATGTTGCCTGGCAGGACTAAGTGGTGCGCTCTGCCCCGGCTTTGACTTTATTTATTTATTACTGGAGGCTGTAAACAGCAGTGCTTTTTTACCCTCTCTTTCTTTTCCTTTCTTTTGTATTTGGGAACAATGTGTTGTAATAAATTCCTAATAGATGTTTTAACAGCCAGTGTCAGTTTTGTTCTTTAATGATGTGTGTGTGTGTGTGTGGAGTGACAAGGGAGGAAGAAAAGGGGGGGTAATGAGAGCATTCATAGAGGATCACAATAAAGCTGATGGGAGCAACGGTCAGGTCAGCTAAAACAACAGTATTTTACTGTTCCAACCAAGAAAGCCCACATTCTGCCATAGAACCAGTGCTGGGATGTGAAGAGGGGCAGCCTTCCCCAACCTGATGTCGTCCAGATATTTTGGATAGCTCCATTGGTAGAATATGAGACACTCAGTCTTGGGGTCTTATGGACTGCAGGGGGTTGGACTAGATGATCCTCGTGGTCTCTTCCAAGTCTACAATTCTGTTATTCTGCATCTCCCATCAGCCCCACCCGGTTGGTGAAGGCTGGAATAGGGATGCCAGAGAAATGAAATCTCTGAAGATTCCTATATGACACTGTTTTAGAAATTACCTATAATTCCCAGGCAACCCATTTAAGAGGTAGACATACAGGAAGACTCGGGAAATCACCTCAAGACACTTTATTTCTGATCTGAAAGGCTCCCAGCAGACACACAAATGAAGGCCAGGACACACTTACTGGTAATGGTCAGGCTGGAAGCCCCTAGCAAAAATTAAGCAATGGTCTTTATAGGGTAGGGTAGGATAAGTTATGTTTAGGCTACCACAGTTTGTCCAGACTGAGCATGCCCATTCCAGAACCTTCTAACTAGCTCAAATACTGACCAATCATAAAACCTCGCCCCATATATCAGAACCAATTACAGAACATCAACCCACTTAACATAGCACCACACCTAGAATGTTCCCCCCAACTCCACTTCCCATCCAAGTTCACACAAAGTTTACCTCAAAAGAGACTTGTCTTAACAGTAGAAAAAGCCATTTCCCCACCCCACCCCCATACACAAAACCAGATTGGCACCTCCCAGACTTCTCTGAATTTCGTGACAGTTTGCCACCATTTCAGTGGCAACAACCTGCTGCATAATGGTGGGATGGAAGTTGCCCCGCAGGCTGAAGGTTTTGTACCTGCGCAGCTGGGGATGGTTACAAACATGTAGGAAGAAAGCATGATGAATTCTATATTGGTATGGTACACTGAGCTATAGGCAGGTACAAGTTAGGGAACGCATTGAAGCTTAGAAGAGGCAATAGGTTCTTAGAACTATCCAGATAAATATTTAAAGTGCTATATTTAAAAAGAAACCCATGTCCACAAACAAAAACGGGTAAGATTGAAAACAAAAGAATACAAATGCACAATGGCTTAAATGCTAACTAGAGATAACTGGTGAATAAGGAGGCATGGACCAATTATTTATTTATTAGCTATAAATATTTATGCCCCACCTTTCCATGAATCATGCCCAAGGCAGCCAAAAGCAGCAGTAGATACAAAAAATCAATAAAACAATTATGGTTGTATCAGGACGGGATGATGGAGTTAACCAGAAGGCATTACTCACTTTTAAGTGTGTGAGAGATCCACATAAAAACACCCAGACAGAAGTTCCCTTAATTCGAATAAATTTAAAGAAGCTGACACAAAATTACAGTGAAAAAATAGTTTTGAGACCTGACATTCACCATATGTTTGGTCCCAATATTCGGAAAGGTTTCCATATCCACCTAAAATAAGTTTGTTTTAGTGGCTCTAAAACAGAGGTGGCTGTCCTGTGGCTGTCAGGTTTTATTGGCTTCCATCAGCCTCAGTCATGTGTATTGAGAAAATTAAATTGATTTTATCTATATAAGCATACAAAGAAAATAAAATTGGTTCCAGAGACTAATAGACACAGCAAAAATCACTCAGGAATTACTTTCCACAGAGCACGTTTTTTTGTTACCATAAGCCTAACTTTGCTTTACTGTAATTACCACAAGGTCTAAGCACTGAAGATTCAGACTGTCCTTTAACTCCCTTAAAATCTGAACTGGCACAAAATGCAGAATGTATACATTGGATAATAATCCCAAAGTGTCTCAAAAATATCCTATTGCAATCCACAGTGGCACTGAGTTATCCCCCAGTCACCATGATAAGATGCCATTAATAAGCCTTCTTCCCTATTGCATTGTGGGCTAGTCTCAGGAGAGACAAAGGATAAGAGTTCCTGTAGACTAAAAAAATCAAGAAATGGACTCCGTTAGTCTACACACCTTCTGTTAAACCTCTGCAGTCAAACCAACTGCAGATGTCTTGGCAGCTGCCCTTCCTCTAGGTTCAACCTGGGTGGTCAAGAAGGGGAATCTTGTTCCATAGCCAGTTTGTGTCTGTCACATGGCCCAGGCTTTTTCATCACTTTGGACAAATGATTGCACTTGTGCTAGCTCCAGTCCAACACTACTATCATGATACCCATCTCCGGTACAACAGCAGGGGCCAAGGAATAGCACAGATTGAGAGGGGGAACTGAACTTGTTCTCTTTGCAAAAGGGCCTGAGGAGCTTTGCACTTCATCAATGGACACCAGGAGCACACAAATGTCACAGAGCTAAGAAGGGAAATTGGCAGAAAGTTCATGAAAGAACAGCACATTGCTATGGGCAGGGTGTACGCCATTTCTGGTGTATTGCACTTTTGTGGCAAGAGGATTGCAAGACTCAGTAAGTGTTCCCCAGCTGCAATGGTAGAGCAAGAAGGAAGACATTTCTTCAAAGTCTGTGTAAATATCATCTATAGATGATATAAAATGAAAACTGCAGAATGGAATTACAATCTTATATAATCCAAAACCGAGATGGAGGGAAATCAATTCGTGTGTTTCTTTTTTGGTCCGTTTAGGTTTTCTGTTGTTTGTTCTTGTTTTTGTTTTCTTTTTTTCTCTTTTTTATGTACGGTTGTTTTGTTTTTCTGTTTGCTTATGAAAATTAATAAAAAGAATTAAAAAAAAGTCTGTGTAAATAAATAAAACCAAAACACTTTGTGAAATGGCACAGGCATAGACAAAGTGTAGTCATTAGTCATGCTGTTGTGGGCAGTGTTCAATAGGTGTCCCTGACACTTGCAGAGCCATGAGCCATGTTCCACATTCCACACTGCACCCCACCCAGGGACAAATCCTGCAGTTTGAGAACACTTGGGAAATTTAACAAAATCAGAAACGGAACTGCTAGTTCTAGCAAGGACAATCAAAACTCGCTGTGGCAAATCGGCGGCTACTTTGTATTTATTCCCTTTTAAAAAAACAAATCCCAAAGACTGACCTGTGAACACATTCACATTGCTACTGTGTGTAACAAAAATCTACCCCACTGGAAAATGGATCATTGATCGTCTTCAGAAATCCCTAGACAGCTGTGCTTAAAGAATGCTGCAAGTGGATTTTCGCAGAGCAGTGACAAAGGCAGCCTCCTGTGTAGGAGATCTTCAAAAGGTTGGTAATCTTGGAATGGCTGGCTGCAATGCATCAAAGGCCTTTGATTAATGGCCTTAGATTCTGCATAAGGGGTGGGCAACTTGCCTGCCAACGTGCTGATCCCAACTCCACCTCTGGCAAGAATTGAGCTAGTGCCCTTATGCAGCTTTGAAGGGGAGCCTGGCTCAGGCAGAGATCTGGGTTGCTGCCCGAGTCTCCCCCCCCCCCCCATTAAATTATTTCCAAGCATTGCTAGTACTGCTAGTTTGTTAACCAGCTACAGTACTTGGCAAAGGAGGCCTTGCAACGCTCTCCCCTGCCTATTTATGCAGACTTTGTGACAAATATATAGCAGTGCAGAATCCAATGGCTTAACGGAGATCAATGATAATGTGCAGCTTCTGTCTAGCAGCTACCAAAGGTTCTGCAGCATAATGAAGTGGCAAGAGGTGACCAATCTAGGTCACCTATTTTATTGTCATGAACCTTTGAGCTGCATGTATTTCTAAAAGATTTGTGGACCTCCCTTTTGGAATTCAGTCCATAGCAAGAGCCTCTGAAATGTATTCAGCCTGAGCATGCTTCCTCAGGCAGAAATACCACTGAATTCATTGGGGCTTACTCCCAAGCAAAAGTGCATAGGATCACAGTCTTCATATGTTTTCCTCTCTGTTCAAAAATCCGGTTTGGTCTCTTCCTAAACCCAACTTGTATACTATATATATATGTATAGCAATTTAAGCGTCATGGTTGATTCTATAATTTATAATTAAGTTTATCCTTCCTTGACTCTGCTGGGCAATACTTCATGGGGACAAAGCAGAGTGGTGCTCAGTCTGGGCACACAGAACAGCAAGCAATCAACATGGTAAAACCATACCAACATGGTATCCACAGGGGATATGATTTCTGAAGAAGAAGAGGAGGAGAGGGAGGAGGAGGAGTTTGGATTTGATATCCCGCTTTATCACTACCCTAAGGAGTCTCAAAGCGGCTAACAATCTCCTTTCCCTTCCTCCCCAACAACAAACACTCTGTGAGGTGAGTGGGGCTGAGAGACTTCAAAGAAGTGTGACTGGCCCAAGGTCACCCAGCAGCTGCATGTGGAGGAGCGGAGACGCGAACCCGGTTCCCCAGATTACGAGACTACCGTTCTTAACCACTACACCACCCGCTCTGAATGCTCCCCCATGCAAACAGAAAGCTAGCACATCCAGGACAAAGGTTCTTGGCCAGCTCCTTCCCTGCTTTTGTTACACTTGATTAGATCAGTGTCATAACTGAATTCAGTTTTCCGCACTGCACCAAGAAGCAGGATCCACCAGAACCACAACATCAGTCTCTAGTCTCGTAATCTAATCAAGGAATACTCTGAAGCTCTAATATAGATCGTTTGACCTTTCTATAACATAATCAACTTGCAAAGCAAACCCCATGATAGCTATTGTTTTCCCACTGCATAGAAAAGTAACAATTTTTAGTAACCCCTTTATATACATTTTCAATATACTGGGAAAAGCAGCCTATGGTGAGCCATCAGGACAAGGTAGGATACGACTTCATAAATGAATGTGGGGAAAGCCTCCTTCAGGTGGCAGTGGTAGCAGCATTTATTGCATGAGAAATACTGGAACATCCTTTTTCCAGTACTCAGGCTTTTATTGACTCGGAGCGGCTGCCAAACCTATAAATAAATGTTCTCATGCTAAATATAGAAGCTACTGAATCAGGCTGCAGTCTATTTATTTAGCTTGGTGCCTCCATGAGAGGCTGCCAATATCCAATCTATCACTGCTTTATCCCCATCGTGCTGTGACCACCCATGGAGGGCAGCAGGCCAAGGCGCCGCAGTGCATCAGCGGAAGGAGGTTGCATTGCTGAACCTCTGCACATAAACTGACCCCTCAAGGTGCAATCTTCATGAGCCCTTGCCCCGCAACGAGAGGGGGGCTTTTCCATCTTGTTCAGGGCAGTAATAGGCAATCTGTGACACAGGTGCTTGCTTGTGGCATCTGCATTCCTCCAGCAGTCCTCTATAGGGCATTGAGAATTTATTTGTTTAGTTATTGGTTCAAAAAACCCCTGAGATCCTGCCCTTTGTCCTAAAACCCCAGGGTGGGTTACAGCAATGCCTGTCAACTTCTTACTAACTCTGATATAGGCAACCTAGCCTTAATTCTCCCAAATCCTGGCAGCTTCAGTTGCATATTATGGAAATTGCTCCCTAATTATGCAAATAGAGCCTATTAACTTGGAACATTTTCTATCAATTGCTTTGCGTTTGCTCCTGGCATATAAAACCACACACAGGCACACACACACACACAAACACAAACACACACACACACACACACAAATACAAATACACACAAATACACACAAATAAATATATATGAGGGGAGAGAGCCAAGGTAAGAATGTGTACCTGTTTTGCTCTGGTCATGAATGAGTGGCCTTTAAAGGAAAATTCTGCCTGCTCTTCACTCCGGTCTGATAGCACAACAAAGCATGTTGGGAGATGTATGGGCAGCAGTGGCTGGTGCCCATTGGAGCTGGTGGCACAGAAGGTAAGCAGGAAGGTGGGCAGGAAGTGGAGCTAGAGCCAGTGACAGGCAGAGCCAATGAATGCTGGTTTTGTCCCCATCCTCTTCCCTGCTCAGTTCTGCATGGGACTAAGGAGCAGGAAATTGACAGCTAGTGCTTCCCCTGTAGCATGAAAGAAGGCAGGGCAGATGAGGGCTGGCTGAGGTTGGTGGGGCAGCTCTCATGAGTCAGCTTCCATTGAGTCCTGTATGGGAGGCTGGTGGGCCCTTCTGACCTGTAATACGCGGCTCAGTATGAGAGGGAATGTCTTGTTTTTCTCCCAGATCTTGAACTCATGGCAGCTGAATACTAAAGGCAAAACCCCTCCGTTGATTCATAAATAAAATAACAATAAAATCCAAAACAGTATGGATCAAAAATCCAACAACTACACTCAAATCCACCTACATGTATGCGAGAGTTGGGACCATCTTACACAAGCTAAGAACGTAGCAGCTAAGAGCAACACAGCCGCAAGACAAGCAGAGAAAATATCCAGTAATGCTAATTAGGAATGAGAGGATGCTAAAAGAATGTTGAAAGTCCTGGGAGAACAGAAAAGTCTTTGCTTGGCATTGAAAATACCAACGTTGGCACCAGGCAAGCAGGCGCTGTAGAAAGAACATCCCATAATGGGGCAGGGAGGGGCACTGATGAGGAAGCCATCTTCTTTGCCATAAAGGCCACCCAAAAGTCTCGGTTCTTATCTCCTTTTTGAGGTTGGGTGCCAATGTGAACCCACTTCCCTTCACTTAAAATGTGCTTCTCCTGACACATTGCTCCTTACAGAATTGTCACATTCTGTGCCAAAATGCCAACACTTCTTCCAGAATTAAGCATTCAAAGTGAAGAACACTGATGCAAAGCAGGCATTTTGTCATGGGTAGAACACAGATTTATGCAATCTATGTGCACAATTGGAAGTAAGTTCTCTGGTGCAATTTTCCTAGCTTTGTGGCACTTGGTGTTCTGAACATAATTATGTAACTGCTATTCCCCCATCCTCCATTCATAATACAGGTTACCTACTGAGACACTCATGCTTCCAGGAGGTACCTTATGTCTCAATAGTGGCGTATGTATTGCTTCACATTCAGAAGGCCTCACATTTACGCTTCTTTTCTTCGGCTTAAAGGGTCTCAATATCAGAGTTGTTTCTTTTAGGAGTCACGGGCAGATGATGTGCAACTTGAATTCTCCTGTGCAGCTTCAAGGGTGCAATTTGGAAGAAAACCAGCATGAAAACCTCTTTCAATGTCAGAACACTAGCAGAACACCTGCTATCACCTGCAAGCATGCTCCATGCACCTGAAACTTAGAAAACCCACACTTGCCAGTTCTTGGGCATTGCCATTTTACAGAGTACTTTGACTTAGCTTGTAAGTCTCACTATAAAGTGATGAGGGCAAAGGCTTCAGAGATCACAGACTCGGGTGGGGGGTACAATTCTGTGGTGTCAATAGGATCATTCAGACCTCTGGTGGAATAGAGAGGAACAGGATGCACTCTGGATTTGCCCCAGATGGAGCACATGCTATTTACAAACTGGCTTCTGCCATCCCATCTGAAGTGCCCAGAATCCCTTGCATGAGCTGGTTGACAAGGCCTTGAACTTCTGGACTGCAACTGGAAGAACTGCAAACGGGGCAGCCTGTTCTTTCCGTAAGCATCCTGAGGAGGCAATCAATGTATATCATGGAAACAAGCAGACTTCCTATGGGGAGATCGAAGTGGCAGACGGAAGACCAGGAAAGGAAGAAGAGGTTAGATGGTCATAAAACAAAAGAAAGCATGGAGTTGTTTCAAAGCTGGAGACCAGCTTCCCACACCTCTGATCCTTCAACCTGTTTATTCCCTGTGAGGCATCTGTTGGGAACAGACTGCGATTGAGAATAGCCATGTTGAGGCTCCAGCATGGGTCTGCT